ATCAGCCAGCTGAGGAGGATGAACATACGATCGATGAGCAAGATGAGAGCGAGATCTTCCTTCCGCAGGAGACATTACCTAGTTGGGTCTTGGAGGATGATCTTCGTCTGAAGGCCATCCAGAAGCTTGCTTTAAGGCAATTCGCTATCCGCATTTTGTTACGACCGGCTATCGCACATCGTTACTCGGGCGTCTCAATGAACTACGCAGCGGATTTCGAGACTCCCCAGGTAAACGTCTCGCAGCTTTTGGAGGAGCTGAATCATCTTCGCCATCGAATGAACACCTTGAAAACGAACAGACACGCCACATACAGTGATATCACGCAAGATTATGCCGCGAGTCAATTGGGCGAGATGCAAAGAGAGCGCGAGACCCTTGATACCGAACTCACCAACGACATCCACATCTACACAAGCCAGCAGATGTCTCTCCAGGAACTTCTTATGCGGATATCCAACAACATCTTGAGCTCGAGGGACCCGGATCGACCAACAGCTTTCCGGCTCATGATCATGGCATTTGGTCAGACCCGCCAAAATGACCTGGTCGAGCTGCTTCTGCGGACATTACTGCCGAACCGGTTCTTCCTCAACCCTTCGCTCGTGATCACAATAATCACCTTCTTCAGGAAATCGAAAAATCTCAAGGATTTCGATTTGTTCTTGAAAATGCTGGGCGGAGAAGGCTACTCCGTCAACCTAGGGAGTAGGGGGGTTTATAAGCACCGAACGGTCAATGGCATGGATCTTATCGTTCCATCTTTAAACAGCAGCAATCCAGTCATCTATGCCGCCTTGATAGGGGCCGCATTACGTTTCGACCAGCCCGATCGAGCCGACGCTTGGCTTCAGGCTGCACGGGGTGGAGGTTTCTTTGATAGTTGGGAAACCCTTTTCACCTATCTGCGGTTCTACAGTCTCCGACGTGACTGGGACAAGGGTGTGAATGTGTTGAAACGAGCCGTCACTTACCTTTTGTCATCAACAGACCACCGCCTGGATTCGGTCGAAAGATTGCTTGGGCGAATGGTCGGCCTCTGCGATTCATGTGACCGACTAGATGCATCAGATGCACTGGTGAGAGCCGCCGTTCACAGTGGCTTTGATCCAAGACTTTTATCACGACAGTCGGACTCGGGACCTTTCGCCCATGCTGATCCCAAGCGGTGGTCTAAGGCAGCTAAGCAAACACCAAAAGAGAACATTGACCGCCCCTTGTGGCAGAAGTGCTATGACTTTGGAAACACCTTCGGCGAATATCTGAGCCAAGTTGAAGTGCCGGTAGAGGAAACCTTCGCCCGACGCAATGCCAAATTGGCCGATCAACATGCAGATAATGCTCTGTTTACGGCCCTTGGACGGGGCCGAACGTCTGCCTCCGGACAGGGACAAACACCTACTGGCAACACCGTAAACGAGGATATTTCCACGCTTAAGGGCGAGGTTGCCCAACTCCGCGAACTTATCTATGAGCTTCGCAAACACCACATCTCAGAAACCTCCACGAAAGACTCCTCCCGCACATCCACCGGCGAAGAAACCCTCTCTCCATCCGCCGAAACCGCCATACCTCTTAAGAACCCGCAACCCCAAACTCCCTCAGTGAGTCGCAATTTCACCAGAACTTCGACTAGGATCAGCCTCGCTAGATCTCAAACCTCATCTTCATCTCCTCGAAAATCAACCAAGCGAAATAGGCAGCGAGAACCCAGTGCAGATCAGCCAGCCGTGGAAAGCACAGGTCCTCTTGCCGAGTCCACAGCGTTTGCTAGCTGAGATGGGGATTCTTTTTGTCTCCCAAAGCATGGACATAGACTGTCCATTTCCGATCAAAGATGGAGAACTTTTTTGTATATTAAATGACTACACTTGTTTCCAATAGAGCATACAGGAACACCTTGGGCAAGCCGCCCTGAATGTATTAACCAGCCCAAGGCGTTGGCTGTGAATACAATTGATTTTTGAAGAACATTTGATGGTTTCGTTCTTGTAGACAGGGCCTAAGCCTATAGCATATATTGAATTTTGGATATTTTATCGAGACTTCGATGCACTCTCGAATTCGACGAGCCTTGCTTGACAGACCGATCGAATGCGACGGCCGAAAAGTGTTATGCAGGGAGTATGTATGGTATGGCACAGAAGAGCAAGAAAGCAAAAGTTCTATTCAAAATATGGACATCGTGATGAGAAGGAAGCAGCGCGACAAACAAGCGTATCATGCGTAAATTTTAGGCTGAACAGAAGGAAATGGTCTATCGATGCTTCTCGGCGCGCATCTTCTCCTTGCGAGCGAGACGATCAGCAGCCCGAGTAAGGGCAGAGCGGATGTCACCCTTGGGGAAGCTGTTGATATCATAGTATGTAGGAGCGATATCCTGGAAAACAGTTAGTAAAATGCATAGGGAATACAAGAGAGGAATAGGGAACATACTAGAAGCCATTCTGGCTTGACGGCAGTGACAGTACGGATGTAGTTCTTGGTTGTGAGAACGAATTCGTTGTACAGGACCCACTCGGCCTCGTGAGCCAAGACGGTGGAGGGGTGCAGGAGCACATTCTGGTTGTCCTTGATGGTAAGGTATTGGCTCTTGCCACCTGTGTCCTTCTTCGCGACTTGCATGAAGAAACCGGCGCAAAGGGCACGGCGAATGTTCTCGTAGTACTTCTTGTCCTCGAAGGAAGTGGAGATCATTTCGAGATCCTGGCGTTCCATGATGCGGAGCAGCTGGGAGCGGACGTTATCAGCGGACTGGAGAGCACGCTGGGAGAGGAAGTGGTCGTGGCACCACTGCTTGGGGTTTTCCTGGGCTTCATTGCTTCGGTATGCGTGGTAAACGTTCAGCATTGTCAAGTGGTCTCCGTCGGGGTGGGCAAACAGGTTCTTCATCTCGTCGGCACGCTTGCGCTGGGCAGCAGGACGAACGAAGACCTGAGGCACAGATAGAAGGGCGGTGATGGAAAGGATTTCATTAGAGCAGTAGAATTCGGGAGAGCTGATCAACATAACAGCAAGGGCAGGGTCAAGAGGGAAGTCGGAGGCGAGACGACCCAGTTGAGTAAGGTTTCCATCATCGTCCAGACAGGCCAAATAGTTCAGTTCCTCCAATGCTCTCATCAGGGTCTCTGGCGCGGGCGGGTCCATCAAATCGAAGTGGACGAGATCATCAACACCAAGCTTCTTCAGTTCGAGAACTGTTGATGACAAATTTGATCGGAGGATCTCAGGGTAAGTTGACTCGATCAATTCCTTCTTGAATGCGCCCTCGGTGTAAAGGCGGAAACACTTTCCGGGACGTGTACGACCGGCACGACCAGCTCGCTGTTGAGCGGAGGCCTTGGAAATGGGGGAAACGAGAAGGGACTCGACACGAATGCGGGGGTTGTAAATCTTTTGCTTGGAGAATCCGGGATCCACGACATACACGATACCATCAATGGTAAGAGATGTTTCGGCGATGTTGGTCGACACGATGACCTTGCGGCCGGGGCGGCCGCCTGGTCGGCGAGGAGGTGGTGCAGGGTCGAAGATGCGCTGTTGCATGTGAGGAGGAAGACTACCGTACAAAGGATAGACCTTGATAGGACCAGCGTCGGCCTCGCGAACCATCTCATCTCCCTCGAGCGCGATTTTCCGCGAAGCATCCTCAATCTCCTCCTCACCAGTCAAGAAGAGAAGAATATCTCCCTCGGCTTCGGTGGCGTGGATTTGCAGCACAGTCCGGACTGCGGCCTCGACGTAATCTTGCTCGGGCTCGGGGGTGTAGAAGATCTCGACGGGGTGAGTACGACCGGGGACTGCAAGAAGGGGCGCATCCATGAAGTAGCGCTGGAACTTTTGCGCATCCAGAGTAGCCGACATGATAATAATCTTCAAGTCAGGCCGGCGCACCACAACTTCCTTCAAAAGACCCATCAGGATATCTGTCGCCATAGTTCTCTCGTGAGCCTCGTCAAGCATGATTGTGCTGTAACGCGACAGGTTGGGGTCGTTCATAGCCTCGCGAAGAAGCATACCATCAGTCATGTACTTCATGATGGTCTTCGGGCCGGTCATATCTTCGAAACGGATACTGTAACCAACTTCCTCTCCAAGCTTGACATCCATCTCAGCCGCCACACGTTGGGCAACGGACATAGCAGCCACTCGTCGGGGTTGCGTACAAGCGACCATTTTGCCCTGAGTTTGGGGGAGATCATCGTAGAGGACGAATTGCGGGATCTGCGTAGTCTTTCCGGAACCAGTCTCACCGACGAAGACAAGAATCTGGGACTGTTGGTAGAGTTGCAGGAACTCGTCACTGAATAAAGTGGTTAGTACGTTTTCTTCCAGAATGGCTATCGGGGAGCACTCACCGTTGCGTGTGGACAGGTAGATCGCGACGGGTCTTCAGGATTGAGAAGTATTTGCTGGAAAAAGGTCGGCCGCTGAACGGGTTGATATCGCCATCTTCGGCTTTTTTCGCCATCGCTGCGGTTGTCTGGTGTCGCTTGAACTTGGCCAGGGCCCCGTTGTCGGAGGAGCCATTGTTATTCTCGTACATGTGAGCGAGGTAGGGGTTGTTCTTTGGGTCACCAGCGTCCATCTTCTGGCGCTTTGCGCGCGCGCCACCTTCGGAGTCGGATCGGCTATCAGACATTGTGGAGGTGAAAGGTGAGAGAGTGTCGAAGGGCAAACTCGGCGGAGAGAAGAAGCTGAGATACCGAAGAAAAAAAATATGAGATAGGCAGGTCTGCCGAGCGCCACAGCTGCCTATCAGACTCACCGCCAGTCTATTCTGCCGCTCTCCACAAAGGGATCGATAATCTTCGAGCTTGTTGATGCCCTGTGTGTTTTTGTCTGGATATTTTTGCGCCAGTTCGTCTGATGCGCGTGGCTTCTTCGGATAGGACTTCCTGATACCAAGTTTATCAGCTCCTGCATTGTTCATAACGAGCTTTTATCCACATCCCTAGTTCCAGACCACCCCCACCATTGCGCCGGACTTCTCTGTCAACATGGAGAGCTATAATTCTTCAGAGGATCCAGGGCCAGCTTTCTGCGTTGGGCACCATGAGCACAACAGACTGGTCACTGTGACCCCTCGGGTCATCCAAAACGTACATGAGAGTAATGTTGGTTCTTTCTCTAACCTGTAACATTACCTTCTGAAATGCTAACTTGATGTGATAGTATGACATGATGACTGTTCCCATCACGACTTCTCATTTCCACTCGCGAGTTCTTGGCCTATTGTCCTCTTATTTGGCCAATCTAGAGTCCCCAACTTACGATGTTGTTGGAACCATGGCTACTACCCAAAGCACTAGGCCTATGGTGGTTCCGCCGCTCTCGAAGGCAGACTCGTATCTTACACCAAATGATGCAACCAGTCAATTGGTTGGTGTGACCAGTAGCTGGATTGATCTATGCTCACCGGACCCGTTGATTGCCGACTTGTCCCGGCAAGTTCTGATGTTGGAAGTTGCGTACGCTGCGTTTTGCGGAATTGGATATCTTTTGATTCCTGGCCCCAAGTTGCATCATGGTACCTTGCATTCTGAGAGTGTCATCTACTATGCGCGCGCGATTCAAGATGCCTTAGACCTGGGCCCCTACATCCAATTTCATATTTGGCAGCAAATGGTTGACAACCCGGAGGTTGAAGTTGATACAATGGGCGACTTGGCCCCGCTTGCCCGGGCAGAATACCTGGCGCCAGATGAGGGAGAACCACTCAACGTTGATCCGTTTGGAAGTTGGGATGCCTGGGATTCAATCAGAAAGACTTGCAAATACCACACAAGACTGCTCGTTGGTATGAGTTAACCCCTCCTTTCAATGACGCATCATCGCCATTGTTACAATATCTTGAACTAAAGCTAATCTGAACCATAGCCCTTTCTCTGCCAAAGCAGCTGCCGTCTCTCTTTGTGCAATCCCGATGGCATTCGGAACCAGTGCGTTTACTGACGATTGACGGCTCGACGTTCCTCAAAAATCAGAAAGGATACCCAGTTTTGTCCAAGTCACACCAAGGTTTGATTGCGAAGATGATGCGTCTTCGAACTGCGCCGTGGATTATCCTTTGTGGCGTCGGTCCTATTCCTGGACTTGAAAACATCGAAGACCCGGATACCAACCAGGCTTCGCTATCTGGATCTGACTATCCAAGTCTGTCACAGGCTGGCAAGAAGCACTACGACCCTACTCCACACCTCTCGTATATTCGCAACCTGCAGCAGCGCCAGCCCCCGCGGACAGCGATTGAGAGGTTCGGTGTTGGATACCAGGACTATTTGCAGGCACCTCTACAGCCGCTGACAGTCAATCTGGAGAGTATCACATATGAAGTATTTGAAAAGGACCCTATTAAATACGAGTGGTATGAGAAGGCAATCTGCAAGGCATTGAAAGATTGGGCCGCTCAGAAGAAGGCCACATCCCACCCGGACGGTAAAGTGATTCTTGCAGTTGTGGGAGCTGGTCGCGGCCCACTGGTCACTCGCGCACTGAAGGCTAGCGCGGATGCTGGAGTGGAAATTGACCTCTGGGCCGTGGAGAAGAACCAGAACGCGTTTGTGTTGCTCCAGCGACACAACGAGACAATCTGGGATGGCAAGGTCACCTTGGTCCAGTCAGACATGCGAAGCTGGAAGGGACCTCTAGTCCCACAGAAGCCAACTACGGCTGGCGAATCCCTTGAGGACTCGGCTATGTCCCACACCCATGTTGATATCATTGTCTCGGAGCTGTTGGGCTCCTTTGCGGATAATGAGCTTTCCCCGGAATGTCTGGATGGCGTGAACGACGTGATCAACCCCGTCCACGGCATTTCCATTCCAGCGTCATATTCGGCACATTTCACCCCGGTTTCCGCTCCCAAATTGCACGCCGATGTTGTGCACCAGACGGTGTCTAACCCGGCTGCCCCAGAGACCCCATATGTCGTGATGCTTCACGCTATTGACTTCCTCTCCACCACGGGTACACCTGCCAGTGGTGAAAGTTCCAACCCCAACAATGGAAACCGGGCATCCACCCCGTCGGCGTCATTCTCTACTACTGAATTCCCTACTCCCTTTGTGCAGACCGCTTGGTCTTTCTCCCACCCGAACCGACACATTCCTCCTCAGTCCCCCATGCAGTCGACTATCTCGAACGCCCATAATGTGCGCCAAACACGTCTGGCCTTCCCTGCCCAGAACCGAGGTGTGTGCCACGGTCTGGCCGGCTACTTTGAAACGGTGCTCTATGGCGATGTGGAGTTGTCTACCAACCCGGTAACCATGGATGCCAAAAGCGCAAATATGATCAGCTGGTTCCCTATCTATTTCCCCTTGAAGGTTCGTTTTTTTTAAAATTACCAACTAAATCTATGGCTGTTTTCCCATCATACTGACATTTGTCTCCAGACCCCTCTTAGTGTTCCTGAGAATGGCGAGATCGTTGCCACGATGTATCGTCAAACCGATGACCGTAAGGTCTGGTATGAATGGATGGTTGAGGTTTATGCCCTTGAACCTACTGCGGCATCCACCAAACCCATTCCTGTGAGCTATGCGCAGGCTGGGTCTCCCAGCGAGCAAAGCCCGAAAACCAAGGAAAATGCCGCCAAGAAGACCCACCGTACTGGCTATCGCCGAGTGCGAGTGGGGATGAGCGATCTGCACTCTAGCATCAAGGATGGCTGCTTAATGTGAAATTTATCGGCCAGAGTTGAATAAAAGTTGTTCGAGCCATGGGCTCTAGTATTGTTAACCTTGGAACCATGACTGAAAAAAGGGGCAAGACTGTATTAGGATTGCCACTTGTAGATAAAGGTTGAATTCTGCCGGTTCGTCCGCCGAACAGGATCACGCGAGCAAGGGAATGCCAAGAGTTCCAATTTCTAATAGAGCCCTACGCCACTCGGTCTCGTGTAACCCTGCTCCGTCCCTTGCCAAGGACCGGGCATAAGACCGGAGGCATAACAAAATATTTCGCCAAGTTCGGGCCGAGCAGGTCAAGCTTCCAGTGACATATACGCAGTAGATTTTCATGTGATCATAAAACCACGTGGTGCTTTCGCCATGCGTCACCCCACCACATCATATTGTACGGAAGACAATAAACTCCGGATTTGGAGTCTATGTTGTAGGCGACCTCGGGTTCGACGATGGCTTACATACCGTCCTGACCGGAATAAGACAATTCCCCGGCTCCACCAATGCCCCGCGGTTTATAGCCAAGACTGATTGGAGCGCTTTCCGTGTTCCAGTGCCACAACCCCGGATGTGATCTATACCTTGACGATCATTGTATGAATTCGGAGTATTCCCCGTGAGCTGAACTGCGCCGAAATCCCTCATCACAAGCAAGACAAGCAAGACAAGGTAATATCAGATAATATCGGATTTTATTGTACGCCGTGGTTCCTCCGACTCAAAAATGGGCTTGCGTAGTTGTGGAACCAATTCAGGAACCATATTCTGTACCTGGTACCTGTATGGAACTGTGATGTGCAACTGAAGATATAAAGCTGGGAGGTTTCCCCCGGCTTGTAGTATCTCCAGTCTCCATCAGATCCTGCCATTGACCACAAGCCATCATGCGTTTCTCTTTCTTCACAGCTCTATCCGCAGTGGCTTCGTTGGGCTATGCCCTCCCCGGCAAGCTGCAGTCTCGAGGTACATCACACGTTGCACAATGTACCCTGACCACATTACTTACACATGATTAGATGTTTCCGCCAGCGAACTGGATCAGTTCGACTTCTGGGTCCAGTATGCCGCCGCGACATACTATGAAGTGGACTACACAGCTCAAGTGGGCGACAAGCTCACTTGTTCGAAAGGCAACTGCCCCAGAGTCGAAGAAATCGGCGCGACTGTATTCTATGACTTCTCCGAGTAAGCGAAACCCGCAACCTTGGTATACAATAACAGAGACGGTATACTTACATACACACAGCTCCACCATCACAGATACCGCCGGCTTCATCACAGTAGACCACACCAACTCGGCAGTTGTTTTGGCCTTCCGTGGTTCCGTCTCAGTGCGCAACTGGGTCAGCGATGCCACTTTCGTACACACAAACCCTGGTCTCTGTGATGGATGTCTCGCCGAACTCGGCTTCTGGAGCTCCTGGAAGCTAGTTCGTGACGACATCATCAAGGAACTGACAGATGCATTCGCCCAGAACCCCAACTACGAGCTGGTCGTCGTGGGCCACAGTCTGGGTGCTGCCGTCGCAACTCTTGCTGCCGCTGACCTCCGGGGCAAGGGCTACCCGTCCGCTAAGCTGTACGCATATGCTGCGCCTCGTGTGGCCAATGCGGCTTTGGCCACGTACATTACCGCGCAGGGCAACAACTTCCGCTTCACCCACACCAATGACCCGGTCCCTAAGCTGCCTTTGTTGTCCATGGGTTATGTTCACGTCAGCCCTGAGTATTGGATCACATCCCCCAACAATGCCACTGTCAGTACTTCTGACATCAAGGTTATCAACGGGGATGTTTCCTTCGACGGAAACACTGGAACTGGTTTGCCGTTGCTGACGGACGCTGAGGCGCACGTCTGGTACTTTGTCCATGTTGATGTTGGCAAGGTTTCTGGACTGCCATTCAAGAAGGTTTAATTTGCATCAACTCCCCACAATATTTGTTTGATAGAGTTTATAATAGCTGAGTGGCTTATGTCGATATGTATAAAGAATAATGGCAGATCTGCAGTTTTCGAAGTTTGTATTATGCAGGGGAAAGATAAGATGTAGGGATTGTACCGAACAACATAGAGCGATGCAAGGGGCGCAAAGTAAAAGTACCAAATCACCCAATCTCATTCTTCCAAGCCCGACCAAGCATTATGTTGTGATAAGGCTGACTGATAAGCAATTCGGTCATTTCCGGGCCTCAGGAGACATCCAGGCGGAGATCCGTCGGTTTTGGGCGATCTTAGTAGTTTTTGGCCTGCCCGTTTGATTCTAGCAATATAAAGTGGATATTCCCAGCCGTGCGGGGTTATCTGGAATGATTGCTATAAGACATAACTTGAATCTCGGTTTTAGTTAGGGATGCTCATTCAAAATGGTGCTGTATACTAAGCTTTTGGTGGCAGTGCTAGCGCACTATGCCACGGCACAATTTGTGCCTGCGCCCAGTGACTTGATCACCAAGAAAGGATATGCCGGTGTCAATGTGCGATACAAGGAAGTGCCTGCTGGAATCTGTGAACAAGATCCCAACGTGAAGAGTTATTCTGGTTACGCTGATGTTGGTAAAGACGAGCATATTTTCTGGTAAGAATTTCCGATAGAAACGAGCCATAGGCAGCGACTGACTAGCACAGGTGGTTCTTTGAGGCTAGAAATGGGGATCCTAATGATGTATGTTCCGACGACTTTTAGCATTTACAAGGTGTACTGACATTCGATAAGGCACCACTCACGGTCTGGATCAACGGAGGTCCAGGATCATCCTCAATGATCGGGTTATTCCAGGAGTTAGGCCCCTGCGGAGTTGATCACGACGGAAATGTATTCAACAACCCCCATTCCTGGAGCAACGTGAGCAATATGGTAAGTTTGCATTCCCTTGTTTGCAATGACTATATCTAATTGTTGCCAGCTCTTCGTCGACCAACCCGCCACGGTTGGATTATCATACACAGCCCCCATTCCAGCCTATGAGGATAACGATGGCAATATTATTCAGCTGCCTAGCGAGGAGTGTCCCGATTACGCCCATGACCTTGGGACCTGCGGCACATACTCCAAGCCAGACATTGCCCTCGTCCCCAATACAACTGCAAATGCGGCCCCGAATATGTGGAAGACACTCCAAGGATTCATGGGAGCTTTCCCCCAGTACTCCCGAAATGGCTTCAACTTCGCTACTGAGAGCTACGGAGGACACTACGGCCCAGTGTTCAACGGTAAAGATCCTAAGCGCCCCTAGACGCGACTGGCACTAACTTCAGAGCAGAGTACTTTGTTGAACAGAACCACAAAAAGCCCCACGGCTCGATTAAGATCGATCTTGAGAATGTGCTTATTGGAAACGGCTGGTTTGATCCGCTGATTCAGTACCAGGCGTACTACAACTTCTCCATCTTCCCCGGAAACACATACGACTTCAACCCATACAACGAGTCTGTCCAGGCCGAATGGTACAACAACCTTTATGGAGAAGGAAACTGCGTCGATCAGACGCTGGAATGTTACGCGACCGGCCGAAACGATATTTGCTCTACGGCAGACAACTTCTGCGCTTCGAAGGTTGAGTCACTATTCGACACTTACTCCGGGCGCGACGAATATGATATGCGCGAGTTGACACCGGATCCGTTCCCGTATGAGTTCTACGTCGATTATCTCAACAGCCCTAAGGTCCAAGCTGCTATTGGCGCATACCAGAACTTCTCAGAGTCCTCTGGGACTGTGGGCAATGCCTTTGGAAGCACGGGTGATGATGACCGCGAGTCTGGGACGATCGAGAGTGTGAAGAAGTTGCTGGATGCAGGAGTACAGGTTTTGCTGTATTTCGGAGATGCGTGAGTCCTTCTATTTTCTGAGATGACTGATAGACTGTGCTAATTCGAATTCTAGCGATTTCAACTGCAATTGGCTTGGTGGACAAGTTATTGCCGAAGAGATCAATGCCAAGGGCTACGAACACGCGGGCTTCGTTAACATCACCACTTCGGATGGTGTTGTTCATGGACAAGTTCGTCAAAGTGACTTGTTCAGCTTTGTGCGAATTTACGAGTCTGGCCACGAAGTACCTTTCTACCAGCCCTTGGCTGCATTGGAAATGTTTGAAAGAGTGGTCAAGAGAAAGGACATTGCAACCGGAAAGAAAAATTTGAAGCCACATGGTGGTTATCGCACCCATGGAACTCCGACGAGCGAGTACCGGGAAGGTAACAGCACCGTGGTTCTGGAAGTGCTTGATAGCAATGCGACCTACAACACAACCCTCAACGGACCGAACCCATCTAGCTCGGCGTCGATCAGATTGCGCAGAGCGGGCCACTGAGAACTTGAAGTGATGAGAAACGGAATATGTACGACTACTCTATTGTGTGAATGGTGATTATTCTTATGTCTAGTACTTGTTATGGAACTGTGTTCGTGATATGTTGTTGATTTCAACGATTCAAATTAGAAGCAAATGGTATGGTCAAGCCATCCTTTCCATGTCCGAGCACATTGACGCCGCAGTAAAACAATCCCAGATTCAATTCCCCCATCTGATTTTTTTTTAATTCACTCCATTATTTCTCCTAGGAAGCTGCGGCGCAAGTCGGTGTCACGACTCAAGTAGAGAAATATCTACTTGGTCTGATCGACGGTGTCGGCAGGGGCAATGTCGCTGGCATCTTCAGCCTGGGCGGAGTCAACGACCTGAGAGGTGGTCTTGGAAACGGTCTTGCGACGCTTGGCAGGCTCCTTCTTCGTCGATGCGTCTTTGGCTGTACCACGCTTGGCACGAGCAGCGGTCTTCTTGGGCGAACCAGTGTCAGCGTCGTCGACGTCCTCATTCTTGGCATCGTCATTCTTAGGGTCAATGGCCTGGGTGGGAGAAGCCGCGCTCAGACCAAGGATTTGCTGGAGATTGTTCTTGGCACGCCAGTAGTTTGTACTGGCAGAGGTTTTTTTGATTCCGGCAAAACTGGCGAGCTTCTCGAAATCGATCTATGTGATGGATATTATTAGATATTGCATTGAACGAGGAACAGGTGAGTCTGGATACGAACCTTGCCATCGCAGCACAGGGCACCATAGATCAGCAGGCGAGCATCAGCCGCCTTGAGCTCCGAGAGCTTGCCGTCACCTTTGACTGGAGAAGTCATTTTGTTTGAGCCAACGCGCGTTGATATTATGGATAATGAATAAATGTGAGATGTTGATAAGAAAACGCGCGTTGGGTAAGGATGAACAAGTACAACTGGTGTGAGAGATAAAAGTGAGAGAGACAAGGTAACAACAACAAACAAATTCGACACGATGAGTCTCAAGCAACTATCCCAGCACAAACAAGTTGCTTAATATTTCCAGCATCAGTTCATTCAATGACTACCAAGTGCTTTCCTAACTACGTACCTAGTTATAACTTGGCTTGCTTTTCCTTCCTCATAAAGAAGAATAACTGCCTATCATGGTGTGGCCATCATTTTAGTATTCGAAGTGCCCACTGCTACGGGTGATCAAGTATAGGTACCACCTGAGGATGACTATTTTATGCGCCCCTGCAAGCCTGAGCCACATCAGTCGCGGCACCTGATATATGAACCCCTAGTTCCGTCCACTTCTTGTTTGTATCTAATACTTTCTCGACTTATCGCATGCGAAAGATCCTAGATTCTCGACCACATATGCATCAGTAGACTTCCGCACCGGCCCATAAAGCCTAGAACCTAACCCAACCTAACTCGTAAATGGGTTAAATAATCTAGAACTGATTACTAGTTATTTCTCTTAATCACGTTTAAAAATGCGGAAAATCGCATTTATTGAGAAATTTTAGAAAATTGAGGTTCTCTAGAAAGTGGTAGAAGTTCTATACAACAACTTAATATATATCTAACATCAAAATATTAACTTTTACCTTTCCCGCAATATCTAGATCCTTACTAGTCGGAATTTATTTTAAATTATTAAATTATATACTTACATAGCTACTATAAATATAGGTTCTAGATTTGAACTTTATACGACGGGTAGAAGATTGTAATACAGCGATTACAGAGGTTGATTTGTTAGCGCTGACTATGGGCCCCCATTGAAGCCCATCGGGTTGGGTTGGGTTTTGGGCCTGGGGCGGGGGCCCATTTGTGGGCTTTGCGGAAGTCCATGCAGCAGCATCAGCCTAACAGACCTCGCTAGTCTGGCCAACCTATGTCCGCCTATATGGGGCTTCTCCCTCTTTTGCTCTTGGTATGCAAGCCTTTTCGACTTGGGAATTAGTAGGAAACTTAGATTGTAACGCGATTACGAAAGAAAGGACAGCTGATTCTACTCAAGACTGGCATCAGTGTCGCTATCCCCTATAGTCTTGACGGGTGTCTTCAATTCCTGCATCGGGACAACAGAAGATAAAAACACCGGTGTAAACTACCTGGGATCCTAACAATTGGCAGGTGCTACATGCTATCTGCGTGGCTCGTTGAAATATAAGGGCCGGGTGCTACTATGCAATATACACACCCCGAGACCGAGTGCTATAGTGAAACCTCTTGCGATGTCCCGAAGACTGATATTATGGTTGTTGGTGAGGCAGATGGGAATGTAACTCGGCGGTGGTATGCGATACTAGCTCAACATGAAGGGTGGAAAGCCATTGTAAAAAGCTCACCACGACAAATTTCTCGCACCGTGGACCGTGTCGAACATGTGAAACACGTCTCTCACCATCAACCGGAAGATCGGTTCTCCAACTTGTGTATATACACCTTTACCGTCAAACAAAGCATTTGATGTTCTTGCTGAGTTTGAGCGTTTGCATAATCTGGGTAGCCAACTTTCTATCGCTCCATAACACTCCAGAAGCATCAGTACTACGGCTCAGCTGTCCAACTTCCGCTTCCAACAGCATCTGGTGGTAAACAACCCATAGTTCCCATGGATTTTATTTCATCGATTTGATCCAGTCTAAATAGAGAGCTACCCTACTACATGACTTCGAGCTGTAGCCCGGAAGTAGTGCTATGTACTATTTGTGAATAATTCTGGGAACCTGAAGTTCCGCGCAATCTCGTCAGTCCCTGGCTGCATCCGCTTTTCGATGAGATAACACACGGGAAAGACAAAACGCTTGGCCACGACTAAGAAATTCTTACTTTGATCGGTACGGTACGTCGACCCAATATAAGTGCTCTCTGGATTGGAGCAGTTGCAGGCGGGCTAGCCCCCAAACTCGTTCAAAAAGTAAAAATAGCCGGTCCTCCTCTGGACGCACTTTCCTTTCCTTGGACTAGCTGTCTTCAATCCCTCATGGATAATGCAGGTTCGGGACCATACTCGCATGAAATGCCGAACATATCTCAAAGCCAGACGTATGGCGCTTACTACACCTTACTCAAACTAAGGAGAATGATCTATTCTTTAGAACCAGGCCTCAGACACCTTGGGCACCCCGGGGGACATCCTTACTAACTGATTGTGCGCTTCGAGTTGTTTCACACTTGAAATGCAGTCGTCATCACCAAGATAACCATTGGAATTGGGAATTGGTGGAAGGCCCGATCATCTGGGATCAGGGGGTTTCAACAACACCTCCTTGAAATGGGATCGAATATCCTTCGGAAATCAATATCGGGGAGCAGAGAAGGTCCCCAAAGAGAGAACTTGATCAAGAAGCTTTTGAATACGCTTCATTGTATATCTTCCTCTGGTTGAGCATCAACGGGGAGGGTAAACCCTCGGAGACTATTTATCAAGATGAATGCCTGGCTTAAATTAATTCGCTGACGCAATTCCGGCCTATCAAAATCTGGGCTTTATTCGCATTTAGTAAAAGTTACCGAATTTGCAAAACAAGATTAATATATAACATAAGAAGTAAATAAAAATGAATTGTAAGTCACAAGTTTTGCCCCTATTGAGGATATGGACCGGAGAGCCAAGACAATCAACAGTTCCAGACAGATTGCACATGACATGTGATAGGGGGAAGAAATTAAATATGGATATAGAGATGAACAGAAATCACGGATTGATCCGAAATGAGTTTTCCTAATAAAGTTATGCAAGTTGATCAATGGAGTTTCCAGTGGAGTGGAGAGTGGAGAGTGATTCAGTTTCACCACGAATAACACCTCATGGCAATCAAACTTTTTAGCATCCCTGCTAGACCCTCCTACAACCATGTTGGTGCAATATCACTGGCCTATTCAGGGATTTACGATTAACTGTATTTGGATTGACTTTTACAAGACCATGATCTACAAGGCGTTGTCGGATCCTGCGGGTCCTAAGAAAATAGATCTGTATTACACATGCAATAACTGCCAGAGTGCCCAGGTACGCATGGACTCGAGCCTCTTCGTGCATCCTTTTACATCTCGATCGCCATGAGCCCAGAGTTGAAAAACACCTGGACTCCTGCGGTCAATGTCTTGACCTGGTTCATGTTGGTGACGGCTATTCTGAGCCTCTTGACCCGTCTCGGGACAAAATATTTTATTTTTCGGAAGTGGACATTTGACGATGGCCTTGCGACTACTTCTCTGGTGTTCTGCATTGCGCAGTCAATTGCTGTTTCGATGGCTACGAAGAATGGACTTGGACAGCACCTTCACATGCTGTCCGATCTCCAAATTGAAAGCATAATGAAGGTATGGACGAGACACATCTTTTTCTTGAACTTTCGCAACTTTTGCTAATGGGCTAAATAAAGGCTGAGTACTCCGCTACCATTCTATTCATCCCCAGCATTTGCTTCTCGAAACTATCGCTTTTGGTCTTCATTCGCAACTTGACTCCCGCATCCTTGGATCGCCGCTTTGCGCTCGTGTTGGGAATAATCATCGGGATATGGACGATTGTCGGAATTTTCACGGCCGCCTTCCAATGTAATATACCGCAGACATGGAATTTTCTAAGTGGCACTTGCTTCAATCGAGTGAGTCGCTGGTCCATCCTTGATGGAAGAAATCGCTGACCGTGTACTAGGTAGCATGGTGGAATTATCTCGGCATCACGAACATCTTGTCAGAGGCTGGGATAATAGGCCAAGCGCTTTTGGTTATCGTTCGTATCCAGACCGATTTCAGCAGAAAGGCTGGTTTGTCCAGTGTATTCCTGGTCCGAATCATGTACGTGTCAAGACCAGACTCCGTATGAGGGAATTGACTAACAGAGACGGCGCTCCCAGTGTAATTATCGCGATTATTTTCCAGCTTGTTTACGCCACTGAAACTTCCGAGGGCGATTACACTTATGATGCCTGGACCCTCACAATTTCTACCCAAGTGGCCCAATGCGTGAGCATCGTCACTGCCTGCTCCCCTCAGTTCAAACCTTTCTTGGATAGTCTCCAGTCATCGGGAATGGGGTTTGGTATGACGAGCTCCAACAATCACGGCAGCAAACAGAAAACATATGGCACCACATTCAAGACCTTCCGTCGCACTGCGGATACTCAAAGCGAGACTCACGAATTAGTCTCGGTGTCCCACGAAGGGACGAATCAGACTCTGGTGACCTCCGCTCCGGATGAAGATGCCGAAAGCCAGTCCAGTCGTGCTAATATAATTATGGAGACGCGGACGTGGACAGTCACTGAAGGGTTGCCAAATTGATTAAACGTTTCAAAAACTGGGTCGGGACATCCTTGGATCCACTTGTTGTTCTAGAGACTGGGGATTTTCCCGTTGTAGACTTTAGCGAATGACAATGCTCGGCAGGGCACCGAGTATGTCCCGAAGATCCACCATAATCTACGGAGTACGGAGTACAGCAACATAATATTCGGTGATCCGGCTTTAAAAACACAGTTAATTAAATCGATTTCCACTCTACTCCATACTATTTTGTACTACTCGGAGATTTACCGAATTACACCTCGGCCTCGGGAGTTGCTAGCGCTCCCGGTAGAATGCATTTTGTACTCGTTATTGTATGATGTAGGCTACAGTATCCCTTAGAGCGACAGAAAATGGTAATATCGATGGTCTCCGCCACAATTATTCATGACAATGCCTTAGTTCCTTAGCCCTCGTGTAACCCCTGCCCTTGCTGCATTAGCGCCTACCAGCGTCCCCCAACCACACGCAAGTATGTTCAAAGTCGGTTGCGCTAGTTTCAGCTCTTTTGCCCCTTGAACTTCTATGGGACAATGCGACTCTTCTTTTATGATCTGTTGACTTTGCTTTTTCCTTGTCTGCAATCACACATCCATCATGCGGTCTCAATTTTCGAAGCAGCTGTCTTCGGCGGGAGCAGAGGAGATTGGCGAATTATCAAGGAAGGAGCTTGACGATGCCAACCTCGCGCGCATGGGCAAACGCCCCGTCTTAAAGGTAAATGCTATTTGAGACTATGTATCAGATATGATCTAACGATAACAGCGCAATTTTGGTTTGATGTCAATGCTGGGTTTCAGTTGTACGATTCTGATTACCTGGGAGGGAATTGTCGTGTAAGTGCTCTTGGCGATAATAATCATCGAGTCCAAGAAAACATTTGCTGATGACTGTGGTATAGGCTATTCTTGCAAGCATACCAAAAGTAAGAGACTTGGATGAGTTATTATGAGGTATCGACCCCGCAGTGCTAACAGAGGTTACACAGTGGAGGTCCAGCTGGAGCTGTATATGGGTTCCTTTTTGTTTGGGCTGGTGTCGCAGCTACCTTTGTGATTCTATCCGAGTTGTCATCGATGTACGGAATGATGAATGATCTGTCTATCTACCATGTGTATGAGGACTAACCAGTTAATAGGGCACCAACATCTGGAGGACAGTACCACTGGACATCCATGCTAGCACCGCGATCGTGCATGAAAGTCATGAGCTACCTAACAGGCGAGTAGAAGATCCCTTGAGCTATGCAAAAGTAAAGCTAACACAATTCAAAGGTTGGCTTACTGTTATTGGGTGGCAAGCCACGTTTGCAACCTCATGTTATTTGGTCGGCAGCTTGGTTCAAGGCTTGGTCGTGCTCACCCACAGTACATATGAGCCCCAAAGATGGCACGCAACCCTTATGTTCTGGGCGGTTGTGCTATTGTCCGTCGCCATCAACAGTCTTGGCGGCCAAGTTCTTCCTCGATTTGAGGGCATGATCTTGATTCTCCACATCCTGGGCTTCTTCGCGATTCTCATTCCCTTGACTTACATGGCCGACCATGGAACCTCCAAGGAGGTCTTTACCCAGTTCCTCAACATGGGAGAATTCCCATCCCAAGGACTGTCGTTCTTTGTCGGAATGGTCGGCTGCATCTTTTCGTTTGCCGGTGGTGATGCCGCGGTTCATGTGCGTTTCTCCATCTCTTCAGACTACTCGAATATGGAGACTGGGACTAATTCAAACTGTTAATCTCTAGATGTCTGAAGAAATTACAAATGCCGCCATTGCAGTCCCAACCTCCATCATGTTGAGTGTCATGATCAACGGATCCTTGGGTTTCGGCATGTTGATCGCCATGCTGTTCTGCAGTGGGGATCTTGGATCAGCCCTGGAAACACCCACTGGATACCCCTTCCTTGCAATCTTTTTGGAGGCAACAGGATCCATCGCCGGAACCGCGGTGATGGGGTCGATCGTTACTACTATGGGCGCCACAACATCAGTCGGTATGTTGGCGTCCACCTCGCGCCAGTTCTGGTCCTTCGCGAGAGACCGTGGCATTCCCGGCTGGCGACTATGGAGCCAGGTAAGTTGCCATTTCACCACACTACTCACTGGTTAGAATTATCGAGCTAATCGTGAAACCAAAGGTCACCGAGAAGTCTGCCGTCCCCATATACTCTGTTTTGATTACATCCGTGATCGCCTGCCTCCTCGCACTCATCAACATTGGCTCCACTGTCGCCTTTAATGATCTCTGCTCCATGTCAATCTCGGGTCTCTACCTGTCATACATGGTGGTTGGCAGCCTTCTCCTTTGGCGCCGTTGCACAGGCGGGATTAGCTCTGTTCGCAGCAGCGATTCCGCTATCATCAACACCGCCGGCGCAAAGCTCGTCTGGGGCCCATTCCATGTGCCGGGCATCTGGGGTATTCTTATCAACGCCTGGGCTTTGATTTATATGACTATCGCTGTCTTCTTTAGCTTCTGGCCCCCAGCTTGGGCGGTGACCGTTCAAACTATGAACTTTAGTGTCGTTGGGACTGTGGGGACCATCATGCTCAGTCTTTTCTACTACTATGCCCGTGCGAGCAAGGTCTATAGTGGGCCGATTATGGAGCATAATCTTTAAAACAGTACATACGCTCTTGGAGGCCTCTTGTTGGTTGGAGCTTGCCGATGTATATAATTTTGTAGTCTTTTGAGTTGCGCAGCATTTTTAGCTTGATCAAGAGAAAAGGCTCCAGTATTGAATATATTCGTGACTCAAGGTGCATATTGAACTTCTTGCCAGGCCCTCAACTCATGGAGTAATGACTAGCCTTGTGCCATGTGGATGGTAAATCCAAGCCTTGAGCACGGGTAACCGACTCTTGGTCGCACAAAGACAATACATAAGGCTGAGTGATAAAACGTCAAAGCGCACTGTGGAACACTGCCTATCCTACCTAGAAGCTACGAGGATCGGCATCCTTCTGCACGTGGAACCAACCCGTGGGATTAAAATAAGAACCTTAAATAGGCTCCCGCATCTAGACCGAAGTTCGATTTGATCCATGTGCGGGTGATCCACCATTCATATAACCTGCCTGCGAAAGGAAATGCCCGCGAAAGGAAATATTGGGAAGCAGGCCAGTGTTACGGCAAATAATTTTATTGTGCTAGGTCTTTGTGTTCTCCGATAAAATGTGGGAGTGAGTGACTATTTATGACGTATTGTCTTTGACATATACTCGGTCAGCAGTGCGTGTTTTCAAAAAATTAGAGCTTAGACGAGATTATGATAAACGAATACTATACCTCGCAAGCCCAACATATCTAGATAACAAGACTAGCGGTGAGACACCTTTTATGTCCTTTCCAAGGTGAGACATTTACTCTGTACAGAGCTTGGAGTAGCACAAATGAGATCAAGATTACCACATGCCTTTCTTTCGAAAATCCAAGAAAAGGCTGATATGGTATTACCCTTTTCACCAAATCGGAGTGGTACGAGGCAAATTGTTGGTAGGCGCTGTTGGGTGGCACAAGGCGCTTCGCCCGGGCTGCCTTTTCGAGGCACCAGAACCAACACAAATAGCCACATGCAAGGGGTATCACACCCGGCGCGTGGATGATTCGAGGCCATCAAAGTCTTTCATTGATAGCGCCGTGGCGGTGCAATACCATTCGCTCGGGAGCGTCGTTTGTACATTTGATTGACAAACCCTACCCGTAAGGTTGTAAGGCTGCACCCCTTACAGATCATTCAACGGCCCCTTTTCTCGGCTCTAACAGGTGGAGCGGATCTTGCGCGGACTACAATTGATGTACAAAAATTGAAGATACATGTTACAAGGGGTGTGAGAATTGTTGTCTAGATTCTCATGGGTATCGTAAGTAATTAATAACAAGGCAACCTCCACACACAGACCGAGACCCCGAGACCGCGATTCGTGGACAACTTGGAGGTAGTTCGTCTCCTGGCGCACAGTGTTCCAGTAAAGCACCTCAAATTGAATTAAAACAGATTTGTATCTGAACAACACATTGTCATGGTATCATAAGTAAAGGAATGGTATAGTCCCCCCCACCCAAAAGCGGAGCCCAGGTATCAAGAGATCATGACCCTTTCAAGAGTAGGGAGTTTGCAAAAGAGCAAGCGAGAAAATGTAAAGAGAGAAACAAAACGCTAAAGCAAATCAAAAGCCCGAACTAGGCGTATCAACGTTGATATTAACGATTCTCAGCGGTTGTTGGATGGGTGGTTCATCTGCACATCTTCGTATTGCAATTGCTGGGTGGGAGGCCATGAATAGAGCGGTAGTTGGTCCTGAAAAACAATTATTAGCATTTATGTTCTTTTTCCTTTTTGTGGGGAACGATTTGCTAGATTATACTCACTGGGCTCTCGATCTTTGTCAATGCAGGATCGATTTCAATATCTGAGTTCCAAATCGCGGGGTTCATCTGCCGGTGGGGCGACGAAAAGGCTTCGGGCTTCAAGATGCTCCGCAGATATTGATCGATGGCAGTCACCATTTCTATAGGCATGCCCGAAGTTGGATATTGAGGGTTCGCAAAGGAATCGCTCGCGACGGGCGAGCTGCATATCTCGTTTGTATAGGAATAGGGAGATGGGTGGTCATCAACGGATGCGGAAGAATGGCTCTGGCCCCTGGCATACTGGGGACATGACATTGAGGAATCCATGCTTCCCCACACCCCGGAATAATTGTCGGTCGTATCGGGTTGGAATTGAATAGGAGGCGAGTTGGCTGGTTGCGATTCGATCTGTTGTTGCAGACTTAACCGACGAGGTGGAGTGTTGCTTCGAGCGTGTGATGTGTTTTCCTTTGGTCCTGAAGTCGCACTTTTATCGAGGTCAGCCTATGGATTCAATTTCTTTCTGACAGTTAGGAGAGGTTACTCACTGCCGACCCAAATGCTGAGTTAAGTAATCCGGGCGATGGAATGCCTTTGTGCACCCTTCGTACGTGCAAGGGTATTGCTTTTTAGGCTCATGGCTGAGCTCATGTCGTCTGCGGTGTTCAGCTCTGGTAAAAACCTAAATTGTGGTGGTAAGCGAGATGATCCATCGGCAATATCCCAAGGGTGCTCACCTTCGAGCATCCAGGGCGCTCGCATGCATGTACCCGCTTGCCCTTCATTGCTTTGCTGACCCGGTGGGAGCTTGTAGGTGAGGGCGAAGGAATATTTACAGGACTGGAATACATCTCCGTTTGGTTGTTGCGGTTGACCAGTGTTGAGGGCGTGGGAGTAGTATATTCAAGGTCGAATGGCGGCATAATGGAGGCGGTATATGGGGTATTGAATGTGGACATATTGCAGGCGTGGGAAGGAAATATACTCTGGTATAGCTGATGCGGCTCAATATGCCATTCGGGAGGTAGTTACACGGCACGTTTAGACGTTGTGAAAGTCACGAGTTCAAGTGGGGACGGGGAGATAGAAGATGAGGAAAAAAGACACTGGGAAAGGGGATTTAATAAGACCTTTATTAGTGTCAACAGCTCTATCGGAAGTGGGTATCTCGGAGGGTCTCGGTCGTATCTCCAAACCCTTAACCTACAGGTGGATGCCGATCCGGTACCTAATTAATAACATCATCAAAAACCGAACTAATACTAAATAGTCAATCCAAAAAACGCCTGAAACGACCCCAAGAACGCCTAGTGGCTATAATTTTTCACCTAGCAGGGATGTTTCGGGCCAAAAAATCAAATGGAGTATCGTTTGGTGATTTTCCGACAATGACGGGGGATCACCTCCCAGTCGATCAGAGCCTCAGCCTCCTGGATCGGTCACCCACGTAGTTCAACTGCACATGTTACAAAGTTTCATCCTATTGGGTTGTGATACGCCCCACTAGGGCGTTTATGGGTCAATGTAGCCATCTCAAAGTTCTCTGCCGCATGTTCGAATAACGAGGTGTCTCCAGACTTTTCTCAGGAATGGACAGTTGTACCGATTGGGTAATCCAAACGACAAACCCTGGAAATTTCCCCCCAAACTACAGGGATCAAATGGGCGGTTTGGTTTCGACGGTGGGGCGATCGGTAGCCCTGATGATAGATTGAATGCCGATCAAAATTGAACCCATCACCAAGGGGCGGGTGTTGCACCTGCGTTTCCCTCATCGGGTATAAGGATGTTCATCACTGTCAGGTTGAGGATGTCAGGCTAGGTGAGTATTATTTTTGGCAGATTACACGTGGATCATTACTGTGTAGAGCAAGTGGCATGATATGTTGCAGCAGTCCGGCAGGCTGAGTTGAAATTCAGAACAACCAACAGCAAGAAAAATCTGTGATTGGTTCGAGGGCACACCCGGGGTTTTAAAAAAGAACGACAAAAGGGTGCGGGTTCACACATTCCGGAGGTCGATCTGCACCCGAATGGTTGATCGACTCCCGTCAACTTTTCGCCAAAGAGGCTCAACGCACCCGGGACCCACTCGGTTGCCCACTTGGCGTCGAAGATGGTACACTCGCATGGTATTGCATATACGCCCTGACCAATCGGTGGTCTCTCCTTATCTCCACGGATCCAGTCATCAGTCCAAGCTTGGGTACACGCCCGGGTAGCTTCTCCATCCAGTAGATGCCCTATATCCACTATATACACTCCCTTCTTCCCCTTTACTCAAACTTTTTGCAGAACCTGGGTCCTTTTCACACTTTTTTCTTTCAGCCCGTTTAAATTGGTGAAGAACCCTAATATCTTAACTTTCCTGATGAAACGAGACCCATGAAAATCTGGAAATCTACCCTGTAGTGTTACATCGGGAGGGGATCTTAGTATACGGAGTAGTCCGTACGTGGGGGCCAATACCATACAGATATGCCTATCCATTCCCCGCAACAACAATATAATTTGTAGAGAATAATGAATGTACTCCATAATTACTAGCAATATTCCCATTCTCCTTATTCTTTCGGCTGTCGGCAAAATTATTTGGAATGAAAATATTATTGTGGTTCGGGCGTGCCTTTCCAATTTAGCTTAGTCCCTCCTCTCCACTTCCCCATCTGAACAACGGCTTCAGGCTGTGGTCAGTGCACATCGTACTCGCGACATATGAACTGATTCAGTCACTAAGCCCAGAATCCAGCCCAGGCTCTTCCGTACACCATCCGAGATTAAAGGATGAGATACCGCCCTGTACCCCATTTTTGAGGCACATTGAGAAACTCCTAAACCCGGGCACCAAACACCGACAAGATTAAACCAATGATGTCGACGTAAACACTCCGCCAAATGAAAGTCTAATCTCAGGCTTCGACGTGGCTTACATCCTCTAGCCCTTGGCAGGGGCTGATCATTTTAATATCTCATAGCCACATTGCTTCGCCTATGCTAATTCAGGACACGAGCGGGGAGATCGCCATTCAGAACCGTGACCTGGGCATCAAGTGGGGCTGGATATATCCAGTGGCCCTCCCTCGTCATATATCGTAAACCGTTGTCGTTTATGGAGGTTAAATTCCACCTCGCAGCTTTTGTCGGGGTTGGGCCTGAAGTTCTGAGATCAACCTCCTAGTTCTCGGGATATGAGGGCTCACAATGTTTGTGAGAACGGTGTCCCTGCTCTAGATGAGATCCACTCCTCTATGGGTACTCCGTAAATGACTCAGATTGCCCTTCCCGGCACGGAATACGGAGTAAGCACCTTGAGCATAAAGTACGCCCTACTCGTTTTTGCGCTTAAGTGGAGATTCACTCCTTGTATATTTGCATTCATCTCTTCTTCTTTTTTTCTGCATTGAAAAATGTACCTTTCGTATCGGTTGATTCATTGAATGTGATGTTTTCAAGCCATCTTTCCTTTTCCATTCAAACCTCCATGTCGCGATCTACTCGGCTCATCAGACTCAGGGGGTGGCCCCACAGGTATACCCGAGGTTTTACCGATTGAGATAAGCAATTATCGGACCCGTGGACCTTCCGTCGACCCTTATGTACAGCATAATATTAATTTGAGGACGGATAAAATAATAGCGAATTAGAATCTAAAGTGACGTGAGATATAAATTCTACTAGGCTTTCCTTTTTACACAACCTTGGCAAACGGTGGTTATATATTCTTCACGATTGGTTCATCCAAAATAAACCCAGCACTAAGTTATTTGATAATCGCGCACATTCCTAACACAAGGACCGTCTTCTCTCCTAATTATCCCTCTACCTTACTAATGACTGTTTTGAAAGCCAGAGACGGTGGCCTTTCCGCCCATGGCTTGGGACATACAGCCGCCCCTTGACCGCCCGCTGCCCGACAACATCACGGAATGTTTCCGCAATTTAACGGAACAAAATTCTTCACAACTGCCGAGGTCTCGCAATGTCTGTCATATAGTAATTTTTCTGCACCATTTGAGGAATCCCCGGATATAACACCCGTAATTTCGGCATCGGACGGGACTGCCATGTACGACGATGGCTGATGTACGCTTGTGCCATCTATCATTGTTGCCAACGATGTGGCAAGCTTACATCGCTACATACGCTGGAGTCTATGGTATGAGTTTCTTCGGTCCTGACGCTGAGGTGCAAAAACATTCAACTCCTGGACATTGCTTGTCTCTATGCCCAACTCGAGACGGCGGAATATCTCCTTAGCTGCGGCCCTCCCTACGCAGGGCCAGAGTGGGGCAGCTTTTAATTTCATCGTGGCCGGTATGGTTAATGGTGCTGCGAGGCTGACCTTTGTGAAGCCGCTTCTAGACACGAACCCACACCCTAGCACCCCGAATTCTTAGGATTACTCGGGTGCAACAGCTCTACTCCACGTTCTGGGAGACCACGAGGGCTGCAGTTGGAGTCATGGGGGTATTTTATGCCACTGGTTGACCTTCCCCTTGTGCACGGAGCGGACAAAGGTCTCTACGATAACCAACAACGAACCAGGCTGCCCCGATCTACTAGAAGCACTTATTCCATCTGTCTATATCAACCAGGCCGACACGAACGGATGGACAGCGCTGCACTTCATGGCAAAGAATTTGCGGAAACTCGAAGCGTCTCGTATACTGGTCAATCGAGGTGCAGATGCTCGTGCGATCGATAAAATGGGAAACATGCCTCTTCATGAAGCGATTGCAGGAAGGCTTATTAGCAGAGAGAATGAAGCCGGGCCACTTGAATGGCCGACACTTTCAGAGAAGATCCAGGCGCACGATGGGATTATTTTGACATTACAAGAAGCTGGGGCCTTGGTGGATCAGCCGAATGTGGCAGGCAAGACACCAGCACAGCTTTTGATGGATAAACGGGCGCAGTGGAATGAATGCAATATTGAGCGGATGGGGAGAGGGACGAAGGTAAACAGGAGGTTGACGGGCGAGGTCGGGTCTTTTACGATCCACAGGTCGGCAAACAATCTCACCGAAAGGTATTTGACAATTTGCGCTTTTCTTGGCAAGTGCATTTACTCGATTGTTCTCGGTAGTTGATTTGTGTATAATTCTTGTTTACTTTCAGTTTGAGCAAGATGTGGTTTTTCGACGGAATGATGTGATTATCAGCCACCAAGATGCCATTTCCGCCAAACCTTCACTCTTCTTGGCCCTGAACCTGAACCCCTCACAACACAACTAACAGAAGAATTGTTCCATACTTGGCTTCATGATGCAAGCCAATGCCAAGTGGTCTCTTATCAGTAAAACCATGTTGAAGGCAAAATGTTCCGACGAGATCGACGTTGCAGGGTGTATAAAAAGGGCCCAGATAATCCAAATTTACCTTAGGTAGAAAGTGAATTTCAATAGGTCTTATGATTTGGTTGCAGTAGCCTTGGTCCACTAGTATGTCCACTGTATACACCGCAAAGAAAGGCCCCGATGAGTCCATCTCGGTACTCAAAGGGGCAGATACAGACTCATCTACCAGTCTCGACATCGCACAATTGGGTGACCCAGGGAGTGAACGTCGGTTTTGGTTTCAGCGAGGCAAAGACTTTGACCCCGAAGCAATTGCGACCCAACCGTCTGTGTATGATAACCCTGACACCGCGAAGGAATATCAACCGCGAGCCGACTGGGAGAATCTTCACCGATTTGACCCCTCTGCTCGGTGGACATGGAGCGAGGAATACAAATTGATTCGAAAGATTGATCTTCGTATCATGATATTTACCTGCCTCATGTTCATGTGTTTGGAGTTGGATCGCTCCAATCTAGCACAAGCTCTAACCGACAACATGCTTCCCGAGTTACATATGAACACGAATGGTAAATGTTCTCTTTTCTTCTAATTAGTTTCCAGGACTAACCAGAGTGCGTTCTATTTTCAGACTACAATCTTGGAAATACGGTGTTTAAGCTCTCATTCCTCTGTGCTGAGCTTCCTTCCCAGCTCGTGAGTAAATGGGTTGGTCCTGATCGGTGGATTCCTACTCAAATGGTTCTTTGGTCTGCAGTTGCCATGGCACAGTATGGGCTGAATGGAAAAACAACATTTCTCTTGTGCCGTGCCTTGCTGGGTATTTTACAAGGAGGATTCATCCCAGATGTAAGTCCCTTGCGTTCTTCTGACGGTTCATTGCTAACAGGCTCGAAGGTGATCTTGTATCTGTCCTACTTCTATAAACATCATGAGCTTTCTTTGCGACTCGGCTTCTTCTGGACGGCTATGAATATTGCGGATATTCTTGCTGGATTTCTAGCTTTCGGATTTCTTCATCTTCGTGGTGTTCAAGGTCAATCGGGATGGCGCTGGCTTTTCTTGCTCGAGGTAAGTAATCATCTCTTGTAATTTTGAAGGGCACATTACTCACATTAAGGGTAGGGTCTTCTAACACTTCTATTTGGTCTATCCGCATATATTTTGATGCCACCAGGACCGTGTCAGACTGCCAATTGGTCTCGGGGTAAATCAGGCTGGTTCACTGAGCGGTAAGTCATCTTCTGTTTCTTTTGCAAATTTTGCATTTTTATTGATAGGATTCACAGGGAGGAAACGATCATTGTCAATCGAGTAATTCGTGACGACCCAAGCAAAGGAACTATGCACAATCGAGAACCGATTACGCCGAAACTACTGTTCAAGAGTCTCTCGGATTATGATCTCTGGCCGATCTACATTATTGGACTTACCTTCCAAACACCAGTGACGACCCCCAAGCAATATCTGACACTTACACTGAAGGGCCTCGGATTCGGCACTTTTGTGACAAATCTCTTGGTCATTCCTAGTGAAGTGCTATCTATTTTCTTCCTTCTACTCCTCACATACGTCTCGGAGATTAGTAGCCAATTAACGTTGGTGTCTATGATCGGGCAAATATGGATACTTCCCTTCTTGATCTATCTATACGTGGTGGATATCAATACCGTCAATAAGTGGGCTGTGTGGGGGGTGATGACTGTGCTACTGGCATATCCAAATGGTAACCTCACCTATTCCTACCTGTTGCAAATTTGGTATCCTGGCTCACAAAATCACAGCACATGCCATTCAAGTCAATTGGAACTCTCGCAACTCAAACACTGTCCGATCCCGTACGGTCTCGGCTGCCATGTATAACATGTGTGTCCAATCATCGGGAATTATTGCTTCCAATATCTATCGCGCCGGTTGGTCATAAAATTCCTTTGCCTTTCCGCCTTTGTCCGATATTCTAACTTCGCTCAGATGACGCTCCCCGCTATCGGAGAGGTAATGGCACTCTGGTGGGACTCGGTGTATCGAATATCTTCATATATTTGCTTACCAAGGTATACTATGTCTGGCGCAATCAGAGTCGCGACAAGAAATGGAACGCTATGACGGACAATGAGAAGACGCATTACTTGGCAACCACTAAGGACGAAGGGAATAAGCGGTTGGATTTCCGATTTGCTCATTGATCCCATTGATTATCTCTCTGAGAAGTAATCATTGGATATATTTACACGTGAAGAAACAGGAAGAGCCGACTGGGTTCATTGGTGCATGGAGGTTACTCCGTACAATTTTGATATGATAGCAATGAATAAAGTTTTGATCTCGCTTATGCTGGATAATCCCAATAAATCGCTAGGAAGTGTCGGATCTAAAATAATACTCTTCTCTTTTTCATGCGATTGGTCGGGCCTTCCATGGCGTGCTTGAGTATGTCTTATGCATGTAATAAAATATGCATCTAGCCGACGAGAATTCAAATAAGCGAGCAGTGCAATTACTTTTGGATTGATCTGATTGAACACAACGTTTGACTTTAACTAATGTAGGTATGGTGTCATTTGTAATCAAATATGTTGCAACCTCCAGTACATATGATCCCATCACATTGACAGTTCCAGATGGCGGGATGTTAGACAATTCCTGGGGAAAATGACGAATACCAACCGAGACGGCATTAGTCAACTGTTATCTATGAAGATAATCAACGTACAAGACGTGCTTTCACTCAAATTGTGCGACAGCAACGTTCCAGATCTGCGGGGCTGCGACAATGAGGTCTGGGCACAATAACAAATAGATGTCGCAAGCGGATAACCGGCAACGTCCAGTATATCGCGCAGTATAAGATGGTCAGCATGGTCCTAGCTTTCAACTTCCAGCATCAACAAGCAACTCTATCCAGCAATTTCTACTGCATCCAAAAACATCACTATGGCATCCGCTGTGACCGAAACCGCACCTACGGTGGTTCCCATCGTCGAGGACAAGATTACGCTTACAGGTCTCGCTCGTGAGCCTCTTAAGTCCAACGGAACTCTCGATGCTTTCGAGTCCTTCGATGTCACTCCAGTCATTGGACGTGAATTCCCCAATGCCAACTTGAAGGACTTCCTGCGTGCCCCCAACTCAGATGATCTGCTTCGGGATCTTGCTTTGACCAGTGAGTTTATCAGTGGCTGTGCGTGGCAGATAGAGCTGACATGAAACCTTAGTCTCGCAACGAGGAGTCGTGTTCTTCCGTAAGCAGGATGGTCTGGACAACGACTTGCAAAAAGAGCTTGTCCAAAGACTTGGTGAACTCTCAGGCAAGCCAAGCACATCTGGACTGCACATCCACCCAGTAGCAAACTCGGGTCGGGAACACAGCGTCAAGGATGATGAGATTAGTGTGATCAGCTCCGCAGGCCGGGAAAAGCTGTACAAGGACAGAAACACACGAAAGCAGACTGCACGCAGAGAGTGGCACAGTGACATCACCTTTGAGCCCATTCCTAGCGATTACACTCTCTTGCGTCTCACAGAGCTTCCCAAAACCGGCGGTGGTAAGACCCCTTTGCAAACTCTGTATTCAAATTCTCTTGAGATACTAAGCCTGTTGTAGACACCCTGTGGGCCTCAGGCTACGAGGTATACGATCGTATCTCCAAGCCCTACCAGAAGTTCCTGGAGGGCTTGACTGCAACCTATGCGCAACCCGGCTTCAACGAAATTGCCAAACTCAACGATTTCCAAATCCACCCTGGTCCTCGTGGCGCTCCCGAGAACGTCGGAGAGGAGCTCATTGCCGAGCACCCTGTCATCCGTACCAACCCTGTCACCGGTTGGAAGAGTGTCTTCGCTGTTGGCACGCACGTGCAGAAGGTCAATGATGTCTCCGAGGAGGAGAGCAGGCATCTCCTCGACTGGTTCGTAACTCTTATTGTCGAGAACCACGACCTGCAGGTGCGCAATCGCTGGCAGAATCCGAACGATCTTGGTATGTTCCCTCGTGAGAGTTTGTGAATACCCTATCTGACCTTTGTTATAGCTATCTGGGATAACCGATCGGTATATCACGCAGCAACCTGGGATTATGACGGGCTTGGCCCACGAACTGGACACCGTGCTGTCGGCCTTGGAGAGAGGCCATATCTTGATCCCAAGAGCATTGGAAGACGGGAGGCACTCGCCAAGAGCGAATAGTTGATTATATTATAAATCCCATTGGAGCATAGCCTCCTCACGATCCAATGTAATGAAAATTTTCAATTGGGGAATGATATCTCTCAATCTACAATTTATACCACCCGCCTCAGAAAGGTAAATTGAATTCCAAATTCTCGCTTAGCACAATGAATAGAAAAGCGTAATATTTCCCCTACTCTAAGTCACTAACCTGTAACTTTGATTTTTAAGAGAAATATTCAAAATGATGACTACAATTCGCCAGCTAAAGTACGTTAGTTACATGTTTCGGATGTATAGCACCCCATGCTAAATGGACTATCCCTTCTCCGAATCCACATATACAATCCCATTATCCATGAGACCTATGCAACCGGAGTAGCCACAGCGGCCATGGGAGCCATAGGAGTGTCGGTCACCAATTCCGTCTTAGTCTTTGGGAAGTTGTGTCTATATTTGTGTTTAGTCGTGTGCACGGAAGATTCTCAATGGCTTTACTCACCCAAACTGAACAACAGTCTTTTCACGGAAATATTCACCGCATGTGATGGCAGGGCTAAAAGGATCATCAGCAACTAAGCAAGCAGAAAGGATTGCAGAGCTTTGGCAATTGACTTACTACTTCTTCAGTGGCCCCTGCATAACAACATTCCGCCGACCGGTGTTAAAGTAGGCGATGGAGTAACGATCCGGGCTTGGGCCAACGCCTTGAGCCCGGACGCGGTGGAAGTTGGCCTTGAGACGGTCATCGGACCATGCCACTAAACAAGCCGAGGAACAGGTGGTTAGTCGACGACTTCTAGACATCAAGTCGCGAGGAACGTAGATCGGGGCACAGGATTGTGACTTACTTAACATGTCTCCGATATTGACTACAATAGGACCGGTCTTAGCGGGTATGGGAGAGAATTCCTCGCCAATAATTTTGTCGTTGTGATTTTTGCGACCAGGACAGACCTCCAGTCCATCTTCGCCATCACGTTGGAACAGAAGAGTGAGACACCCGACATCGGTGTGATTTCCAGCTCTCCATGTTCCAGCTGCATTTTCGGAGGCCATATAGTGAATCATGCGCATTTGAGTGAGGTTGTCGCTGGCTTCGACATCCATCGCTTCGTTGAAGTGGTTCTCTGGGAATCCCAAGGCAATAGAAAGGCAGCTTACTGATCATAATTTGTAAATTAGTAAATGAAGTACACGAGAGAAGAGTATAAGCACTCACAGACTTGCTTGGAGATACCCTCGCATTTTGAAATAAAGCTCTTGGTGCCTTCACTGAAGCCTGGCACGTCTTCATCGGCCGGCCACTGAGAGTCACGCTGTAACCAGAAAGATTCTTTCTGATCAGGAACACCGGTACTAGGACGGATTTGGGACTAGAATTTGGAATCAGCCTCAATAGCTCCAAACATCAATTTTCACCGTTGTGGTCAGGCTTCCTAATTTACCTTGTATTCCCAGCCGTTGTTGGTATGCAAACCATGAGGAATCCGTCCTTTGACCTCCGGAGACAGAGCAAAGAAGGCCCTCGAAAGAGCGAACTGCTTTTCGATCTCCTCAATGGTGATACCGTGGTCAACAAGAGTAAAGAAGCCAGCGGTCTCGGCTCCCTCAACTAGCTGCTTAGTGATCTCCTCCTTTCGGGACTCAAAGTCTGACCTGGGATTAGTATGTTATCCTTGACGAGTCTGATGGGGGAAAACATACCCTTAAGTGAGATAGCGGGTACGTAAAGCTCCTTGGGCATTTTGATGGAGTTCAAAGTAAGACTTGAATATATGAAGAAGAAGCAGCTGTTGCGTAGAGCGATGATGCAGTATGAGACTGATCTTTGATATCAGCTTCTCATATAAATGGAAGGGTAATGTGCATCTGTGATCCATGTGTATCACAATCTGCGGATGGTTTCTCTCAGCACCCACCGGCTGTGAATGTAGGAGGGTTTCGGCCCGTGGACCTCAGGGAGTACTATCCGTTCAATTCAAATGCCCAAATTTGGGAAACGGGCCGGGATCTAGGTGTCCACAATTAACCAGCTGATACAGAATATTGGGAAAGCATCTTATCACTTGCCCCAATCAAATTGTGGATTCAATATATATTTGTCGGTGGCATAGAAGTTGAAAATATTGCTGATAGCTAGCAAACCTTCATCTTTCTGGGCACGATACACATTGCTATTTTAGAATTTGGTTGATAGAGTATGATATACATAAAGTTCTATCGTATCACAAGATAGGGACTACATAGATTGGTAATGGATGAAGACCATGTAGCCATCTTTTGTAGCAAGGGGTGAACTCTCTAGATTAGTTGCAGTTGTTCTAAGAAAATTATCACAAAGAATCAGACTTCAGTACATCGCTTGGAGGTACAGGAGGTACAGAATGTATACGTTGTATACAAGCTTATTTAAACACTTGAAACGAATCGTTTGCTATTTAGAAATGGATTTTCGAGATATAAATAGATATATAATTGACCAGAGCATATAGGCGTAGATCAGGAAGATGATGTCCATACATGCCTTCTCATAGCTGTCTAGGTCTATAATTTACAATGTTTGGTAGCAATGTTCACAGCGGAACGAATTGACGTAGAATATCATATCATTAACAATACACAACCATATATCGAAGGTGAGACAAACGAGACGTGGAATGAAACAAAAAACTTAAATGGTATGCTCTAGATATCAAGACCGGTCCAAGTAGTTGTTTCCTTGACCTCGAAGGATCCAGACAAGACAATATCCGCACTACTTTGGCCCACATGAACCCCATAAGTGCCCTTCTCACTCAGCCATGAGCCCAAAGTCTCATCCCAGAATGAAGTTGACAGATTATCAAGCGGAATGACAACCTTCTGGGACTCGCCCGGTTGAAGAAAGACCTTGGAAAAGCCCTTGAGCTCCTTCACTGGCCGTGAAATGGTATTTGTTGGGGAAGGAGATATATAAACTTGTGCCACTGTGGCTCCTGCAATAGACCCAAAATTTTGTACACGGAGACTCACTGACTTTTGTGATACAGAGAGATCCGAAAATGCAAATTCTGTATAGGATAACCCATGCCTATTAATTCCAACATGAGACTCAATTAGCGGTTGCTAGTTGGAATAAGGACCACAGAAGAAGAAAGAAGAGTGGAGAAACCATCTTTCATCTGGAAGGACTCACCCAAATGGGAATGTAACACTCTTCTTTAACTTTTCATAATAGCGATAGCCAACGTATACTCCCTCGCCGTAGACAGTGCGTCCGCGCTCGCTTTCAAAGTTTAGAAAAGCTGGAGTGTCTTCGATAGCATTGGGGAAAGTAAGAGGAAGCCTGCCACTGGGATTGATATCTCCAAATAGAACATCTGCCAAACCATTGCCCATTTCATTGCCACCGTACTGTGAGAAAGGTCAGCCATTGAAGATCGTGTTAGGTATAAGTGTAGGAAATTTCGCGTTTTACTCACCCACATGTGAGCCTGAGTCGTTGTCCGCGAGACCCAAGGCTGCATGTTAATCGGCGCACCAGACTGCGTGACAATGATTGCATCGGGGTTAGCATCCAGCACCGCGGCAATCAAGCGACCGGTCGGCTCAGGCAAATCCATAGTCGGTCTGTCATAGCCTTCGCTCTCTAACTCTTTCTGGAATTTTATGTGAGCTAACAGTGACAGAATTTTGATTGAAATTACTGTGGGGGGATCTTACATCAAGTCCAACACACACTATGGTGTATTTGCACTTTCTAGCAAGTGAAGCTGCACGAGCGATAGCTTTGTCTGGATCTGAGACTGGCCAAACGCCAATGCGACCAGCTCCGGCACCGTAGGCTACCACCCCTTCCTTGTAAATCTTGGAGGTTGGAAGGCTGCCAAATTGAAGCTTTATTTGGTAACTTTGACCTCCTTCAATGTGCATCACAGCCTTCTTCTCCGTTGTCCCCCTTCCAAAGAAGGAATTACCCGGCTTCTGAATGGTGGTGTTATCAATGATCAATTTTTCGTCAATGAAAAGACTGGCTGTGCCGCAGCAAGCAATGCCCCATTCATATTCGCCAGTTTCGGTAGCAGAGAATGTACCTTCGACGTCAGCCCAAAATTGCGGTCCTAACTTTGGATGAGAATATCCCATAAGTTGCCAGGTCGAGTCTGTGATATCCATGATATCGACAACCTCGCGGTTCTGGTTTGACGGCGGCTCGGAATAGAAACGAATACGAAGCATTCCCACTCGACCGTCAGGCGATGTGATTTGTGAGCCGAGTAACGGGAGGAAGCCCCAGGAATGAACGCCAATCTCGTAATTTATTTTGACATCCTTGCGCTCTCCATTATTCGTGAGTCGGTCAACGATGCCTTGGTAGTTTGTAACGACATAATAGGAGTCAAGCTGAGCACTGCCTCCACCGCAGTATGCTCCATTCTTTAAATTGGGTCCAATGAGGGCTATTTCTTCAACCTCGTCAGACGGAATCGGCAGAATTCCGCACTCATTCTTCAAAAGCACGATGCTTTCGCCGGCGAGCCGACGGTTGGTAGCTCGGTCCTCAGCAGTGTCTCGTGTACATTCGATGGATGAAACACCATCGATCTTGGCACACCTCTTGACAAGATTCAGTACATTGCGCGCTCGAGCATTCAGTGTCGCGTGTGAGACTTTGCGAGATGAGACAGCTAGATCAGCTAGAATGCCTCGCAGCCTTGGGGGCCCCGGCATCTCCAGGTCCAGACCCGCATTCATAGCCTCGACTGTCGAATACGTGCCGTACCTGTTGCCGATCAGCGATGTTCAACGTAGAAGCAGAAACGAAAAGGTTCGTCATACCAGTCACTCATGATCATTCCCTCAAACCCCCATTCTCGCCGCAGCAGGTCTTCTAGCAGCGCAGGGCTCTCGGATACATGTAGCCCATTCACTTTGTTATAAGAAGCCATGATGCCTCCCGGCTGGCCCTCTTTCAGGGCGATCTGAAATGGCAAAAGGTAGATTTCTCTCAGAGCTCGATCAGTTATACGCACGTCAACCGCCATTCTCTCGTGTTCCTGGTCATTCGCGACAAAATGCTTCAGGGTTGACAAGATACCGGTTGATTGAGCGCCAGAGATGTAGCTACCAGCTATCTTGCCCGATAAGAATGGGTCCTCGGCGAACGACTCAAAGTTTCGACCCCCAAGAGGCGAGCGCTGGATGTTGACGGTAGGGCCCAACCAGACTCGTGCACCTTTAGCTTTGACTTCCATTCCAATGAGTATTCCGCCTTCCTGAATAAGCGTCTGATTCCATGTCGCCGCAAGAGCGGTACCACAGGGCAAACAAGCTGCACGGACACCTGCGGTGAATCTTGTGCCTCGCGCTCCATTTGGACCATCAGTGAAGCGAATCGATGGCACGCCCAATCGGGGAATATCATAGGTGTGCCATGCGTCCTTCCCTTCAAAATGGACTTTTGTTAATTTCAACAACTCCTTGATTGTACTCTGGACAATTACCTGAAATGAGACCCACTTTCTCGGCAACCGTTGCCTCCCTAAGAACCGCATTCACGTCGAAATCTGAAAGGATAGATTTGCTTGTATCCATGCTTGCGATCTTTCAAACAATATTGGAGAATAATTGACAGAATAATTTCCCCCCTTTGATCCCTCTTTTTAGGGTCGCTTGCAAAAACCTACCCGTTAGCCACGAGGGCTTGGCGATAAGGATTCCAAACCATCCGGGGGCTTGCCGAGCCTGTGGAGGGGGTTAACCGAATCAACGGAATGGGACTGGAAACTAGCCGGAGAAGATACGATACGTAAAGTCCCCGCAATCAAGACCCAGAGGGCCTCTGATATGCTGACCATCTGCGGAGTAGATAAAGCCCAATTCGCTAGATATCCCGAATATGCACATGAAATAACCTTTGGAAGCTTGGCCTAGGACGGTCGCCTCCTCGTTTCTAGTGTTCTAAACCCCCCGCCTCCAGATTCCAATCTACGAAACAACAAGCTCTGCTGACCACTGGTCAGTTTTAGAAATCAAGATCATTGGACAGCCCCCTTATCGCCACAAACTCAGATCTATCAGCATTGAAGCAGAGGCCTCCGGGGCTTCCAAGCTTTCTCTGACAGCCACAGTATCTCTCTAGCCAACGGCTTTCGATATGTTGGCATTTGGAGCTATAAAGCACTACATATACCCCTTCATCTGTCAATTCACTATCCACATTTCAACCGGTTGAAAGAATACTCCTCATTTTGACAATCCTTACGGACTATATACTTGAAGAAAATGGGGCTCAGCTTCCTTCAAAAGAAGAACAGAACCGATGCCGAGTTTGAGGGCATCCACGCGGTGCTGCCGAAAGACCGCAAGCCCTGGTACAGAACCTGGCATCTTATTCAGTTAAATCTGATTTTGCTTGTGCCTCTGGTCAGTTCCAGTGCCGTGGGATATGACGGTAAGAAACATCATTCAGTCATCACGTGTGTCTTGAGCATGACTGACTCGAAGTAAAGCCTCTATGATGAACGGTCTCCAGTCCTTGACGCAGTGGAAGACCTACTTCGGTCATCCAAACTCGGCAATTCTGGGAACCCTGAATGCCGTGTATCCCATTGGAAAGGTTTTGATGGTCTTCCCTGTCTCCTGGTTAGGAGATCGGTATGGCCGCCGATTCCCAATGATCATCGGACTCTGTGGCATGGTGGCATTCGCCATCTTCCAAGCCGCCTCGCAGAATGTTGCCATGTTAATTGTTTCCCGCTACCTGATCGGATCGTGCACCATAATGGTCGCACAGCCCTCGCCCATTCTCATCACGGAGCTTGCTTTCCCTACGCACCGTGGTAAGCTGACTGCCTTGTACAACTCGTCGTTCTATATCGGTGCCATTATTGCTGCCTGGGGTACCTATGGCTCCTTTACTTTGAGTTCCAGCTGGTCGTGGCGAATTCCTTCCGCTATCCAAGGTGCTTTGCCGGTATTGCAGTTGGCTTTCTTCTGGTGCCTCCCCGAATCGCCTCGGTAAATGAGTTTCCCTTCCATTCAATCACGAGGAATAAATTCGCTAATTAATTCATTAGTTGGCTGGTATCCAAAGGCCGCATCGAAGAAGCTCGAGCGTTCTTTGTTAAACACCATGCCGGTGGGGATGAAGCATCCCCTATAGTTGATTTCGAGATGCAGGAAATCATGCAACACATGGAGACTGGAGAAGAAGGAGCTACCAAAGTCCCTTGGAAGGAAATGCTTCGCACCCAGGCAAATCGCCGTCGGACACTTATTGCTGTGATCCTTGGATTCTACTCGCAGTGGTCCGGCACTGGACTGGTTAGTATCACGACCCCAAAAAGCGGATGGCATTTATTCCACTTCCCACTCCAAAATTAACTATCCGTCCTACGAGAACTCGAAACTAATGGTTTTCTTTCCTCGCTATCTAGGTCACTTACTACCTTACCCTTGTCCTTGACACGATCGGCATCACAGCAACCAAGGAACAGACCCTAGTCAATGGTATTCTTCAGATTGCGAACTTCGCGGGAGCTGTCGGTGTGGGAGCTCTCATGATCGACTGGCTCGGTCGCCGTACCCTCTTTTTGATCTCTGCAGTCGGCCTATTCTGCAGTTACGTATGCTGGACCGTTCTCTCGATGGAGTTCCACAGGACCGGAAATCCCTCTACAGCCAAAGGTGTCCTAGGTTTCATCTTTATTGCCTGCTTCTTCTTCAATATTGCCTGGACCCCTATGCTTTATGCTTACACGGTGGAGATCTTCCCCTACAAGCTGCGCTCATTTGGTCTTTCAACCGCTCTGATGACAGCCAATCTGGCGTTGATTCTGGGCCAGTTTGTCCACCCGATCGCGCTTGCCGATATCGGCCAGAGATACTACATCCTTTTCTGCTGCTTGCTCTTCGTCCTCATTTTCTTGATTTACTTCCTGTTCCCGGAAACCAAGAACCGTACTCTCGAAGAGATTGCGTTTATCTTTGAAGGAGAACAGAACATTCTTGGCCAGAAAGTTGCGGAAGAGCCGGCCGTGATGAATGAGAAAGAGCAAGTAGTTACCAAGAAGATGGAAATCAACGTCTGACTTCCCCACCACAAGGGGATTCCTGGGAAATGATGGGGGAGGAAATCAATCAAGTTATCGCTTGAATGCCCTCGAGTATCGATGTTGATGTATTTGTGTTTCAGAAACTGGAGTGATAGACAGACTAGCTGTTTACCTAGGTCATAAGTCAATTTTGTGCTACTCAATTTTACCACAAGACTTCAAAGGCTATCGACTTGTCAGACTGAGAGGCGACTGAATCGTACTTTTGGAGCTTTGTTATCGAGCTTTAATAATTCATTTGATTAAATTTAGATCCTATAGAAGAGCCACCCCAAAATCCAGCGCAAAGTTGTCAGAGAATTGGTACCCAAGGTCCTCCCATCCCTCATCGATAAATAAATCGGCATTAATCTCTGTGTGAACCATATGATTCGACATTTGCCAATTAGTTTCCAAGTCAGGTCCTGCTCTTGGTGTGAAATCTTGCGGCCCAGAATTTTGCATTGACGACATTGATACACCCTGTCCCGTGTCAAAGACCAATATTTCATCAACATACTGGTCTGCTACAGAGCGAGCCTTGCGAGAAGCCAGACGCTGGTAGAGATTGATCGTTTCCTCTAGCTCGTGGAGTGTCTTACTATACACCCTAGATTGAGGGCTAACAGCGCCGGCTGTTTCGAGAAGATTAACAACACCAGAGAATGCGCCTCGCAGATCGTCCTGTGATTCTCCAGCAAATATTGAGAATCCAAGAACTAAACCACTTCCAAAGGCCCAGGATCTTGAATCGGTTTGCGTCAGCTAGAAACTCTATCATAAAGATACACCAGCAGGATCGAACACTCACTTGAACAATCCCAGGTTCCCGAATGGCAGGTCTGAAGCCGTCATAACAGAGGCTACTTGTTGACACAGATGTCCCATATGCATGGCTGATATCATACAGACTTGTGCCAGGGATGCTCGCTGCGGATCAAGCGGCCCTTGCGACGATAAGCCTGATTGCTGGCGCATTCTTGTCATAAAAGTCTCGATCAGGAATGGCCGAGTGACGAGTATGACAGCGAAATAATAAAGACTAGACACATGGATACTACCGAAGGCTTTTTTGCGATCGGAATAAGCCATCGATACTCCGTTGGTGTAGGAGAACCGACGAAGCGATGGTGGTAGATCCCGGCTCCATGTCCGAAGCCTTTGAAGGAGGTTTTGGGCAGTGGGGATATCGTTCATAGCACCTCTGTTGAGTTGACAGCATATGTCATCTAGTAACACGACCCCTTTCAACACCGCATTAAATGCTGGCTCTTCGGCGTCGAAGGGTAGTGATTGAACGTTATGGCGGGTTGCCCGTGGAACGGTGCATGGTCGGCCAAGAAGGGAGCTCGTCAGGACCTCTAATATGCATAAACTATGCCATATGCGTAGCCTACATATAGCAAGATTAGAAATTATAGTTCAAAGACCAAATTGATATTTCGGATGCACCTTACCTTACACCATAACCACTTTTTAGTTTGAGGGACTTCCAGCTCATGGGCTGATGGAGACCAAGAACGACGGCCGCTTTGGAAGCAATTCCAAGATATATGGATCCAGCGCTCTGTCGGGATGCACCAAGAGTATAAAATGACAAAAGGAGACATAATCTGACAATAGCGAGACTAGGATTGGCAAGCATGTCTTGGAAAGCGACACATCGCGCTCTGGTGAAGAGTGTCATAGCGTTGTATGCATCGTGCGGTGCAGATGCCCGGGCTTGCGCACCAATAGCTAATGCTGCGTCCATAGCCGCAATGTCTTCGCCATTATATTTTGGGGAATCATTTCCGGTGTTTGCCGTGAGAAGTAACTCGACTTCATCATCGGCGAACAGATGCAAAATGCCACTTGACTAAAGTGGAAGGTCAGTGATCTACATCCGTGAAGCAGGATGACAGCCATGAAATTATACACGCACCACCTCGCAATAAGATTGGAACAGCTCGCGCTTCTCTGCTAGGTCTAAATGGACTTCCTCGCCAGCGACTTCATCCATTTCCGGTTCCAGTAAAGTGTTCCCGCGCTCGCTTTCGGTGAATGAGGTTGCACCCACCCATGGTCTCAGACTATGTCGAAGATAATCCAAAAATGATAGCGAGGTGTTCTCTCCAATATAAACTGTGGCACAATCAGGAGAATTGGCAAACGTCTCTGTCATTGTAGGGAAGGCCATGCTCACACTTTTCGCCGTTTGATCCCGTTACAAAGTGCTCTTGTGGAGATTCTTCACCGACAGGGATCTGCCCCACGGGGAGGTCATCACCCGTAGGCATCGACAAGGGTGTGTTTCCCGATAGCGACGATCCATCGGAGACAGACGGGGGTAACCCGGTGGCCAGGTAAGGGATCGAAATTAAATCCTCCGGCTCGGGAACTGCATTTGGAAATTCATCAGGGGGATTAGTATCCGCGACAGGAGACAAGAGTGATCGGGATTTCAATCTGCGTCGACCTCCCCGGCCCGTGGACGCGGCATGGTAAGTGCATCTGTTAGAGCGATTCTTCTTGATACAATTGGCGCAGGGGGATTTAGCGTCACATCGCGTCTTGGATGTTTTGCATGCATCGCATGCTCTATAAGCGCGGACCCGGTCCTCTGGGCGGATTTTTGGTCGAGGCATAGTCACAGTAAGAAAGAGAAGAGATGAAGAGTCGTATGATTCTATGTTTCTTTGCTGCCATTTACCCGGGGAAGCTACCTAGGTTCGTCTTGACTGATAAGGATGGGGTTCCCCCGCTTCTTGGCTTTCACTCGATATCTCCTGAAGTCAAATCCGTGGGAGAATCAAGCAGCTTGGGAAAACATTTTTTATTTAAGCGTCCTATATTTCAGTATGTTTTCTATGCCATTTACTCTCTTAGCGAGCAGAAGCCTTTTCTTTTCTTCCTTTGAGGGGGCCTAATCTTCAACGACTCGGATTGAGACAGATTGAGGTTAACCTGGGAAACACTTTGGTTATCCGCGTATCTCGAGGTATTCGGGCCGAGCACCAAGTGCAAGTGCCGACGTAACAGTGATTGGCTATCAAGCATACTATCCATACCTACATAGGTACTTCTGTTGTTTTCTTGTAGAATTCACATTCAACCCTAAAGATTTTCAGTCAATTCTCAAGCCCTCTATTTTTTTTCATCATGGAAGCCGCTTACAACGAGGTTTACGAGAAAATCGCCCTTAATACGGATCGCTTCAATCTTGGCGATGAGGAGGTTAGTTAGGAAATCAAAGTATCTGCCTTCTGATTTTACTGACATCTGATATCTTTGGGGGCAAAAGACCTGGCGCCAAATATATGAGCCATTCGTTCCAGCACAATCACCAAAAGTGCATGTTACCCGTGATCATCGATATGGTCCCGCGGAACGTAACGTTCTCGACGTTTACTTTTCTCCTGAAAATAAAGAGCCCGGTAGTCCCGTGTTAGCCTTTTTTCACGGTGGTGGCTTCTTTTCTGGTGACAAGCAATGGAGCCAAAAGGTTTGGTCTTCACACCTCTATTTCTATTCTGGAGTTATCTGACTGAGGTCTGGAACAAAAAGTATTGGGGAAACATAGGAAATTATTTCGCTCAACAAGGCATCATTGTCGTGATTGCTAATCACCAACTCGTCCCCTACAAAAAGGACGAAGTTTCTTCCAAGGAAGCAGAGCAAACAACCATCAAGTATCCTGCGGGCGCCGACGACGTACAGCTTGTCCGAGAATGGATCTACAAGAATATCAGCTCTCCAAAATTTGGTAATGGTTCTGTTGACAAAGTAGTGCTATTCGGGCACTCTTCCGGTGGTGCTCATATCGCCATGAATCTGTATGCGGCAGGTGACCCTGAGCGCACTGTGACCAGATCCGACATTTTCCCACCGGTGGCTGGCGTGATATATCTGAGTGTGCCATTCTGGTACGACCGAACTCGTCCTATTCGTCAAAAGATTCTTCAGCGATACTATGGATCGGATGCCGAGGATGTCTGGGGGGTAAGTTCATCGCATTGACATAAGGATCATTAGCTTACCATTTCTACCACAAATAGCCTCGGTCTTCACTCGGTCTGTTCAAAAGTCTACCAAAAGACTCACCAGCTCTGTAAGTCCAGAGATATACTCTCCAATCGGCCGTTTCCCCTTGTTTGCTAAATTACTAATCTACCACGTCCCCAGAGATGCTATCAAACTTCCGACCTACGTTGGTACTGTCAAGTGGGAGGTGTAAGTGATTCACTCAATCTACTATTCTAGCTTCGGGCACACGGATTTAACATTCAATGCAGCAAGGAGGCTTTTGATGGGGCCATCGCCTTCTTAAACGCTTATCGTGAACGTGCCCAACCGGCTGGCACGAACGCTATTTTCCATGTATTGGACAAGCACAATCATCTCAGGTGAGTGATCCATGAACCATACCCAATTATGTAGTGAATATTGTATTGGGAACAAAGGCTGACGTCTGTGGATTTGATTTTTACTAGCAATGTTCTTTCTATTGGGACACATGATGATGCCCAGGCCACCATGCTACTAAATTTTATTCGTACCTGTACATCATCAGGGCCGAGTACCGGGCATAAGTTTTCATTCAAAATCTAGACCTCAAATACTATATATCTCATGTCGCACAATTTCCCCACTGTCATCTTCTGTTTTGATTGAGTGGAAACCTTCGAAGAGTGAGTTTTACCGTACGACATGTTTATAGAGTAGTATTAGTTAAAGCTACAATAAAGCCTCGTGATTTCCTTTTTCACTTTTTCATGTCTTCTACTGTAGTACAAGTGCCACTGGGCGAAGTGGAGGTGTTCAAACTAAAGAAAAATCCACTACGCAGTACTCTACTCATATTACAGTGAAACCTTTTTTATAATGATACATTATAGATACAGGAAAAATATCGTTGTAACGACTTTCGTATAGCGGATCAATTGAAGCAGTAGATTCTGATCGTTATATCCGGTATCATTATAACCGGGTTACTGTATAACCAAATATATATTTAGCTATCATTTCTGTTTGTCAACCCAATCAACATCTTCCAATTCCGCATTATACAAAGTGTAGGATGAGTGCATCATAACACGTTGGTGTGAACCTTAGCCGGATAGTGGAACGTTATCTCGTAAACGTTCCGGCCCGCAGGTGTGTAGCCGGATTTCCGACCCCTCTGATATCCGACTGATAACCCGCTATCGAGTACGTTATTTATCTTCAAATAGAGCGCTTGTTAGCTTTCCCGTTTGATTTAATATCGCTGCAACTATATGCAAATAACCGCTGAACTTAATCTCCGCATCAACATGTCTTCCATCGATTCCAGTGATATCCCAGGCCTCGAAGAGCTCCCAAACGCCCCGCGGGTGACCTTAGCACCAAACGTTACTTTACAGCCTCCACTTTCCCGTCGTGGGCATGGCCCAGGTCTCATTGTGATAGATCCGGGCTATGATTTGCCGTATATTCCCTCTGCAGAGCTCCCATCGACTACTCTTGATCCCGTCCCACAATACAAATGGGCCGAGGAGGGGTATGCTGTTTTGCGCCTTGCGGCGCGGAAGACCTCCGAACCCGAAGACTGGTCACTAGAAGCTGGATTCCTCGATAAAGCTATTGAGAGCCTCAAGAGCTTAGAAGAATGCGACGTGAAAGACAAATTCGGCATACTCCGTACGTTATAGACCTAGCTTTTCCCTCGCCCTCAATTCTGAACGGCAGGTAACTAATCCGGTGGGATAAATAGTGTATGGAACACCCGAGGAATATGCGCCATCATTTCCAGAACAACTTGCGACAGCTGTAAAAGGCTCCGATAACATCGTCGCTATTGTCACTTTCTCTTCTGAATTTGATTTCACTTCCACCTCTAAGCCTCAGCTGGTTCATCAAGGGGGCAAAACAGTGCCCACGGAGAAAGAGGGTCTGACAATTTATACATACCCCGAGGTTGCAACGGGTTTCATCATGCCACATACCCCTGGCTTTGTCTATTCTGCTGCAGCGGTGGCTCATACGCGGAGCTTGACCTTCATCAAAAAGTATATTGGTGGTCCCATATTTGAGTTGGAAAAAATATGGGATGAGCACACATATTGGGAATTTGAGAATCGATCGGTTGAGAAGACAATGGCTACTATGGTGCGAGAGCCATATGTCAATCACATTCCTACGGTAAGGAGTCCTTATGTCCTCCCACCAAGGAGTGGAGATCCCCACTTTCTCTCAGTCAAAGAACCCTTTGTTAATCAATCGACCCTCATTAATTAGATGACTGGAGGTATTGGAAGAAAGCAACTTACGAACTTCTATCGCAATCACTTTATCTTCAGCAACCCCGACAGCATCAAAATGAACTTGGTCAGTCGAACGCTTGGCGTGGACCGCATTGTGGACGAATTTATTTTCATTTTCAACCACGATAAAGAGGTCGATTGGCTGTAAGTGAACTATCTATTATTTGGCAAATACAGACTTCATGAATGCTGTTCCGCCATGCTATTTCTTGTCAATTTCTAATAATTCCAACTCTAGTCTTCCCGGTATCCCGCCGACCCATCTTCCCCTCCGCATTCCTTTCTATGCAGTGGTGAATATTCGTGGGGATAGACTGTATCATGAACACATCAGTTGGGACCAATCTACGGCACTGCGTCAGCTTGGCTTACTACCGGAATACTTGTCTTTCCCACACGCTGTTCCTGGAATGGAAGGCAAGAAACTGCAGTATAAGCTACCAGTTGCGGGATTTGAGACAGCAGAAAAGCTCGAGGATCAGCGCAAAGTGGATAGCAATACCCTGTTCATGCCCAATGGGAGTGGGATTCGGGAGCATCAAGGCCATGACTAAATATAGATCGCTAGCAAATTTATTTAAAACCTAGTAACTCAAGATTGATTATAATTCATTGTTCTTTATAAAGTCGGTTTTATTATCTGCTCATATATGTGCGTACGGCTCTATTATACTTGACTAAAGGTGGTTCCAAGTTACAGACCAAGTACATATTCCGACCCTTCAACGGAGGATATTAAGGTATCCAGCATCGGAATGGTGGGGTTTGCGTCATGAAAAATCAGCTTCAGGTAGGGCGGATAGATTGTAGAAACACAAGGCGAGAAGAAGACCGTAGGCTGAATTAGTGCTAATGACTAGGGAGAGATAGGAGGAAGATCAACTAGGTCTCATCCACCTTAGGCAGTAAGGCTGCCTCAACACAAAATCCGGGACCAAATCTTGACACTCTCTTTTCTATCACATGAAACTAACACCATTATATACACTAACTTATCCATGATCCAATGTATGGATCTACAAGCGGGACCGAACAGCAGAATCCCGAATTGCCACGTATGATGGATTCAGATCTTCGATCCGAGTCACGCCTAAGAGACTCATGGTAGTCTCCATCTCAGCCCTGAGGATTTGAATAGCCTTGCTGACGCCAGTCTCTCCAAATGCCAATGCGTACAAGAATGCGCGCCCGAGAGCCACCCCTTTCGCACCAAGTGCAATCGCCTTGACCACATCGGCACCTCTCATGATGCCGCCATCGACAATCACCTCACAATTATCAAACACTTCCGGTGCATTTTGACGGATCTCGATCAACGTTTCAATCGCTGATGGCGCTCCCTCAAGTTGTCGTCCACCATGGTTTGACAACCAGGGGTGTACTCCGTACTTCATGCACAGGGCTGCGTCCTCCCAGCACTGAATACCCTTGATGGCGATGGGCAAATCTGTCAGTCCCCGTAGCCACGTAATGGCCGAGTCCCAATCAAAAGACGAGCATACCGCTCTATATTATTCAAACATGAGTCTCAAGTTAACAGTATGAAGGGGTATTAGAATGCTCACCCGCGTTGGGCACTAATTCCGCCAGTCGTGGGCGTGTCATCTTCGTCGTCCTCGGGTTCATCGGGGTGTGAGGCCTGAACAATAGTCAACAAGAAAAAGCTCCGCTATATCTTCAAAGGTTATCTGGATTTCACGCACCTCGTACTCTGCAGCTTCCATTCGCAGATCCCGTTCACGTTTTCCTCCACGAATAGCGTCGACCGTCAACGCAAAGCCTTTGTACCCAAGCTCAATAGCTCGTCTGATCTCCTTCTCTGTAACTTCCAGATCGGTTTTGGCGTAGATCTGCCAATATGTGGTCTGGTTTGGAGCGCGTGCGCATGCCATCTCCTCCTGCGTGCATCCAGCCATATTACACACCCAGTGAAGGACACCATTCTTCGCAGCGGCTTGGGTCATTAAGATCTCTCCGGCTGGGTGGGCAAGCTTGCCACCACCTGCTGGTCCAATGAAAAACGGAACGCTTACTTTTGTTCCCAGGATTGTGGTGGACAAATCGACAGACTCCACAGGGCGCAAGATTCGAGGTCGGAATCGAGCAAGCTGCCAGGAGTTGCGGTTCCATTGCTCTGTTTTCTCGTCCTCCGCCCCTGCTTTAAAGACTGCACAATTGAATGTCAATTCCAATCCTAGCAAAAGGTAATAGAGGGAGGAGGAAAAGACTTACAAGCAAAAGCTTTGGGAGAGAGCCGTTGGGACGCGGCCACTTCGAAGTCACTCATGTTCAAAATGTTCCTCAGTCGCAGCTTTGGGGTTGGCGATGGGGTGGAGAGCTCGCCATTGGACTCTTTGGTATTGGGTGTTTGTACAGTCATTTTGGGGATTGGTGTTGGTGTATCGACTTTGCCTACGATATCTCTATGTGAAACCAAACAAGTTAGTATCCCGTCAATCCTATGAAGTACATGATATGATATCGCTCACTCAGTTTTGATATACTTTGGCAGCGTATCATCAGAATGAATGCCTTTAAATGCCCGACTAGCGTCTTTCCCTGCGTACCGGAGAATTATCTTGGATCCGCCCGGGTGTAATTCAACAAAAGATGTTAAATCATACACGATTTGGTCGATGATAACCCAGCAGCTTTGTAGGGATTTGTGTTGAGCGACTTCGGATCTGTCACACACACGAAGCGATTCCATATTCTTGTATCTAATTACCAAATATGATTATCTGGTTTCCAACGGTTTAAAAGAGGAGTCTCGGTCCGGCTCCAATAGCAGCTGGAAGGTTAGTTTGCTCCTACTAATCTTCGGCTAGAATCCCTACACGGAACATAGGGTACGGGCCGAGAAGGACTTCCGTTATCAACGAATCCTTTGAATCACTCCAGGTATTGCCCAGTAACATGAGAGATATCTCAACAAACACGAATTAATTGGTATGATCAGCTCATCTTCAACATTTCAATTTCAAAATCGATATTGGATGAGGACCTAAAGCTTACTCATATATATATTGTTGAGAAATATATAGAGACCCCAAAGTACCAATGCACTTTCTGGGCTCAAATAATAAAATTCTCACAAGTATCCAGTTCCTTGTATTCTCAACACCCAATAAGGCTATTTTGGAATACGCGAACGGGATATGAATTTTGAAAGTATTGTGACAAACATAGAAGGCGGTATCTGGAGTGCTTATAAAAGATATCCATTTCTTCGAACAGACAACCATCATCCTCACTAATCAACATAATTGGCATAGCGCCCTGTTAATTATTTCATTCGTAACATGATACTATTTGAAAATATCGACAATTCCTTGGAAGGTTGTGACGGAATCTCGTGTACAGCAAGGTATGGTATACAGTTTAAGAAGCGTGGGATTTTAGTATTAATAAGTAGAAGACTATCGCGATCTCAGGGGTATGTGGAAGTTGGATTGGCGACGAAAGAAAGAGAGTTCTTTTAGGCAAGATAGAAGACGTCACTGAAATATTTAGATTGATGGCCTAGATATGAATACAAAACTTTTTGACTTGTAAACTGTACACTTGTTTAGTGTTATGATCGGTGTCAATGTCACTGCATCACCAAGCTCTGATACGTGGGCTCTCTGAGGTCGGTAGTCTTAAATCTATTTGGATAAACGTCTGCCTTGTTGAATCCGTACATGGATATTATCCTGCCCCAATATGATGAAATGCTGGTTGTCTCCAAATTAATCCACCGTTTTGACTGCTATATCCCACCTAGTGTTATGAGGTTTGCCGTGACTATATACCTAGGTTGCCGCCTAGGATAATGAAAATGATAACCAATTGGCATATTGGGATCCAACGAGCTATTCTACAAATACCCCTACAAGCTTTCAAGGTTGTCCTTACGGTTTTGAATTCTTGGCAGCTTGGGATCTTAGTTGTTTCCAACCGCAGGATCCTCGGAGTCCCTAGTTGAATCCCCGCCGTCACGAGGCGAATCCTTGCGATAGCTTGAGGAATGCTCATTGGGGTGCAAAAGATTTCATCATACAGGTGATCAATGAGACGAGCTGACTGGGCAGGGTCCAAATGAACTTCGTGCTTGTCTGGGAGGCTTACGTTTTGTAGTGCTCAGTTCAACATATAACCCACAGCCCCCTATTGACAGTTCCTGATACTGTTTTGAATCTCAGCATAGTTTGCCAAGTACTCTTTGGTAGCGACTGGCAGTTCATCAATCAAACGACGCAATTGACGGGCAGCTTCAGTATTCAGTTTATCACGAGTGGATTCAAGTATTCAATAATGCACTCAATCTTCGAGTTATACATATTGCGTCAGTGAACGAAAATCCTGCACAGACTTGCGCCTCTGAGACGTATAAAGTACGATGATATGAATGATTTCTCAGTCACAGTTCACCACAATATTTGAATCATCTTCTCCGACGTCCGATGGAAAGCAGGGGAATATAGTCAGATCACAATGTTGATGAGGGGCTAGTATATATTATTTCTCACTTCGCCACCAGCTGGAATGTGCGCTTTCCCCCCGTTAGCTTGAATCCTGATGCATCCTCTTATAATACATCTGAACTATAATTAGATTGTGTGTCCTCGGCTACACCAATCCCAGTGTACTATCTGGCTGGGGATCATGAGTGTTCTAAATGCCTCGCTCATATGCACTTATAGCCATCGGCGCTTACAAGTTCCCAAAATGTTCAACTAAAACGTTCAGCCAAACTCTCGGGTTTTATCTTATCCCCACTTTACTACAACTGGCACTGTACCCTTTAAGTGGGGCGCGTCGCTTGCGCTTGCAATTTCCATTCATTTCCAGTCGGCATGCCAAGCTTTCCATTTCCACGTCACCAGAAATCTTACTATTCAGCCCCAGTTCAGAGAACTGAGAGGAACCCCTAGATTCTGAAGAGTCTTGTTGAAACCCCCAAGCATTGGCTTCTGTTAATGCCTCTTTGCAGCGCGGGAACTGAACCTAGTAGTGGAAGAGGTTCTCCGAGCTGTATTTCCGGTCGACTACATACCTCCACAGGAAAGCTTTGTAGGAGTTAATGGGATCGTCCGTGAGTTTACTGTGATTATATGTGTCCCTATGCATAACTAAAAAGGACATTACAATAATGTAATTTCAATTTCTGTCGCATAAACCATATCCCGTGTCAATGGCTTTCTTTGGAACGTATATTGGGCATATGATATCTACACTAACAGGTTTCAAAAACTTTAATACATAGATGCAACATGATATGCAATGATAGAGTAGGCTTCAGGGTTGATAGCACACGGACATCCGGATATTCCACAGAATCCCGAAAACTTTAGCTCAGGGCCTTGTTGACCACACCAAGGATCTCATTAAGCGGGTTCTTCATGGAGAGGTTACATCACTGTCCGCTTTGAACTAAAATATCACACTAAGCCAATACAGAAGTGGCCCCTACTGCTCCGATTTATCGACGTGTTCCGATCTGATGCCATATTCCAGTTTTGCTCCTACTCAGCTCCATGTAATGACTTCTGTGGGTATCGATTCAGTATATAGGATTGCCATATTTAATAGAGTTTCTTCGTACGTTCTGTAGGAATGAAAAAGTTTTGCCTGCCTGAACGTTGGCGTTGCGGCAGGGCTACTCTGTTTTGTTTTTATGAAACAATCTGTCGCGCACCAGGAGATAAGATCAGAGGCAGCTGACGAGACCGAACGAATTTAGCTGACTCAGAGCGAGGCTATGAGATAGTAAAAGAAGGCTGATGTCATGTTTTAAGCTAACGATCGTATGTGTAGTAAATTTCATGGGAAAAGAACGATATCATCGGGATGCAGGCGGTATGGCATATTCAATACGATGCATGAAGGAGCATTGGCAGTAGCATCATATGAAACAGGCATGTAACTTCTTTACAATCTATCTCCTAACTTTAGACCTTGTACACGATCTTGCTGTTGGAGATGAGCCCGTCACGGTATTCCTGGAATCCCTCTAGCACAGAGTCGAGTCTCCCGAAGAGCTTCGGGGTATTCGGCTTGATGACTCCAGATGAGATCAACTTGGGCAGTTCCTTGAAGAACTTGGCCGAAAGCTCGTGATCTTCCTTGTGCGGCTGCAAAACCGATTAATAAATGACTTGAAATGTTTAGTCTCAAAGATGACTTACCGGCCAGTAGAAATCCTTGTATCTATGCTCCTTCAAGAAAGCCGTCCAGACAAGCACATCCGTCACCTTAGTCTGCTTGGTCACATTCTCGGTGAAAGCCTTACCCGGACGAACAGTGCACAAGACGCCACCCTGTTCGGAGATTGCCTGCGATGCAGTGACAGAGGACGAGTCGCTGCCGATGGCGTCGAAGACGTACTTCAGGCTGGATTTCGTAGCAGCCTTGATGCTCTCCGCCACCTTGGCGTCGCGGTAGTCGAAAGCGTGACTAGCACCAAGGGACTTGGCGAGATCGTGGTGTCGTGGACTGCAAGTCGTCACAACATCGAGGCCGTAGTACTTAGCGATCTGGATGGCGTAAAGTCCGACGCTTGCTGCAATTCGTGAGTTCGTGTGCTATTGATGGACCACATGTCATTGATTTGACTCACAGCTTCCGCCCCAAATGAGGACAGTCTCCCCAGACTTCTGAGGGATGTTGAGACAGTCCTTGGAGAAAAGGGCGAGTAGTGCTGTGCACGCGGCGAGGGGCACTGTGGAAGCCTGCTCGGGAGTGATGCCTTCGGGCAAAGGGAAGCAAATGCGCTCATCTGCGAGGGTGTACTCGCTGTAGCCACCTAATCCCTTGATCTCGCCTATTCAAATGAAAGTTTATATGATGAACAGAATGAGAAGATTCAAGAGCGTAACTGACCTCCCCAAACTAGACCAGCAATCACGGTGCCAGTCTTGATCCTGCTCACTTTGTCGCCCGTTTTCTCGACCGTACCGACAAAGTCACAACCGAGAACCGCGTCGTCGCCAAAGGCATTGGCATCAAGGGATTGAACTAGATAGAGAATTGGCTTTAGTTATCACAGAATGGGTGACTGGAAGCATAAATTACCATCCGTAGGGTTCTGGGCGACGTGGGAAATCTTCACGAGCACCTGATGTTCGCCTGGAGTCGGCATAGGAATTGTTTCCTTGGACAGCTTGCCACCTTTGGTGACAAGGGCTGTAGCGGTGGTGGGAGCCATTATCAATGCTTCTAATTACTATTTTTGTCGAAGGCGGTTTTGCTTGTGATATGAATTGCTTTTTGTTTCTCCGCAGCTGTGGCTTTTATATGCGTCCAACGCAGCAGGGTTCTTGTGCCTCTGTGAGGATCATTCACTCACAGTGGGTGAGCTGGTGAGATTTGTAATTAACCTTGATATCGTCAGCGGTGCGATTTGTAATTAAGTGGATATTGAATTCGCCTGATAATTGCTCCGATAAATGTGAGGGGTTAAGGCACGGATTTAGCTTCAATGTATGAAGTTGGCGCTTGCAAATGCCCGAAACAACACCGGCAGCGCCTGGACTTTCCGTTTGTGAGACAACAATCGTTGATATGCCAAGACGCCAAGCATATTGTCCTTGCCAAGCTTCCTTTTGCAAGAAAAGGCGCTTCGCGTATTTTTATAGTTTGCCTCGATTCTTCAGCAGTTCGTCAATGAAAATGGCGCAACTATATCGGAACGCATCAGCTAGCGACCGACCGCCTACCAATCACAAATGCGGGAAAGCGTTTTTGCGAAATAGCCGTAATAGCGCACCATAGGGTGCTCGTTGAGCGTTCAGTTGCATTGTCTTACCGATTATCAGGGGCTTACGATAGATGGCACTCCTAGCGGTGGATGATGACAGAGATAGCTGGTTGGCTAGTACCGATTACAGCTACTTCGGCTGATGAAATGAGCACCTGGATGGCCTTACCAAGTAGATGGGACTCTCTCAGGCCGCCCTTTCCGTACAACAGATAAGAGGGCCACTTTCTAGCTCTTGCCAACCGTTTGTTGGAGCATGGCGCTTACCGGCCAAGCCGTCACGCATGGGTTTGAGGACATTCTGCATCGCGGGAAGCTCGGGAAGCCTCATGTAAGACAGGCCCATTTACTGTCCACTACAGACTCTGTTGGGCGTTGCTGACGATTCCGGATGTAGTATAGTCTGCGAAGAGATGGCAAATTGATACGGGCCAAGATATGTCGCGAACAAAAGCGGGACTATCGTATAGTCGAATACTTTTCATCCAACCATGGCAGCACGAGAGGTTCAGTAGATTGGATTGAGGAGTTTTCTGGGCTATGCCACGAAGAGCTGGGCTTGTAAGAGACCGCTGATAAGGTTCGGCCACGGCCTGGGAAATCTATAAAGATGGAGTGTTCCGCCAGCATCATCTTGCTCTTCTTCTCTCACAGACAGGCCGTCTTCGTTCCAATCTAACAACTCCCTGACCAGACCAGCCTGAGCAACACCAGCTACAATCGATCAAAAGATGAAGTCCTTGAACATACTGGCAACCGGCCTCTTTAGCTTTGCCGTCCAGGCCGCAGTGCCTTCCAGTGGCACTGCTGAGGCTAAGACGGCGCTGATCAAGGAATTGCTCACACCTCAGCTCTCCGAGAACGCCACCATTGTCTTCCCCGGCTCCCCAGAATGGTATGATGTTACCCATCGTGCTGCTGCTCCCCGTTTACACCCAGGCTATCTCGCCGTTGTCGACGTAGCTGCCGAAGACGATGTCGTGAATACGGTATAAGATGAACTGTCCAAGAAGAAAAAGGAACATTATCTGACACTTCTACAGATCAAAGTCGCCAACGAGATCGGAGTCCCGTTCCTAGCTGTCACCGGTACCCACGGCTGGACCGACGATATTAGCAAGATCCAGGGCGGAATTCAGATCCGCATGCGTGGCCTCAATCAAGTCGGTCTCGGCCCCAACAACGACACTGCATATGCCGGCGGTGGTGTCATTCAATACGAAGTCGTCCAGGGTCTTTATCCGTATGGAAAGCAAGCTGGTAATCTCCCATGCCCTCTCATGTGAATCCCGCACAAGCAAGCCAAGAAAGATCAACTGATAAGCATGTCTTCCCTAGTCCATGGTCTCTGCGAGTGCGTCTCCATCATGGGTCCCCTCCTGGGTGGTGGTCACAGCGTACTCCAGGGTGAACACGGTTTCGCTGCTGACAACTTGGTCTCGGCTAAAGTCGCGCTCCACAACGGTACTGTTGTTACTGCCTCAGCCACTGAAAACGAAGATCTCTTCTGGGGCCTTCGTGGTGCTGGTCACAACTTGGGTATTGTCCTTGAGTTCGAGGTTAAGGCTTATGACATCCACCCGGATCCATGGACCTTCACGACGCTCGTATATGAGGCCGATAAGATCGAAGAGTACTTCGAAGCCTGGAACAAGCTCGAGGACACAATTGCTGACCCCGGTCTGGTTGTCCTGAACGGTTACTACCGCAACTTGCCCGATATCAAAGCTGGAAAGGTGAGTGACTAGCGTCGATATTGTCGCCACAGGTCACATCTAGTAGTACTTGCTAACAATGCTCCAGCCTCTTCTTGTCATGGATCTTATCTACCAGGGCTATGACACCGCTGCTCCCCAGTACCTTGAGGCCTACCGTGCTATCGGCCACATCCATGAGGAGACTATCACCGATATTTACTGGAACAAACTCTTTGACGTCACCAATTTCGGTCGTGACGACCGGGTCTGTGTCACTAGTCAGAATTGGGGCGGCTATGTCAACTCCATTGTCCGCTGGGAGCCCGCGTCCATGCGTGAAAGCTACAACATTTTCGCTGATCTTGTCGCCATTGAAACCTACAACACCTCTACCTTCATCTTCGAGTCCTATGGTCGCAAGGGTGTCCGCGACTTGCCCGATGACTTGAACGCTGTCCCACCGGAGGAGCGCAACAAGCACAACATGCTGGCTGCCTTCTTGTTCTGGTCCGGTGATAACAAGACTGAGCTCGCTGTTGCCCGCGAGTTCGGAGAGAAGCTCCAACTTTCCAGCCGCAATGGTGAGATTACTCACTCTTACGTCAACTACGCCATAGGTGGTGAGGAGCTTCCGCAGGTATACGGCCGTGACGTTGATCGTCTGCAGAAGCTCAAGGCCATCAAGACCAAGTTTGATCCTTACAACAAGTTTGGATTCTATGCTCCCCTCACAGGCGCTTGAGTGCGAAGATGATGTGATAGTGACGGCTGAAGCGCCGGAGTAAATATCACGGTCGACGAGTTCGGGGACGTGAAGAAGAATTAAGTATACTATGTATAGGGAGAGAAAGGGGGGAAGAAACAAAGGATTGGTCCAATTAGATTCTAATATAGGGCTTAAATTTAGATAGGATAAATAGAAGTCATGATGATTTCAACTAACTTCCTTCATAGCTAATCAATTGTGGTCTCTTATTGGGATGGGGTGTAAACATTATCCGTGATTTGAATTGTAATCCTGAAGGCAGTATTATTTGGAAGTACTCATAATCATCAGGTAGTGTACTTGAATCCCAAATTGTCCTTATCTGTCATATCCAACCAGTCATGGTTAGTAGACATGCGAGCTTTGATGGCCTCTTTACGCTTCTTATTGCCAATGTAGTAAACTAGACCATATACTGTAATAGAAAACATTGTAACGATATAGTATATAATCATTACCATAGTTCTACTATATTCAATTGCTTGATCTGCTTGGAATGTTTAAGGTCCGATATATTTCCGGTAGCCTAGGTAATATAAAACTAGGCGTAGAGCGTGATTCTAAAATATTATTAGTTTAGACTCATGTTTTTAGGGGGTATCTTACTTCTTTATATGACCTATATTACTCGCCTACTATACTAAAACTTGGCCTTAACAACTCCCATGGGACTAAAAGAATTTTGCTCCTATAACCCTAGTTGGCCTTCATACACACCTGACCCTGATATGACTAATGAATCGAGCATGCGAGCACGGGCCACGCTTGCCTAATACAGTAATCTTCTATTTCCTAATCTGGAAAGATATAGGAAGGAGCAAAATAAAGGTATCTACTAAGCTCTAGATAGACCCCGGGGCCTCAGGAATACTCCAAGTGGTCAAACCGAGATAGGCACGATGCAGCCTAAAAATGACCATATTAAAGCTGGGCGGATGTAGCGAGAAGGAATGAGGAATGGAAGATCTTTTTGAGATCGTATTCTAAAACAAATTTCCCTTCGCATGTGCACGTATCTGATTATTTCATGTGTTCCCCTTCCTCCTTTCTTCCTTTCCACTCCATCTCAGAAAACCGAGCAGACAAAACCCATCTCCTAAGAAATCATCAAGATACGCCTAGGTAGGATCGACCTGTATATCTGCTATTCTGGGGACTACACTAACCTTGAGAACATTCCAAGCCACCTAATACACCGGGAGGGCTTCAATGTCACCTAACTTTACCTTTATATGTATGAATTGACTTCATCAGGCCCCTTGATTATCATTTTTTTTCCCATGCGACGATTTATAGAATGACATTAACCAAGCCATCTTTTTTTACCTAATTTGACTTGACTACTGTGCCTCATATGTGGCCCGGTATTATTAAAGAGAGGAGTGTTTAGATTATTTGACCATCTGTGTGTCGGTAGCAACAAATTGCCAATATCGCTCTGCGGACATCCTCCTCCATGATTTCCCCCAGATAACTACAACGACAAATGAATATGTACAGAAGAAAGAGATAAATGACACTGAGATAAAGCAGTTTCGAAGACCCACTGCTTCGATCCATGGTGTTATGGCGTAGCTAAAGCTAAACCCTATTGTATTCCGGATGATATTGATGGAAACAAAGGATTCACCAGCCATTTCTTTGAAACAATCGACTGCGTATGCCAATGATATTGCACTTGCACAGACGACTCCAAAGGTGGTGACACCAATTCCGATGATTAAAACCATGTAGTGTGCCCCTTGACTGGCCCCAACTCCCCACATGACCAGCCCCCCTGCAGCAATAGGTGCGGACACCAGAAGGCCCCATAACCTATGTTCTGGTTCTCGAATACCTCCGTTGCGCTCTGCTAGTTTGATGGCGAGATAATCTGAAATCTTTCCCGCCCAGACGGATGCAGCTCCACCGAAGACAAAAGGTGATAGATAGGCAACACCAACCATTGTCGGAGGGAAATTGTAGGGACTGGATCCTAGAATACTGGAAATCGTTGCGTTGATCACGCTATAAAGGGCTAGGTTGGATCCGTATAAGAGACCGGCCCACAAAATATTGGGAAAAAAGAAAGGAATCTTTAACGACTGCCAGCTCTTTGAAGCCATTTGCTTATGGGTTGGACGACCAGGAAGTATTGTAGCCAGTGCTAGCCTCCGCCGACGAAATTTTAAGCCTGTAGATATTCCAGTACGACCTAGTGCTGTAGCTGTTTCGGTCTCAAGTCGCTCCGTAGTGGTGATCTCTGGCTCTTCATTGTCATCTGCCGGGACAATTTCATATTGCTGGGCCCTGCACTCGGTTGTTTTTCAAAAGTAGATTGTATCCTCCATGAAAAAGAAGAGGATCAGTGAGCAAATGCCCAAAAATACTGTAGCGAGATACATAACCCATTGCCAACCCAAGCCATCCGCTATGAACCCTGCAAGAAAGGGGGCAGTAAAATTTGATCCAAACAAGACAAAAGTGTACAGGGCCATATAGTTTCCTCGCTCATGAGCGAAGAAGAGATCCTGGACCGACAATTCCGGTAGAGACTCCACAGATGAACAAAATAGTCCCAGAAGAATGCAATGCGCGTACCATTGACTGGCACCATGAGCCAGCGGCACCCATAGAACCGGTCCTATCGAGAATATAATGGTCACAAGGTAGACTAACTTGCGGCCATATGTCATGGCGACAGGTTGCCATAAAAGATTTGCCCATCCTTGCATCAACTGCATGAATCCAGTACTAAGATTGAGATCTGCAAGACTGACTCGTTGCGATTCGGATATTTGTTTCATTGTGGAGAACGGCGCAGCTGTGCATAAGCCAACAGCAAAGGTGTACAAACATACCATGCCGATATTGAGGTTTTTCCACTGTTGTGATCGATTGAGGGGATCATTTGGATCTGTGCTGGGCTGTGGTTGTAGAATTATTCGTTTCGGTTGAGCATATATATTGCTGCCATGCGCTTTATTGACGAGAATAATAGTTCCAGGTACATCATCATGTTCATGGTGCTCTGGAAGATGGTCCATGGTAGGGTCTCTCAAAGATAACGGAATATGTGACATGGAATATAAACCGAATTAATTGATAATGCTGTCAAATGGAGCTTGAAATTGATATCACAAACTTGAGCCAACAAACTTGGGCGTTCACTGACCACGTATGTAAGTAAGCACTCCAATGAGAAGGGTTATCAAGATATTACCCAAATAGGCAGGTGAGTCAAAGAAGCAAGTGAGCCAGCCATGGAGCCACCAAGGGATAGAGATAAGCTCTCTAAACCCCTCTTTTTTATTTCTTTCCCGTCCGTAGGTTGACATATATGCTTTCAGAATTGAGGTAAGCCAATCATCGCTATTGCAATACGAAAAGAGGCCCCAAGTCCCTAGCTAACGGCATTACAACTATACTAGCCTAATAAGGCCATGCCACAGCAATCAGACTCTCTTACTTGTTTCAGATAACCTGCGAAGAGTGATAAATTAAATCTTCGATACATTCTCGACTAGGTTCGTGAGTCCTCTCCCCAATATTGTGGGATATGCAACCTATCCGGCTACTGTTATTTGCATTATAGCTCTAAAGAAACGCTAAAGATAATAGAACGCGGGCCTGGCCCCACCTAGGACGTGTATTTATACAGCAAGTCAAAGGATATACTCGATTAGGAAGGCGGCCTTATACCAATCACAGTATGTTAAAGGGGGCTCGGATAGGAACGGCGAGTATATACATGCACCTAAGTCTCTACTACTTCGAGCCAGATTAACCACGCAACATGGCTCCATCTAAAAACCAACTCTCCACGGATATCTCGCCAGATCTGAAGAATGACGCTGAACGTGACTTGATCGAGAGTTCTCAAAGGGCTACCCGCCGAGAACATGACCTGACCGTACAGCAAGCCCTTTCCAAGCATAGAAGTGCTATCTTTTGGGCAGCCTATTTTATTCTACCTGGTTTTGTGATTGGTTACGATCCAACAATCCTTGGCAGCTTGGTCGGTATCCCACAATTTCGAAAAGACTTTGGTTACGAACACCCTGCTGGTTCAGGCACTTATGTCCTCTCGTCTTCTTGGACATCGGCATTCCCATACGCACCTATTATTGGTTTCTTGGTAGCTCCAATTTGGGCGGGATGGTGCGTCGATCGTTTCGGACCCAGGAAGACACTGCTATGCTGCACAACCCTGTCTCTGGGAACCCTCTTGATGGAAGTTCTTGGTAACACTTCAGGCATTATCTTCGCCGGAGACCTCCTTACTGGCCTCCTCACTGGTGGGTTCCCCGTTCTCGGTCCCGCATACATATCGGAAATCCTGCCTGTTAGTCTTCGAGGTATCGGACTAGCAGCCAACAACTTTGCTCAGGTTGCTGGGTCATTTATTGCAATCGGGATCTTGCGCGGAACGGAAACTCGGGCGGACAAATGGGCGTACAAGATCCCTTTCATCACAGAATACGCTTTCCCTGTGCTCTTCATTCTTGGAGCACTCTTTGCCCCAGAAACGCCTTGGTTTCTGGTGAAGAAAGCGCGATACGAAGAAGCAACAAAATCCCTGGAACGTACTGGATATACCCAGGATCTCGACGATACTCTGGCTCATATGAAGGAAACCATTCTATTGGGAGAGCAGTGTGTATCCACTACCGCCTACCTTGATTGCTTCAAGGGCACAAACTTCCGACGTACTGCAATATGTTCAATTTGTTACAGCGGTCAATTCCTCTGCGGAGTTAATGTTGTGTCTTCGTATTGCACCTACTTTTTCCAGCTGGCAGGCGTGTCAACGGATCAAGCATTCGATCTTTCTCTTGGTCTCTTTGCGCTTGGTATTGTCGGGAACGTGATTTCATGGCCTTTGGTGTCAATCTGGGGTAGGAGATTCGGCTACATTTCAACCTGTTGCGCAACTGCCGTCTTGATGTTTTTGATTGGATTTTTGGATCTTGCACCATCTTCCAATAAGGCCGCCCTGTATGCCAAGTCATCTATGCTGCTTGTCTTTTACTTTATTTACAACTTCGGTCTTGGCCCCCTTGTTTATGCCTTGATTGCCGAGATCCCAAGCACAGCAATACGCGGAAAGACAATGGGCGTGGCATGTTCTTTTGCCCATATCTTTTCTCTCGTCATTACAGCCGCTCTTCCCTATGCAATGAGCCCCCTCGAGGCAAATTGGGGTGGCAAAATCGGGTTTTTGTTTGGCGGACTCAGCGTTGGGGTGGTAGTTTGGGCATTTATGTGTCTGCCAGAAACAAAGGGCAGGACGTTTGAAGAGCTTGATATTCTCTTTGAGCGGAAGACGCCAGCCTGGAAATTTGATAGTACTGATTTGACAGATTTTGATCGTGCAGCCGTGATTTACGGGCATAGTGGGAGTGTCTGAATACATTCTAGTTGCGCGATAGGAGGTTCTCTCAACACCGTCTCATAGACCTTGTATAGATCATCCGATCCATGTATTGTCTCTCAATCACATTGTCAGTCACAACGGCTTCTGGGTTACCCGCATGATACATAGAAAATATTCGGGTGAGACTATGAGCTGCACAACATCAGCTTTTCGAGACATGAATCCTTTAAATGAATATTGTTTGCCTTCAAGAATTTTCTGTCCTTTAAACCCATGGTAATCGTGGACATTGTTAAGTAACATAGAATGATCAATCAAAGTTCAATTAACCTGTTGCAGTAAGTAACATAGAATGGGGAAGGTTGATACGCTGCATTGTTGAATAATTGATTATTGATGGGAAAAAGAGACTTTATGTGCAGGTCTTTTGTCCGGCCTAGAGACGAGATTCCCTGATTTGCCTTGGGGCTTCAGCGGCAAACGCACGTAAAATGAAGTCGCAGCCTCCGACGGTGACCTTCTCACCACTCTTACGCTCTCGCATTTCAACATCTAGCCCATCAGCCATTGAAGGCAAATCCTCACTGCTCGGTCCTAATGCATATTTTACCTCCCAGTGGCCATCCGCCCACTCTTCCCTTCGTGCGCTCACCCCCTCTCCAGTGATTTGAACAGCCCGTTCTCCAAGGGGTGTCCGCCCAACCACATGAATTTGCTTCTGGTGAAGAACCAAATACGACCCCCCAATTTGCGCTAGGAAAACCTTGGTAACTTGGTGCTGACCCTCTTCTAGAACACCCTCATCAGACTCCAAGATCCACGAAAGGCCACGCCCTGGCCCTTCCGGCCCTTCGGGAACCGGAAGATACCTCCACACTTCTTCATAATCCGTCATCGGCAACCCAGGTACATCTGGTCGAGCCATTGTCCCAGTCTCCAAATCATCTCCATTGGGGAGCGGGATGAATGGACATGGGTTGCTAATGTTGAAATTGTGGTGGGAGTCAATCTCATGGGTGAACACCACGCGGCCTATAGCAAGTCAGTCATGTATTGCATGATGTACCATCGACAGTCAGAAAATTGGATTGGGATCATACGTGGGTCTTTGCTTTCCTGGATACATTCTCCTGCGAGCGCCCAATCGATTTTGCCGGATTGTTTATCGACTCGCAGGTCGACGTACCATTCGCCAACCGTTATCACCAGTGTATCGGTAGTTTCGAATGGTGTCTCTGATGCCCATCTCATTGAGATGCGTGTTGTCAAGCTCGATTCCAAGGCTGGTACAGATACTTTTGACATTTTGGGTGGTGGCGATATTTTTCAAAATGTTCGCCTGCTCTGAAGACCGAGTGGGGAAATTTTGGCAGGCCAAGATGGTATAGGTAATCTACATGGCCCAATTGGACATATAAATACTACAAATCGAATTGCTAAGATATCTTTGACCCGAAAGTGTTGTTCTCCACAATCTCCAACTACCAAGAAATTCGACCCCGCGCTGTCCGAGTCTCGCTGCTGGTTGCCGTTTTCGAAGACTTTTAACTATTCCGTAGATAGTGACTCACTCGTTAACTTACCCGATTCGAGAATATTCATATATTCATTATAAAGAGAAGGTTATAAAGACAACCTTGATTTATTGTGAAATACCAATCCTTATTCCACCTGGTTCTTTGTGTGACCACTCAACAAATTGAAACACAATGACTTGGATTCTGATCGCTGCTTTCATAGCAGCCTTTCTGGTCTACCACCTCTCTATTTCCACTTTATTTAGCCCTCTTGCACGAATTCCGGGTCCAAAGAGCTTTGCCTTGACCAAGTTCAAATTGGCATATGAGGACTACAAAGGAACTCGCACGCGAAAGATCAATGCTCTCCATCAACAATATGGACCCGTCGTCCGTATCGGCCCCAGTGAGGTGACCTTCAACAGTACCACGGCCTTACGTGCGATCTATGGTGCCGGAAGTGGCTTTGAGCGAACTGGTTTCTACCACATGTTTGAGGTTTACGGACGAAAGAACATGTTTTCGTTTGCGACCGCGAAGCAGCATGGAGAAAGGAAGAAGCTCTTTGCCCACGCCTATGCCAAGTCGGTGATGCTCAAAGGTCAAAACGCAGAAATGGTTGAGCAGAAAGTCAAGTTGTATATGGACCTTCTAGAGCGCGATGGGGGAAAAAGTGAAATCTTTTCCACCTTGCATTATTTCTCCCTAGACACAATCACCGACTTTCTTTACGGATCTTTCGGCAGGACTTCGTGTCTCGAGGGATTGGGGCAAGATCGCGCGCTCATTGTGGATATCATTGATACTGCCCGTCGCAAGCTATCGTGGTACGCAGTGCATTTCCCTCACTTCACGGAATGGCTTTACTCCAGGACCGGGGTTAGTGGCTGTATTGCGAAGTGGTTGTACCCAATGCAACTGCCAACGACATACAGCGGCATCAGACTTCACGCGATGAAAGCCACTCAGAAATATGCCAGTGCTTCTGCCAGCGAGAGAGCAAGCACAACAGCCCTGATCTCCAGGCTGTGGAGCCACCACCACTCCGAAAAGCCAAATGGAATCGACGATCTCGATATTGCATCGGAATGTGCAGACCATCTTCTGGCAGGCATTGACACCACGAGTGACACATTGATGTTTTTGATTTGGGCTCTTTCTCGGCCAGAGAACAAGGAGTTCCAAAACAAGCTGATTGAGGAAGTCTGCAACATCCCCGAAGACTCGCTCAATTCAAATGGCATCCCCAAAGTGGAAAGTAGCGACAAGCTCTCCTACCTCGATGCAGTTATCAAAGAGACCCTCCGTCTCTATGCACCTCTTCCCGGATCAGAGCCACGCTCACTTCCCACGGTAACCACGATTGATGGCTACACAATTCCGCCCCAGACAGTGGTTTCTATGGCCCCATACTCTCTCCACCGAAACCCTGAAATTTTCAAGAATCCCACAAAATTCAATCCAGAGCGCTGGTTGGATCCCTCTGAAAACTTGGCCGATATGAAGAAATGGTTCTGGGCATTTTCCAGCGGAGGAAGGATGTGTATTGGCATGCAGTATGTTCCTTGTTTTTCTATAGGAGGAACTTCCGGCTTCGATTATGACATACGGCTAACGAAGAACAGTCTTGCAATGGCAGAAATGACTACTTTGGTCGCAGCCATTTATCGAAAATACAACACCACACCAATAGGAGATTTCGGCACCGTCTCTCCTGGCATCACAGGTCGCTATGAAGTGTTCTATGATGATTCTTGTAGTCGAATGCGGGTAAGTTCAGTTGATATGTTTCTCTTGAAGTCTCACTAATCATGGAAACAGGAACACGAGTGTCAAATCCAGTTCACGCCACATCAAGCAATCTAAATAGTGTAGTTTCTGTGCTAAGTGTTATATTTCAAAGGTGTCGCATTATATTGGGGTTTGACGGATTGGATGATACTTTAGCCCTATACTTTCTCGATGAAATTCAAAATAATTACATATAAGTTTCCAACATATATAAACAATTATTCCCCCTCTTCGTATTGCTTAAGACGAAGGGTCTATGATCGTCATCTTTCTCTCGCGATGGAGTGTGATGAGGAATCCGTCAGTACTAGGACGGGCCGATTTTCTTTCGATTTTGTCTGGCGCTGAGAGACTCAGGCTCAGGTTTGGGGCCAGTGATGAGGAGTTAGTACTGTTAATGTTAATCTTCGAGGTGGCTTCTTATAGAGAATTGTGAAGAAGTTTACTTGATTTGTACTTGGCTTTCCGTAATGGGATGCATCAAAGTATGATAACACCTTCGCAGAGGGGGTTAGCATGTTGATGTAGGGGCGAAGGCTGACAGAGGATTTCCGCGGCTAAATATATTCATAGACCCCAACTTAGGTTTGGCAGACATAAGAGTTATTCGATTAAAAGTGTTCGAGGTAAGGATAGCTCCTCTGAGCGTTATAATCCTATGCTAATAGGTTTAACGAGCTTAGTCTGTGGCATGGAATTTACCATATCGACGGTCTACAATGGCCTCACTCGCACGAAGACTTATAAGAATTATAGGACTCAGACTTCAAACCCCCCTTTGTAGGTGGGAATTGATGCCTGAATGTCTTATTTAGCACCGCTCTTTACATCGCTCTATACTGTATGGTAAATCATTAATGCTACAGCTGTCAAAGATGAAGCTTTTGGCCCCATTAAAATCCCCCTATCTCTATTTTTTGGACTTGTAAACGCGACTAGAATCGGTGTACCTCGATTATCAAGCCATGTGTAATAGTAATATAGGTATCTTGATTTTTCCGCCGTTTCTAAGTCAGGCATTCAGGCACTAAACCACCTACGAAAGCGGCTTTGAACCCTAAGTCCTATAAGTTTTCGTAGACCCTTCTCTCTTCCACGCCTAAGAGACTTCCTCGGTGTCTCGGAATCGCTGCCACTCTGCTCGGGATACTAAATCAAGACCTCGCACATTAGCAACTCATTCACCGATATGGCGTTCCCAAACTAGCTGAGCGTGTACGCTGTTAGGGCTTCCCATTTGAAGACGAAGGGTCATTCTTCAAGCCGACGACAACACAACCAGTCACAAACAAGGTAGAAGCGTGTGTAGATAGAAGAAACGTGCGAGGGATCAGGGACTGACCGGATACCGCTTCCGCCAGTAGAACCGATGCAACACTATAGCGATATTTGGCCGATCAAGTTCCAACGCATTCTCCTCCGCCCGTTTCAACGCCCCCTCGACTTCACCCAAAGTTAATCCCCTGTCATCAAATGCCCATAGAATAATCGCGACAGCACCCAGCTGGCCCTCCCTCACCGCAACCGACAACGCTGTCTCACCCTCAAAAGCAACCAGCAGATTCGCCCCTTGTTTCAATAGCCATCGCATGGCATTTTGATGCCCGTGTCCCGCAGCCCTGATAAACGCAGTTCGACCAAGCGCATCCGTATCATCGATCCTACATCCATTATGTAAAAGCAAATCAAGTAACCCCTCGGGATCTTCATCGGCCTTCATGGCCTGCATGAGCAGGTACACCGTATTATCACCCGCATGGATATGAAGGCCCAGATCTAGAAGCAGACGCACAAGAGAGATCCTGCCATGAGACACCGCGACAGATATATATTGCCATACGGTCTCACGGTGGATGTTTTTCGGTGCGGCCACTAAACCACGGTCAAGTAGAAAACGGAGGACGTCTTCGCCACCAGAGAGGGCAGCGGAGAATAGCGGGACCAAACACTGATTAAATAGGTCTCCGCCTAAGATTGGGTCCGTGACCAGCTCTTTACCTTTGGGGTGGTCAAGGAGGATGCGGAGAGTGTCAACATTGCCCCAATCGAGGACATCGGCGAGGAGATTGCGGTTGGGGAGGGCAATCATTGGGTCTGCATTGTAGGAGAGGAGGAGGGAGAAGATGGAAGGTGTACTCTTGGCGGTAGAGAGGGCTTCTCCGGCAGGATCATTTGGGTTGGCTCCGTGGGCGAGGATTATTTCGACGACTTCTTTGTGGCCGTTATGAATTGCGCGCAGGAGGGCGAGCAGTTCGTCATTGGTTCTGCTGTTATTAGGGGATTTGTCAGTTGGTGGCATGATGCTTGCACCGTGGGAGAGGAGAATATCGACTGCGGCGGGTTGGTTGCGCTCTGCGGCCCAGGTGAGGGGCATTGTCGGCGCCCAGAAGTAGCTCCTTTTGGGGGTGAAGATTCGTTCGTTGGTGACACGTAGGTTTGGGTCGTAGTTGTGCTTTGTTAGGAGGTTGGTAAGGAGGGTGGTGCGGCCGGTTATTGCGGCGACGCAAAGGAGGATGCCCTGTTGATAGGGTTCTGTGGAGGATTTGATATAATCAAAGCGCGTGAGGAGGAGATCAACGATGTCGCCATGTCCTGCCTCCGCTGCGTGAGATAGTTGGAAGAGGGGTTTCATGCCGTCTGGGTGGGATGGGTTGGGAGTTGCCCCGTGGTCGATTAGACATCGCACGATGTCAATGTTACCGGTCCGAGATGCCATGCAGAGCGATGTTCCCCGGCCTTCAGTGGCGATATTAGGATTTGCGCCGCGTGAAAGTAGAAATTCCACGATATCCAGGTAATCCTCTTGCGCCGCAAGTGCGAGAGGCGTGGCGCCGTTCCCGTCCTGCGCATTGATCGCACTCCCCGCGTCGGCTAACACGCGGACAACATCGAGATGGCCATTCTCGGCTGCGCGATGAAGAGCTGTTCTCTTCTGGAGGGAACCTGTGGGGAGATCCGGGCACACACCGTATTCAAGCAATAGGTTGACAACATTAACGTGGCCGGAGGACGCCGCCATGGAGAGCGGATGTCCCTCTTCCCAGTTTCTGATGCCTTTTTTACCATGAGGATGGTTATCCCAGTCATTTTTGGTGGAGCACGGATCAATACCATGCTCGTATAGCAGTCTTATTATCTCACTGCTTCCGTAAAAGGCAGCCAAGGCGAAGGGTTGCCATGGCTTCCCTCCGCAGGCATTTGGCGGGGCACCAGCGTCCAGGATCATTCGGGCGGTTGAGGTCGACCCGTTGATGGCGGCCCATTCGAGCGTGTATCCCCCGTTTTGTTGTGTGAGGCTACGCTTGTACAGAATGGGGTTCAGGAGTGCATGCAGCCACCGGGTCGTGCGACATAGGGCGTTGATCTCATTCTCGTACTTTAATTGAGAGAGTATGAGGAGAATCACCTCGTTGGGTAAACTGGGAAAGCTCATCCTCTGAAGTGGTTGCCCTGTTCTGCGAAGTAGGACTCAGGAGGTTGGTTGTGGGACCTAGGGGAGGGGTCTCTTCGTCAAGTCTACTTGTGTTTACCTTTTGATTCATACTCTGTTAGTACATGGTGCCAATCCACCACAGTGCTCATCATTCAACCTATTTACCTAAATCGAGGAAAATCAAAGTGTTCAATAATAGAGCCAAAAAAGGGCTCTTGCCGCCGAGGATAAGAACGAGCTTGCGGCTGTACCGCGAGTGGAGTTCCTAGAAACAAAGCTAAGAAGCCACGCACCAACGAGAGACGACGGTGGCAGTAGATTCCGCTGCTCGTGGCATTAGTTAGTATCACGTGATGCCGCGGCCGTCTGATTGTTATGTTTCATTATCTTCACAATGATCTAATGTGAAAGTAAATTTTAGTTACTACGTATTAGTACATGTTATAACAAAAGAGAGCCAACTAACAATACATATATGCGTACGCAGAGAGAAGGAAGGCGCATCACCGATAACGGCCCCGTAGTCACTCCAGGCCCATCTTAGCGCCAAGCAAGAGTCCCCGCATGAATAGTTGCGGAAAGAGTCTGCGAGACAGCATTGCTCATTAATCGCATTTGTAGCACTTACAGAATGATTTTTATTTGGTAATGAGATAGCGCGAAGCTGGTCCTATGTAGAGCTAAGGCTATAAAAGGCCAATGGCCACCCCAATTCCACTCGTGATGTTCAACTTGTCGAATAATCTTCAAAATGCGTTTCACAACTTCCACATTGTCTCTTCTCTTGCAGGGCGCCATTGCTTTGAATGTTGGCCCAGAATATAGTCACCCGATAGAAGGTGAGTCACAAAAGACAATTCCGAAATCAATCAACGTACTAAACAGACAATAGATCTCGACGTCGATCTTCCATTCTCTCAGCCAGTCACATTCGCGCACTTGGAATGGCAAAGATGTCTCGCAGCATCTCATAATAAGGTATGTTACCGAAGCTCCAGTCTACGTAATGCCTCCACAAGAATCTAACCTCCGCAAAAGCCTCTCGACATCGCCATTCTCGGCTTTCCCTATGACACCTCAACCTCATACCGCCCCGGCGCAAGATTCGGCCCTCGAGGCATCCGCGCAGGATCCGCGCGCGAAAAGAAGGGTCGAAGCTATAACACCGTGTGGGAAGTGGACCCATACGACGAGGGCCTTGAAATTGTGAGTGCAGTGCATTTACATACAACTATGAAATGCAATGTTGGGATCGCTAACCCATCACCAGATTGACTGCGGCGATATCCCCATTACCCCATTCGACGCCGCGCACGCTTTCAAGCAAATGGAACAGGGTTACAGACAGGTTCTCTACCACCCCACATCCGAGGGGAGCTCATGGGAACACCCCCGAATTGTGAGTCTGGGTGGAGACCACTCGATTGTCTTGCCTATCTTGCGGTCGTTGAAACATGTGTATGGACCCATCTCCGTCATTCACTTGGACTCGCACCTCGACACTTGGGATCCTTATGAGGGTTACACTGGAATCGCGTCTAACCAGTCGGCAATCACACATGGAACTTTCTTCTGGCATGCGAGTCGGGAGGGTTGTATTGCGAAGGGCACCAGTGTGCATGGAGGTCTGAGAACGAAGCTTTTCGTAAGTGGTGCTTTTTCTCTGGTCTGGAATGAATACTAATCGAAACTATCAACAGAGTCCTAAGGATTATGAAATCGACCAGAATGTTGGATTTACGATTATCGAGGCCCACGAGATTGACGATATCGGCATGTCGGGCATTATTGATAAGGTCCGGAGTGTTGTCGGAGATACTCCGACTTATCTTTCCATTGATATTGACGGTAAGATTCAAATTTCCCCTTTTCAAGACACATCAGATATTAATTTCTTCAATTAGTCCTCGATCCCAGCATTGCCCCTGCGACCGGAACTCCCGAATCGGGCGGCTGGACTACTCGTGAGTTGAAGCGATTCATTAAAGGCCTCGAGGGTGTGAATCTTGTCGGTGCCGATGTGGTAGAAGTCAGCCCTCCTTACGACACCGTTGCTGAGACTACTTCGATCGCTGCTGCGGATCTGATCGTTGATATTCTGGCATCCATGGCAAAGTTGAAGACAGGTCCTAAGGTGAAGGCGCCAGCTTCAAAGGACGAGTTGTAAGCAGAGCCAAACGCATGTTCCGAACTTTGAGATTTCAACTATGTATGAATTACGCTATATGATACTTTCAAATAGGCAAGACCAACTTGCCTGATTGTTTAAGGGCATCCCTCCAATTAACCACATTCTCATCTGAATTCATGATACTCCAAATCTCCTGTATAACTTTCCATTGCCTTTTGAAATTGCCCATTGAGTACCCCTGCACTCGCTCCCACCATGCAACCCAAGGCTGTCGATCGGTTGCCTCACATGCAGCGATAAATGCCGGCCAGGACATAGGAGCTGCACGTTTGTCGCCACATGAGTATGCATCTTTGAGGTCTTCGGCCAGCGAAAGGTTCTTCCAGATTGCGCCTACTCGCTCCTGGAGGTCCACCGGGCTGGAATTCTCGATTGCTCGATAATAGAAAATTGCGATCGCGCTATGGAATGCTAGCGCTTGATAACGTATTATCTCAAGCATCGTCGGTTCCTCCAATGAAATGAGATGGAAAGACTCGGATTCTATGCCCCACGAGAAGATCTCGTCGTATAATGCTGAGCATGCCTCTAGCAAAATTGCTGGCATTTCACCATCTTGGTAAAATGCTAAATACTCGGCGATCTGACAGGTCTTTTGTAACAAATTCCCCAGATATGGGGTGATCCCGTACATGTATTGGATGTTGGTGTCGTCGTCGTGGAAGTAAGGCTCCTCAAAGAATGGACCTTCTATTGTCCAGGGTCTAGGCTCTAGCTCGTGTGCTGTTGTTCGAGCCAGGAGACTTAGAAAATGGCAAATACTGCTGACCTGCCGACTAGAGTCATCAAGCGCATCGGAGGCATGATCAGGCCTTTGCAGCTGGCGACAACCCTTCAGATGAATCGGGAAGTCTGAATCTTCTCCCGTCATGGTCTAATTTGTTAGATTCGCTATTATTTCATGAGATGGAAGGAAAGCGACCTACATCAATCGTGACTAAGGATAGCATTGCCGTGAGATATACGGTGTATTGCTGGGAGTTATTGGGCGCTACGAGTGCAAACTTGAGTGCCCGCAAAGCTTTGGCCCGGTGCTGAAGACCGAGGTTGTGGTATTCTCTTGATCCACCCATGACGTTCCGGAGGTGGAATGCAGCCGATGATAATATACTGTGGAATAGTGAAATTGAGACACCTGAGGAAGGTATCGTATTTTGGACAAGACATAGGTCAGGGCAACCTTCGAGAGCGAATGGGAGATATGTTGTGCGCCAAGGGTTCCTCGGGTGGAAGACTGGTTGTAGGAGCTCAGAAACATGGTTTTTATAGTGGTACATGAGCGTGGATGTTTTGTGGTCTTTGAATAGAGGCATTGAAAGCTCGCTGTGTGGTGATGGATATATCGTGAGCGATCTTCCTCTTAGGTATGATAACGTTGGAGAATTCGGTGTATCCATCATAGCTATCACTGATTCCCAGTTTGATGAGAAATCCATTTCAAGGATCTCTGGATGAGAAGTTTCACTTTCGTTGGGAATTATGTCGAAGATTTCGCTGGACAGGTCGACTGGGTCGAATTGACTAGGGGTGATCTCAGAATCACAGTCCCTTGTCTGATGGCTATTCTCCAATGAAGCTTGCAGTTCAAGATCCTCATTGTCGTCATGTTCCGATTTGGAGAATATTGCAAAGGGTCCTATACTGACGGTGCGCGATGGTGTTGAAATTGTGTCAAGGGAAGATAAAATTCGGTTGATCTCGTCATCTGATATGCTAGGGGAGGTGGATTGCTCTAATTAATAATTATGTTAGCCAATACCCTTTTGAAAGAGGTTCAAACTCACCTAGTCTGATCTGTCTGCGTCGCAGGCCCTGAATATCTCGCTTTTTATCTGTCATCCAGCATAGATTCACGCCGTAACCGGCGCATTCCAGGCCAGATTTCTGGCAGACTCCACATCCATCTTGCTGACGCTCATCACATTTGACCTTCCGTGACCTGCAGGTCCAGCACCTGTTCCTGTCAGCTTGAAGGGTATATGGAAGCTTGAATGTACTTGGTGTATTACCCTGTAAATGTGACCGACTTCTGCTTTGTCTGGCGAATACGCTTGGTTTGTTTCCTGGGGGCTTGCACGGGGCCAGCCATGGTATCTTTGATATAGGGCTGATTTTCAATATGAGTAATAGCAGTGGCCGTTGGTGATCGTGAGGGGGACTATCAACAGAGCAGCGTCACATAGGGTGTAGTTGGAGTAACGCCAAGGCGAGAGGTCGAGACCCTCCATGTCAAGCTCAACGGCACTTCTCAATGGTGGAGCTAGCTTGAGATACGTGCGGAGTCAGTCGGGACCAATAGTTACAAGTGATAGCCGAGGAGAAGGGATCATGATGTAGAGACATCGGCCCTCAGCCCATCAAATGCGGGGGTCTAAATGTTTTGATTCCATGACACAGCACATTGGAGGATGGCCTCGGGAAGCGTTATCTCAGTGTCTTATCGATATTTCCTATCTTATCTTATCTGTGTCAAGTGGGTCTCGGCTCGGCTATTTGAAAAGGGAAGGAGCCAGCGACACCCAATTGGACCCTGTAACTTGGACACTACAACAATGTACAATGGATATTTGTTTAGCCTGAAGATACGATGAATTATTATTATCTCGGCTTATTATTTCCAAAAACGAGTAGCCAAATTCAGGGTTGAACGGTCCACTCTATCTCAGTGCAAGTCCACCTGTGGTCCTGTGTAGTTCCCTCTTCCGTGCAATACCCACCACAGCGCCACTAGCAAGGTCAATCCGCATGTGATCACACTGGTGTAATTCATTTCTTCCGGAGATGTCGGCAGGGTATACGGGAAGCAGTAAATCACAAAAGAGACAGCAATGTACATGCATGCGACAGCATTGACAACAGGGCCAGCTTTCCCCATCCAAAATGGACCAGGGCGGATGTTCTTGCGCCCAGTGAGCAAATGTGGGAATATAGCGAGGAAGTAAGAGGCCGTCGTCAGCAGCACAAACGAGCCAATAAAAGCTTCAAAAGCAGTATAGGATCCCACATAAATTGCTCCGACGCATGTCAAAAACACTCCGCACGCCAAAGTTGCATACAGTGGGCTATGCCATGTGGGACTGATGGCCCCAATGTATTTCGAAAATGGTGTTGCATCATCACGACCCAGGACATAGAACGTTCTTCCTGTGGTAATATAGCATCCGATCGTTGCACAGAAAATGGGTGCGATCGTGAGCGTAAGAAGCCCCACGGCGCCTGCTCGGGAGCCGGTTGCTTGCAGATATATATCACCCAGGGGACAGATAGAATCAGCGTTCACAATAAAGGGTAGGTCGGTAACAGCATAGAACATAGAGACTAAATAACAAAAGCCAGTCGCAAAGCCGATGATTACTTGGCAAGCAAGTGCTCTTGGAATATTCCGTCTCGCGCTAGTTTAAGTATCAGTAAAAGAACCATTTATAATGGAGCCATGTTACATACTCAGGAATTTCTTCTGCGATATGGGTGACGCAGTCAATCGCACCGATTGCGAATGCCCCGTTTAACATGCCTGCAAGGAATGTGAACCCGTCTGGGTAGCCAGTGATGTTGCTCCAGTCTTTCCAGACGAAGTCATTCGACGCATATCCTGCACCGTTCTTGCTCGGCATAATAGCGCAAACCAAGACCGTGATAATAAAACCAAGAACAATGAAGAAAGATCCGATTCTGCTGATGAGCGGGAGAGCCCGTTGGCAAAACATCACAGTGAAACAACACAGCCACGAGATGATCAAATAGCAAACAAAAACATGCCAGCGCTGCGGTGTGAAACCGGGATGGTAGAGTGCGTATGAATAGACAATCATACTTCCAGTCATGGAGCAGTTGCCTGCTACAGCGAATGCCCAAGCAAGGCCATTTAGCCATCCCGCAAACCACCCGCATAATCTGCCATAACGAGGGCCAGCGGTTATAGTTGCCCAGTGGTAGACTCCACCGGATGCTGGAATAGCAGAAGCAAGCTCGGCAATCGACGCGGCAATGAAGCAATAAAAGAAGGAGGCAGTGGCGCTATTCTAGCCATTAGCATTGAATTCCGAGAAAGTGCCGTAAGTCTGTGGGGACCTACAACTCGTAGATTATTCCAGGTGGTCCACCGTTGTAAAGAGAGGCAATCTAAAATATGTTAGTAGTGCACCACTTGGACAAGGGCTCTGGTCTTTACAATTCCGCCTCCCAGGACTGCCCAAGCATTTCCGGTAGTGATTCCAGTCGCGCAAGCACTGAAGAGGTTGAAGCTCTTCGCGAGTACAGGGGTGACCACAGTGTCTGTGACCTCCTTAGTCGAGCCTTGGAGGGAGGACTCAAGATCACCACCATCTTTGGTTTCAAATTGTGCCATAGCAGTAGATACGAATTGCAATGCAATCGAAATGTATATGACTCACATCTCTCGACGGAAAGATCTTAAGATATTTATGATTTTTGTTTATCTTTACATTCCCCTTGATCTATTACAAAACCTCCTTTATACCTTCAAGATACAAGATATATCAGAGTAGGTCGCTGGCTCTTACTAGAAAATCAAGATGCGATTAAACTCGACGATAGTATTGGCTTAGAGATATTTTTATCTTTTGTCATTTTTAATTATACCTTATTGCAAATCACATCGACCTACAAGCAGATATGTATTCGCTTGCTCTTGCCATGTGGTATGTGGATATATTGATAAGACATGAACAGAAGTCCATAGATGGGATCTTAGTCTTACTGTGTGCGATACATTCCGGTGGCAACAAGCTGATATCGAGAGAAATCTCCTATCCTAATTCCAACCCCCGCATTTAGTTGTCTGCATATAAAGTCTCGGGATTGACGGATATTCTACTCGCTGGCTACTACCGCATCTGGATATGCTCGTGGGCCTTTGATATTTCCCCGCAAACCCAACCTGTTATGATTGCCCCAGCCATGTTCATATATTACAAGTCATTCACAAATATAAGGCACCTCCCATTCTGTCTACTCTGAGGTTCCTATCTTACGCATTGTCAAATTTCATAAACCTTCAATAAACATGACATCCTGTCTCAGCAAACAATCTGTCATAATCGCAGGGGCCTCTGCACCATTTGCAGAGGCCTTTCGCGCTTGTTACTCAGGTAAGCTTGGCTAGGTGACGGAGAGACTGATATACTCTAACATCTGTCAAGGTTCCAAAGACAAGACTATTGCGCTTAACCTGAACCCTCTGATATCGAGCAATTCTGCTGAAGCCCAGGCTCAGATAAACACCGCTTTCGGCGCTCTTGGTGACCAAGTCGATGTATTTATCATCGATGCCAGAACTCAGGAGCCCTCTGGGCGAGACGCAATTTGGGAAATTCCATTGAGTGAATGGGATCAAGGACATACGCCCATTAGCTGTCAGAAAAAGATGCTAGTGCACGCAAGATTATTCCTTCGGCATCAATTTCAAGTTAACAAGGCCAAGTCCCATGAGGATCAACTGGGAAACGGTTTCTCTGTGGTGGTCCTTGGTTATCAAGATCTCTTCGGCATTTCACTCGATCAGGTTATTTCTAAGCTTCAAAGAGACGTTTCACGGCTTCACCCAGGTGCTTCCGTCAACTTCCTTGATCTCAGCACCTCACGCGAGGCCTCTACACAGTCGATCGTCGCCGCGACAGCGATACTGGCCTCGGCGAAACCCGCCCGTGGAATCATTTCACTCGGCGACATTCCGAGTGTAACAAGCACCAACAACAAAAGTGACGTTGTTCAGAATACCCAGCTTTGTCAAAGTCTCCCTCTCCGCCAAAAGCACCCAAAAGTCCAAATTGCCATGTCCTTCGACTTTGACGCTGTCTCTGCCTTCCTGGGGACAGGCGAACATCCAGACAACAACTTGGCAGACTACAGCACAGGCATATTCGCTGCTCGAGTTGGTGCCAATCGGATACTACGCATGTTACAAAAACACCAAGTAGCCGACAAAGTCACTTGGTTTATCCCCGGGCACACGATGGAAACATTTGAACCAATGGTTAAAGAGATTATCAAGTCCGGCGCCGAGATCGGACTTCATGGTTACTCGCACGAAGGTGCTTATCAAATGACACCAACTCAAGAGCGAGACGTGCTAGTGAAGTGCATGGAAGTGTCGCAGCGGCTAACCGGCAAAAGAGTCCGGGGCTACCGCGCGCCCATGTACCAGCTCCGCGAGACAACAATTGAGCTTCTGAGAGAGTTTGAATTTCTTTACGACTCCTCTTTGAGCCACCATGACTCACAGCCATATTTCACACCCAGCGATCCGCCAATCGAACGAGTGGATTTCTCCCAGCCGGCTAGCAGTTGGTTGCGCCCCACGTCGCTTGCAGCAGCAGATGCCCGCCCCGCCGGCCATCCACTTGTGGAAATTCCTACCGGCTGGAACAATGAAGATATGATGGCGTTGCAGTATTTCCCACATCTTGATAACAGCCATGGTCATGTCGATGCGCGAGTCGTTGAACAGAGATGGAAGGACATGTTCCTATGGCTATGGGAGAATGCCCATATTGATGGTGGAGATGGCAGCTTTGTCTTCCCCATCTTGATGCATCCCGATACTAGTGGCATGTCCCATGTGATAGGGATGGTTGATCGGTTTGTGGGGTGGCTTCGGGGATGGGGGGATGCGGTTGAATTCCGCACTTTTGAGAGTATCACACAGGAGTGGTTAGAAGAGCAACTGAAGGCTCAGTAAATAGGAGATTAATTTAGGCATAATGAAGATATCTGATTCTCCAAGTGACTCAAGCAATACTCTATCTCATTTATGGGAAGCCATATTTTATTCAAGCATATCCCGATCCACTACATAGGGACCCACTACATACCCTTTCACAAATTCGTTATACTCTTACGTACATATGTTTAACTATATCGAACTTGAACAACTTCTATAAAATCAAAGATGTAGGATAAGGTGATCTTACTACCTATATAAATGCATACTATGATTGGCTGATAAGCATCTGGCTCGCTGGCTGTTGCCTCTTTCAAGATAAGCATAAACATGCCACCTGGAGACCCCAAGTCTATATAAATGTCCCCAGTTAACCCGGCAAAAATATAACACAAAAACACTTCATATTGATTTATCCAGGCACATCATACAAAATGCATCTTGCTATTCCTCCCCCTCCTGTTCGCAATCCCGAAAAAGGCTTCAAAGCACGCCCCAAGAATACACGAAGCGAGTCAGTCTCGACGACTGAGACCGAATCCGTACAGGTCTCTTCTAAACGGCCATTAAAAAAGTCATTTCGGGAATCCATTATCAATGGTATGTCATATATGGGTCATTTCTCTACCCGCGCTTATAATATTACAGCCTTTGCTGCTTGCACCTGAACGTGAAGACCGTGATATCTGGCCAGACCGTGGTTTTTGATTGATTTTATTTCTTTTGTTACTATATTGGCTACTATTATACCCTATTACTCTCTCGATATTGCGACCTTTCCAGTGGTGCCTGTTTCAACAAGTTGCTCTCAAGTACCTATTTAAACTACGATATTTTCCATTTCAAATTTATTTACGAGAATAGTCGGCCGCGTTTGCAGCCTTAGGATACCTTTTTAGTCAATCCTTTTGGTCGTCTTTGTTTTGAATATATTTTGCTGCTCATCTCAGTTTTATAGATAAACGGGAGAAAAATACCTGTGATCTTCCACCATTAGTGATTGATGATCTTTGTATTGTTTATGTAATATCATGATTAAGGAAGGTTGATATCGTCAAGCATTCATCTACGAGTATTCTACTGTGTATTCAACCTTGTTAGCAGGCAAGGGCCGAAGATTGAATGACAGAAAAATCCATGAAATTGTGAGGCAAAACAGAGCAAATCAAGTGATACATTAACATAGTTCTACATGATATTCCAGAAAGAGCAGAAACAGCAGAAAGATCAATTCTTATAGGCCGTAGGATGGCTCAGTGTACATATTTGTCAAGTCTTTTCATTGCGATCAACCTAGAACGTACATTGTGCGATTGAAATATTTGAAATAAAGTAAATAGATTACCTCAAATTTTGCATGTATTTAGGGAGTTGTTGAAGGAGTCTCCACATGAGCCCTGTGGCTCCATATCGCGCTTGTTTCTTGTCATACGTACATGCAAGTCCTCCGTATAGGGATATACAATGCATGCGTCTTTCCAGAATCGAGAATTGCCTTCCAGCCTGAGAAGGGAGAAAGCGAAGGGCAAATATCCCCGCCTCCTACTTTGTTTGAGCGTCCAGCATGTCCAGATAATCCTGAATGGTGACCCTCTCCGGATTGGTGGTCATAAAAGCATGATCGACATAGTCCTTCGCTACAAATTCCGTCAGTACCACCTACTTACATGATGAGAGATGATAATGGACATACCATGGGTGTATAACTCATTCCAAGAGTCAGCAATCTTTAAAAGCTCCGACTTTGCAAGTAGCATGGGCGGTATCGTCTGCTTGTCCTGATCAAAGCGATCGTAGTATATTAAAATCGACACCCATCTGAGCCCAAGCTCCCTGAGGTAGTTCAAGCGTTTCAATAGCAGGCTCAATCACATTGATAAGGTTTGTAACTTGGTCCTGGTGGGTAGTTAAGGAACAATCCAGTAGCTAAAAGACCGTACTTACTGTCATGGATTGTCTCAGGCCATTACCAATCAAGATATGCGGACCAGCTTGAGAGACTTGGCACTCGCCAAATATCAGTATGCTGACAAGTCTGTATCTTCTTGTGAGACACAGTTCTTGTATGAAAACGATGTGGTGGAAAGCGCTAAAAGAGCCTTCGAACTTGGACTTGCGAAGTGGGAGTTCGAGCAGAAGCTTCAAGCTGCAATTAAGATACTCAAAGCTTTTTTCATTAAGTCTCTTTCAGCCTGTATTCCAACTTAGTATTTGACACTATCAACTGTCTAATTCTTCATTTAAAATTTCGTCGTTCAACAAGGGCTGAGCTCGTCTAATAGCGCAGGCCGAAAGAGCTTGTTGCCCATCAAATTACAACGACGCCGTTATGTTGAAAGAGTTCAGCATTTGAGCAGAAACTCAAGAACATGGTCAATGACATGACGCTTACCCTTCGGGCTATAGCTTTTGATCACAAGACATGTATTTTCGATCATATCCTGATATATGCCCTTGGCTAGAGAGCTACTTGATTATAACAGCCTAAAGCCTAAATACTATGTAGGAAGAACCTCTAAGAAAGAGAGAACTTTGATGATTTGACGATTAACGCTAATCTGACTCCAAGAAAAGGCCGGACACGGCTGTTATATAATACATAGTCTGTAGCAAAGAAAATTAAGTCGACATCCGGCTTGGACTGTTATTCAATAAGAGCGAAAGCGAAGAAACCCACCATATTCCCCGTCCAAAGCCACTTTAGCTGTCCTCGGGTCATCTCAATACTTCGCACTCTGACTGGAGTGGCATTCAATTGATTTGTTTTCTTTGCGAGGAGATGCTAGCATTCTTTCCAGGGCTAATATCCTCCTGTCAAAGGATGCTGAAACTTTGTTCTCGTCATAAATCCATGCCAAGATAGTCCCGAACGTAAGATTGATGTGAAGGCGCGAGTTTGTGGCTAAAAACACAAGGCCTTTTTTCAGTGGCTGGCGGATTGAAGTGATTGAAGGTAACGGCATTGTAACTTGTTGTTTGTGGTAGTGTTGATTAAGGGTATATAGGTTTTGAGTGAAAGAAATCCGCAAAGTTGTAAACGAGAGGGAGGAAAGAAGAGACGGTCTCCTTTAAAGAAATACTGTTTTTATAAGTTCCGATTCTCATTTGGTTGTCGCCCTCTACCATCCAGGAAAAGGGCGGGTTCAGATTACGGTATGTAGCATCATACAGTCATGGGTCTTATGTACTTGATTTCCTCTAACCTCTTCCCCTTCCCGAGAGTCCTGACCCGCTCACTGAGCATTATATAAATACCTAGATCTGCTCACTCTTTACTGTAAGCATGCTCTGAGCGCTCTGATGGGCTCACCAAGTCTGACCTAAGCCTAGCAGTGAGCGTACTAAGTATTTATGGTATACAAGTTCTTTCGGCCTGCACCACTGCGCGAGCTCAGCCTTTGTTGAACGACGAAATTTTGAATGAAGAATTAGACGCTTGATAGAATAGAGTTGAAGTAAAAAGAAAACGGAAGTCCGCCCTCCTAGGCCGCGACCTAAGAAGCGTAACGTTTTACGTAAACGGCCTAAGAATATTGAACGTTACTTTTTGATAAAATACAAAAGGGGAGGTTAGACATATATATATATATATATATTATTATTATTATATAAAGAAAGTTATAAAGAGGAAGTTGAAGTTTTGATGGGGAGCTGGCGGTACAATAGCCGGAAGCGGTCAAGTGTCCAAAAGTGTGCACGGAGTATGAAGACTTAATAGGACCCTTTTGTACGGAGTAGGTGGGAACTGATACCTGAATGCCTTATTTAGCATCGCTTTTTACACCGCTCTAGTTAGTTATATAGTTTATGGTACATTTATTTATGCTGCAGCTGTCAAAAATGAAGCCTTTGGCCCCATACAAATGAATCTATCTTAATATTCTTGGGTGGTTGATAAGTATTCAAAATGAAGCTTTTGAGAGGGGAGGAGAAGAAGAAGAAGAGAGGAAAAGATTACGTAGTGAAAAGGCTTCAACCCCGAGAAATGGGTGCATACAGGGACTAGTATGGTGGGAATACTAGCATTAATATTGGACTTACAAAACCACCCGAAAAAATGGAGATACCGGGATTTGTATGGGATCAAAAGCTTCATTTTTGGACTTAAACGCGACCAGAACCAGTGTACTTTGATTATGAAGATATGTGTAATAGTAATTCAGGCATCTTGATCTTTCTGCCGTTCTAAAGCCACGCATTCAGGCACCAAACCACCTACAAAAGGGGTTTCGAACCCTGAGTCCTATAAGTCTTCGTAGCACGGAGCGAGATTGGCCAGAGGACGGAATACGGAACGGTCATTTGAAGGAAAATATATATTATGTTCGTACAATAAAGACTGACGAATAAGACTCGTGACATGGCTCAAAATTCTAACATTATTATAGGGCGTTCTTAATGAACAGCCTTCAACAACCCTGACGGGTATATACAAAATTCCTTCCTCCTCTATCATAAGAAACAAAAAGAACAGCACCAACTTGTGATGTGGGAAGAGTCTCCTCCAATGAGATAAGATTAAAGCCGTCCATCGCAGGCCTGAATTGTGGTCTGAGCCTAAATCAGATGTGAAAAGTGGCTTTTAAACCCGATTGTCTCAATATTTCTAACACAACCTGATAATCGGATGGGGTAAATCTGTTATTTATACCACAGATTGGATATCTGATCCAGTATTGAAGAAGTATACTAGTGGAAGAGTAAGCATATAGAACAGTGAAGATGAGTGAGTCACAGGACGCATCTGGACCTTTCCTCTCACGAGACTCACTTACCAGAAACCATTTGACCCATACGGAGGTGGACTGCTTAGGTTGAGGGTAGATCGCGGTGGCTGGAATTTGGATTCCGGGTTGATTGTCATCAGAAATTGGATAGCGAAAGGCTTATTTCGCAACGAGATGTTTCCATGGTGTATGTATGTTGTGGCCCGATGTCATGCCCGTCCCGCACGTCATGTATGCTGTCTAGGCCCCGGTAGCGGTGAGTTGTTAAACTTATGTTCCTATTCCTTGTTAGTGAATGCTCACACACTACCTTATCGGAAGTTGCCGGAAGTACTCACCTTCAGGATATCAACAAGACGTGAATGTGTCGTTGGCCCAACCCAATCCTGTGGACCTGGTTTGTTTCTATCTTGAAACCACACCACCCATGTCACGGACATTATCAGGAAGAGCCACTGCCTCGCCCTCGCGTGCCAGGTTTGAAGCCGCAATGTACTTCTGAGCAACGCTGAGACTCATGGTGTTGTGAGCATTCTCGCCACCTTCCTCGATGGGCACCAGTTCATTGTATCCATGATGCCAATCATGTGGACCGGGCTCATAAACCGCTAGCAATTATTTGTTGCCCTCATAATACTATTATATATTAGTGCATGCTCACCCACGCAACCATTGGAAGCCAAAAGAAGTACTCACCTCCAAAATATAGACAAGGCATGATATTTTTTTTCCCAGGCCCAACCCAACCACCCATCCGTGTGGACCTTTTTTTGGTTTTTTTTTTTGGTTTTTTTAAATGACTGTCCTTCCGTCAGTAAAAAGACAATGAATTGCAACCAGGACAACAAGGTTTGTGCAGCAGCCCTACTATGGGCATGCAGCCACTAGCATTGAAAGCATATGCTCAACACACCAGTCCCAATCTGCAGAAACAAGTGTGGAGTACTCGGCCCAGACCGACTGCACTGTCAGTCCGTAGAGACAGAGCACTCGAACTCCACCAGACGCGCAGGCTGTGCCTAGCGAGAATGCCTTTGTCCCAGTGATATCTCTAGAATCCAGCCGGAGGTGGGCCCCAATGGCTCCCAACAACCGCCATTCATCCACCGAGGGAGGAGCTATATCAGCCGGAGACAGGTCCCGTGGACACTGCAACCGCCTTCAATAGCAGACATGCACTGGAGTCGCTGCCCACCCAGTACGCGCCCAGTAATCCTGCTGGAGCAGGATTACTTCTCTCCATGGCTCTTGGGGGCTCCCCGATCCTTGAGGCCAGGATCCGGGGGCTGTTGCTGCTTGTTTCCCCGAAGAGCCATTACTCCGAGGACGACCGCCCCGACTTGACTCAGGTTGCCCGTCACGGGTACACACTTCTGCGCGAGGAAGGAAAAGAATTTGGAAAACATATTGTAACAAATTATATATAGATGCTGGCGGGGGAAAAAAAAAAAGAAGAGAAGAGTCTATGTGGGCATCTGGGCGCCTGTTCTCTTACTCTAAGCTTCCTTGAAATGGCAAGTGCGGCTCCATTGATACTGGGAAGGCACGTTTGATTTCCGTAGAATGATAGGGGTTCAGTTTGAATGGGACGGTCACGTTCATTTTGATCCAACGAGACGAGCTAAAAAATATATCAACAGAGGTTTGGGATTGAGCCTATTCGATCTATCAAAGGGAAATTGGCAAAACATAGCCTGTTATAAACGTTCATATTTACAGACTTTAAGGTCCCAACTAGATATTGTAAAATTTAGTATGAGATTTTCAAGAAACACCATTCAGATATCTAATTGATCTAAGAGATAAGAGAAAACGGTCTGCGTATAAGCCAATTGTAGACAGGGATGAGGAGAGAAAAAAAGAAATACCGAAATACCGAAATAAAAGAAAACAAGAACAAGCTGCAAGTCTTCCCAAAATATCCTCGAGACAATAAAGTGGGACTATAAAAGACTCGAAAATGGGAACCTGAATAAAATTGGATATCTCATTCGGTGATATAGTTATCCCTGGAGTTGTTGACTACATGTGAGAAATTAGGTCAGCATTTACGAACAAGATCATACATAAGACTAGGGCTTTGTCACATCTTCAACTGCCATAGTACTCCACGGCTCCAATAGTCTCCTCCATATTAAGAAGGGGCCAAGGCCTAGGCTCGGTGTTCTCGGTGATGAAGTCGGTCAACGCACTGAGATCATTGAATATATTGTATGCCGTACCTAACGCCTACTTGTTATTTTCAAACCCAGCAGCTCAGCAGGGGACGAATTTACCAACAGCAAGCCCCATGTTTGCTAATAAGTCGCTCGAGTTATCCTACATATTCTGTTTCGCGATGATTCCCTATCAAATCCACCGGTTAGAAATAGCGTAAGCCTCAAGGGGTAGGTACACCACGTAGACCTATTGACCTTACCTTCAGGGTATCTAATGCCCTACAGTCAGTTTTAAAGTCCTCCTGCGCGGAGAGCTATTTTCGATGCCCAGCTCACTCTTCCTTTAACTTATGGTAGAGATTCCAAGTGGGAAGATTTCAAGAAATTCTTCAATCAGCGTTTGACGTGAGTTATATGCATGGCTTTGACATTAAGTGAAGAAATTGTTCCTAGGTCGGAAGTAGGAAAGTGATTTGTCCTTGACTCACCAGTTGGGTAAAGTGCATGGCCGAATTTCAAATAGGAAACTACAAGAATACCAGTGGCATCATATCACAGGTTTTACATAGAAAAGTCGCTCGCACAAAGTATGCTTTTTTTGCCGCCTTCACTCACATACATCTAAAAAGACCACCACAAGACTGCAAACGCGGCTGATCTAAAACAACAAAAAAATAATATACATACAACAGTGAGGATTCGCTGGTGGTCACCCACCCAACTACTAACTCACCGGCGTGTGGCTTAAGTACGGCTGAGCGGACGGGAAGCCCTGTTTTCCACACCCTATGGTCGTATGTATCGGGTTATGTGTAGTTAAGGATCATATAGTCAGGCTCATAGACAATACTACCAATGTCACGGCGTATGATCGTCAACCTATAAGAGAAACCATACAATACACAATAGAGATAATTAGACTGTCAAAAACAACTAGTATTGATAGCTGTTGAAGCTGGCAAAAGCCGAATGCAAAATATTGACATCGTATGCCGATAAATCCCAGTTCCCAGGACAGAAGCAATGATACATGACAATGAGATTCTTAAAGAAGGGTTGAAGGAATCATATCCGGTGAGAGGTTAGTTTGGTTCACCCGCTCGAGAGTCGGGACCCTGACAGCGCCCTTGGCCGAGTCAGCTGCCTGGTCACTGACGGCGGAAGGATTGGGCGATAGGCCTGGTGTGCGGTCGCCCTTGCCCTGGCGCTGGATGAGGCCGTTGGTGATACCGAGCACGGAGTCGACAATGACCGCGTCGATGCCTTCGGCGACTTGGTACTATACGAATAACATGGTAAGCTATGGTTCTGGGGATGTGAAAAGGGAATAGGAAAAAAGTGCTTACGTCAACGTTGTTGCCGTCATTGTTGAGTGATCCGTAAGAGACACACACAAGACCGGACTCCTTTACAATACGGACCAGCCGCGGGCAGAGAACTAGTGGTTCAGCCTGGGTGACGATCCCAAGGAGATTCCACCGCGAGGCAAACCGAATAGCCTCCTGCAAGCTGCTAGCGCGGATGTCACCGACCGGGGAGGCGCCTGCATCGCTCAGGAAGAGAACGGGGATTGAAGGCTGCTTGAACGACAACAGCAGACAGATATCCGGGTTGAAGCTGGAGAACAGCATGTCGCGGCCGCCTCCCAGGTCGTAGACCGTCGTCAGGATGGTATCGACAAAGGAGTTCAGTTCCACTGCGTAGGTGTCCATTTCTTCCTCCTCGCTCTCGTGGAGCATGGGATATTCTAGCGACCTTGGTTAGATCGACGGAATAGCTGTTCTTTAGGAAGCTTTAGTAACTCACTCAGTTCGATGTTAAATCCGACAGGTTTCGGGATCTTCGTGAATAATTCCTCCAATGTGGCGAATGGCGCCTGGATGTGCTCGCCGCGGGTGTTGCCCTTGAATCCCTTCTTCTTGAAGTCGCGTGTGTGCTTGATCTTCTCGGTCAATTCGGAGGGGTCGTACTCGGAGCCGCCGACAGACATTGAGCGCGGGCGCGGGCCATACACAGATGCCTCGCCAGTAGCTTTCACGGATCCAGGCAAGGCATGGCGGTAACGCCCGATGCCCAACTCAAGGAATTGATCCAGTGTCATGGTGTGAACAGGCGCATCGATACCGGTCTCACTAACGAGGAAGTCGTGGTAGATTACAGGCACGTGGTCCTTTGTGAGTTGTACATCGAACTCAACATATGAGGCGCCCAGATTGGCTGCAGCGATGAAGGACTCCACGGTATTCTCGCCCAACTGCAATGAATTGCGGCCGGCCATGTTCTTACCCAGCCCACGGTGTCCAATGACCATGGTTGAGCTCATCGAGCGCCAGTAGGTCTGGTTGCCAGCAATAGACATTTTTGGGTGCTTGAAGGGGGTGATGACGAGGAAGTTGAAAGTCACAGACCCGATCACCTCAAGGGTATTCGCGGCAACAATTGGAACAGTGGAATCACCCTTGAGGTTGATTCGGTGCGATCCCACAGTGGGCTTGATGCTAGAAAGCAGAGCGACACCCCGGCCAACGATCTTCTCCTTCGATCCTGCGTAGGTAGGGACAAGGTCGAAAAGTAGACGCACTTTGCTGGGATCGGTAGTGTGGAAGACAATTGGCTCGGTTGAGATATTATCCTGCACAGGCAAGTCAATCACCTCTGGCTCACCGTGTGCACCGCTAGCAGTTATCACCATCGACAAAGATGTGTCTAGCTGGGTGGCGTGTGCATTTTCCATCGGAATGCGGTCAAGGCTGACTGTCTCAAGCGGCTTGCGCATGTCCATAGTTCCGAGACTAACCAAGATCATGCTCTCATCGGTGAGATACCTGTGTCCAAAAGTCTTAATGGGCTCAGTAGTCCGTACACCAGAACCCCCAGAAGTTGGGCCTGGCGCATTCGACCGGCGATCGGTGAGGGACGACTGAGTCGGAGGCGACGAGGACTCGGAACCAGGGAGGGTTGGAGTAGACGATGAAAAATCGAGCTCAGTGGCAGGAGGGCCGGGGCTAACTTCTGCCAAGCAACGGGCAATGTCGAGGTGACCTCGGAGAGCCGCGTGTTCCTTAGCCGTCCAGCCAGATGAATCGAAACGCTCCACGTCTGCGCCAGCGGAAACTAGCATTTTAGCCACACTAAGAGATCCGTCCACACAGGCAATGAATAGCGGCGTCCAGCTATATGTTTTTTCGGCTAATTCTGTGTCTGCCTTCTGGTCGTCGCTGCCATCAAGCAGAATCTGTGCACACTCGTCATGGCCAAATCGGGCGGCAACATGCAATGCAGTCTCACCCTGTTCATCCTGGTAATTGATATCCACGCCGGCATCTACCAGAAGCTGGACAATATCAATAAAGTTGGCCTTGGTCGCTAGTGCCAATACTGCACTAGACTTGGAGACCTGTTTTCTTATGATACTTCGTTCCGGCGAGGGATCATTCTCCTTTTCGGCATCCAAGAGACACCGGGTGGTTTTGGGGTGGCCACCCACAACACTCAAGTGAAGCGGGGCCCACCCGTCATTGTCCTGCCAAAGAGGACCGTCAATCCCATCGCTGACATCGAACATGCCCCATTCTATGAGATGTTCAATGATCACCTCACACACGACCTTGAACCCATATTGTGCCGCGTAGTGCAATGGAGTGCGTCCAGAAAGGTCCTTGGCCATCAAAGACTCACGCTGGTCGGGCCGCAGCGAGTCCAATAGGAAATGGAAGTGAGCAACAGCAGAATCATCGCGAGCCAGCTGCTGGGGCATGTGCTCCTCTTTAACCACAGGACGCGGCGGTTGGAGGGTTGGAGGTGCCGCGGGCGTAATATAGCGGGTAGTCTCCGGAGGGAAGTTGAGCACCATCGACGCCGCTGGCTCGGAGTCTGTCGTGGGTTGCTCGCGGCCAATGGAGATAACCAGACGGTGAAGGCAGTTACGTCTGTTGATATCATCATCCTCTTCTAGGGTGTCAACCCGAGTCAGGAGAAGGGTCAGAGCAGCCCGCGAACGATGAAGGATAGAGCGCTGAATGAGAGTTCTGAGAACCCTAGGATAAACCGTCTCTCCCGCTTCATCTGCAGTAACCTTCAAAGTCTCGAGTAATTCGAGCAAGACGTGAGTGTCATCCTTACGCAGTGCGTCATCCACAGCAGTAACAATGCTGGTAGGCAGGTTAAGATAAGGCCTAGTTGAGCCACGCTTCAATGAAAGGGAAGAATGGGTAGAGCTCGCGTCATCGGACACCTTATCGTCAGCCTTGGACTGATCGGTAATGATGGCCATCCAAGCATTAATGCGATCCTGAGACTTGAAGACGCGTTCATTGGAGGCGAACGGAGTGGGGTCGACCTTGGTCTCTAGATAACGCTTCTGGGCTTGCGCACCAACCTTCTTGTCCAACTTTTTGGTGATCTTGACGAAGCCACGTCGGTTGACTTCACCATACCATTGTAAGCGGCGCAAGTGGTACCGTAGGTCCAAAAGGGCCTCGCGCAGGTCATGCCGATCCTCGGGTTCGAGAGGATGGCGACCCTCCATGGAATAACCATAGCGCTCCTCGAGTAGCTTCAAACGGCGGGCAAACTCGGCATATTTCTTGTTGTAAAAATAGTCAACATCTTCAACATTTCGGTCGAGGTTGTAGAAGAAACCTATAAGCAGCAACAGAAAGGCCTGGTCAGAAGGGCGCTCAATGATTCAAAATAGTAAAAGCAAGACAACGGAGCACCAAACTTACCAGCCAAATCCGGATCTTGTCCCGCTTTGATCTGCTCAGCAGCAGACTTGATAAGCTTCTTCAGGGCCTTGTACTTGATGTACGAGGTACTCCACTCGGGAACCGTGAATTGCGGCAAATTGCGGCCGAATTTCATACTGGCGAGACCAACAATTCCACTAGAATTCAGTTCACAACCACAATCCTTTCCAAATCCACACTTTATCTGCAATTTCCAACTGTATCCGGGGTCTCCAATCGGAGAGAATTCGCGGCGAGTTCAACCTGAGTGTCACAAGGAAGCGATCAGGTGAGCGGGCGAACGCAGGCAATGGATGAAATGAACCACGCCATTTGAGATGTGTATGTGAGGGAATAGGGAAAGAGGAAATGTCAAAGGGAGAAAAGACAAACAGAGCTGCAAAGTGCAACTGACTGTACCTGTCTGAGAATGTCGGGGATATGGAAGGGATACTTTGCACACCTAGAGAATAAGGATAAGGATAGGTCGAGAGAAGAAACTAAAGAGCCAAGAAGTGTAAGGAGACCCTAGAGTGTCCAGGTTGATAAGCTTAGGAAGGCGAACCGGTTGGAGGTGTGCGCGATGGATTGAAGATGATTTGTTGATCCACGGGGGCACCTTCCACGGTACGGTCTTATATATATCCGCCAAGCTAACCTTGAAAGTGATAGTATATCGTACACGGCGGTAATATTGTCTATTAATTAAGATACTATATTTTAGATTTGCGGTGTGGAAAAGCTTTCCGGAAGCTCACAAAAGTTTTGTGGATTTTTGGATTTTACCACGTCATACGAATAGGAGAAGAGAGGATCCATCTCTGAGCCCCCACATGCAGCATACATGATCGGCATCGGTCAAGTCATTGTCCGACCCCGGACCCCCCCTGTATAGAAGTGTTCTGTGACCTCCAAGAGACAAAGGGATCAATTAAACTGGAATGTATCTAGGAATGTCGGTCAAGTTCCTAGAAGCTTGAATGGCTGAAAGTTCCAGGGATCCAATACGGGGAGACCCCGTGACCCTACACTGTAGAACTATATCAGCGCCACACAGGCTTGGTGACACTCGGTTGGGAATTATATTGATAGTCAGGTGCTCAAGTCGGAAGTTGGGGGGTAAGATCGAGCCATTCATAATTCTATGTCAAAAAGCTAGTATGCAACCCATTGCACTCTGTGTGCTTCCATAGATTGAACGCCTCCCTTGGGCGTCCTAAGAAAAAAGCAATCGCTAAATCCGTCGCTGTGCTCGTGATCAGGAGGTCATCTCGGAAACTCATTAAAAAAGGCATGAAAAAACAAAGGAACAATTGCAAAAAAAAACAAAAAAAACTCCACTGGATCAGCCAGTCCATCCCAAAGCCACATACATGCAAATGGAAAACGTAAAAAAAAAGTCTGCCCGAAAGTGAAAGACATTGAACGGTCATGCCTGTCATTAGATCAGTGGCTTCAAGGCCTCTACTCCAGCCTGTAGCACCGCTTGGTTCTTGGTCTTCTTGAGACATGCAGTGAGAACATCAATTCCTCCTGCTGTGCGAACGGCAGCTTTGGCTCGGGTTCCGATGTCACCTGTCGCGACACAAGTGAAGTTGCGCACACAGACCACACCTCGGTGAACCAAGGCATCGTCATCCTCTTGGCACAGTCCTAATAGCAGTTCAACGCCCCGTGGTCGGTCCAGGACAGCTGCTATGGCGGCATCGAACTCTGTCAACATCGCAAGAGCTCCGCCGGCAGCCCGTCGCGTCGGAGCATCATCAGCATCGGTCAGAGCCAGCAGAATGTGAAGGCGTTGGGCCGCTTGCTTGGAGCCATCCGCGAACTTGATGACACCGGACTCGCAGGTCATCAGATTACAAACAAGTTCGCAGGCAGCTCGTTGAACCCGAGCATTGCTAGACAAAAGGAGATCTTCCACTGCAGACCAGCCTTCCCGGACCGTGAGCTCAGGTGCAGAGTCGTCATGCGGGTACGAAGCGAGGTTCGTCAGAGCTAAGAGACTTTCGAACACTGGGAGTAGGTCGCGAGGTTGGTCGGCGGAGAACGAGGCAGTGTCGGGTGATGAGAGAAGAGAGAGAAGGGGGCGGATGGCGGATGTAACCTGGGGAAATCCGGATGATGGGAACACATGTGAAGGATCAACGGAGATAAGGATGCGGGCCAGCGCATGGGATGCGATGCGTGTCGTTTCGTTCGTTACAGGGCCAGCGCTACTCTGTTTTGGGGCTGCAAGGCCAAGTAATAGCTTCACAGCACCTTGCTGGGCCAGTGTTCCACGGGACCTTTGCGGCCTTGTCAAGGATAGTAGAATCTTTGCCGTGAGTTCATTTGTAGAAGGCAAGGAGATCCGGCCGCACTCAACGAGCAGAGTCATGATGCCTGCATCGATAACGGCGGCACATCGTGCCAGGACAGCTTCCTCTTCATCTCGAATATCTATTTCTGGTGCTGCCTTCACCTTTCCGGTAGACGGGTCCGCATAATCCTTCAGCTGTGCCATCTTCCTTTGCTCTTCAGATAGGTTGGGTAAGAATTTGGTGAGGTTCAAAATTACCATCAAGCCGCCATAGAGCACGGATGAGTCGCTAGTGTTTTGTTTCATAGCCGCAATGAAGTTTCGTAGGAAACCCGGATCATTGGCAAGTTGATCCTTAACGGACGGCTTCACCGAAGTATAAGCCAATCCTTCGATTGCGTGGGAGTTGTGTTCAACCTTTTGTTCAGACATCAGTCCCATGAATCGATGAACTAGTTCAGACTCGCTGTCTTGTTCCAAGACCTTACCGTTGCCAGCCGAGGGTTTCTCGGGCTCAGATGCCCGGATCTTTGCCAGGGCCACTGCAGCCAATTCTGAGCTATTATCACTTCCATTGGTCAGGATATGTGACAACCATTCCCCAAATTTCTTTGAAACAGCCTCGCGGCACGGACGGTTAATGCAAGCCGCATTAAGAAGTTCCAACACGGGAACTTCGACCTTCTTGCTCTTGGTGTCTCGGGATGCCATTGGGAGGAGGAAGGCCATGAATTCTTCCGATAAGAAGAGATTGGCAGCTGTGGAGGGAGCCACGGGGAAGATGGCGGCCACCGCCGAGAAAGCAACGATGAGATCACTGACGCGCCCTTTGCCAAGAATGGACATAATCAGTGTCAAAAGCTTCTTCTCGCCCGGCTCCTTGGCGACCTCGAGATATTTCGCAGTAGCTAAGGTCGCCTGGCTCCGAACTTCTAGCGGCAACCGGTTGTCCAGGGATGAGAGGATCACCTCGAGCCCTTCATCGTCGATCAAATGTTCGAGTTCAACGGCGTGAACAGCGAGTAAACGAGTAATTCCCTTTAAAGAGCGGCCATCGAGATCATGGCCCGATTCCATCAACTTTGCAATGAAAAGCTGGAAGAGTTCACTCTCGCAGTGGGATCGTGTTTCCTCCGATGTCCACACGGTGGGGTCCAACACCACCGTGTCCAGACAGACCGCTGCTCCATCACCCCGATCATATATCTCATCGAAGAATGCTGTGACAGAAGTCTGGAGCTGTGTAGAGAAATACTGTCGAACACTGACGTTCTGTCGCACCAACCCAGATATGATCTCATCCTGCGTCGTCGATAGAGAGTGGGGGCGCTGTGCGAGCAACAATTTGAGGCATTCCAAGGCGACACTTTCTGGGGATTTTAGACCATCGGTTCGGAGATAAGTAGCAGCTTCTTTGCCGGCATTTTCATCATTCTGTGTGGTGTATCGGCGGCAGAGATCGAGAAGCTGGTGGCCGTCTTTGTCTTCATGCTGAACTTTCAGGAAGGCGGCCTTCACTTGAGGATTTTCGGGGGCGATTGAAAGGGCTTCTCTAAGATTCCGGGAAGCAGCCTATTGAGTAAGCTACATGTCAGTGTTCCGCTAGCTTCCTTTTGGGAGTCAAGAAATAGATCACTGACCTCTCGGTGGCCCGCGTCGACCAGTTCGACAGCCTCCCGGGCCAGGTGTACAGCGCGCTCTTCGCCCGTTGCTTGAACCATTGCAGGGTTGCGCGAGAGAAGACCAGAAATCAAGTCTCCAGTTGTGGTTCAATGAAGTTAAAGTGGATGGATGCGCTTTTTTTTTTCCTAGGTGAGGGGAGAGCGGAGCGGAGAAAGAAGAGCGATAAGGTGGGAACAGACAACCGCTTTTTATGGGGAAAAAGGAAAAAGGAGTGGAAGAAGGAAAATGTAAGTTATATATTTATCTTATTTCGGTTTGCCGCGTTGGCCTGTTGGAATTCCTAAAAATGACACCATTTACTTTTTCTTTTCCCCGGACCATCTGGGATGTACATTGTAATATACCGGATCTTACAGTTTCACGCCCATTTTCCTTCACGAATCGCCATTATCAATTGGCCCGATAAGACACCAACCACAGCGATGGACACCATCACGTTCTCGATAAGCATATACAATATACTCAGCTTACCTGCAGGTAGCCCTTTTGTTATTTTTGTGTTACAACCTCGGAAGTCATGTTCCAAGGTATCCGACATATCCTGCGGACTCCGGCGTCGCTGGAACCATTCTTGTAGATCATAAGAAGGCATCCGCCTTGAAACCCACTAGAGAACATCACATGCAATAGTTTCATCTTGGCGCGTTCAAGGGATGTGCCAAGAGATACCATCGCCTGTCTTTCAAATCGACCGAAAGGAGAACACATCTCTCAACAAAAGATGCTCATAAATTCGAGGTAATTTCAGTCACCCAAGGCTTCACGGTGTGGGGGTCAATCCGATTGGGGTGTTGAGTCCCAGTCTAAGCTCCAAATTGCTTGTGAGTCAGTTGAAGATCCCAAAGAGTCAAGTCAGTGTTAGTATGTAAAACATATGAAATCCGAATCCAGATGTTGGGAGTCATATATTGGAAAGACATATAAGAATAGATGATAGCTGGAGCTATAGCAGTTGTTATCACCCCGTGACTGGCTTATCGCTTCAAGATCCTCAACTCACATGCCGCTGCTAATTAGAGCTTGGACTTCAAATCAATTCTGCCTGTGTATGCAGCACCTTGGTTTCCAGTCTGACCGGCCGGGTATCACACTGAGAGAGCCCCAACTCACAATAATGAACACCAACTTCGACTGATCCCCCGTCTCAACGCAATGAATTCCGTGGATGCCTCGGAGCATTATGAGTTAGGAGCCACAGGTCCGTATTCTCTGCCCTCTGCAACAGGCCAACAACTTGCTAATCAGATCGCCAATTAGAACTCTCCCCATCCCTGCTCACAATAGTAATCGACACAAATCCACACGCCTGGGCCATCCTCGAAGACTCCCTCCCACTCTCCAAAGCAATCGCCAACATCCTAGTCTTCATCAACGCCCATCTCGCCTGCAACTATGCGAACGAAGTCGCCGTAGTCGCATCGCACAGCCAAAAAGCAGCATGGCTCTACCCATCCCACAATGCACCCCGAAACGGCACCGCCGATCGTGACGGCGACGTCACAATGAACGGCGCAAGCGATACCCAACCCTCCGAAACAAACAAATACCGCCCCTTCCGCATCGTCGAAGAACAAGTCACCCGCAACCTCAAAGACCTAATGGACTCAACGACCGGCGATGATCTGCGCGGCAACATGTCCACGATGTTAGCGGGCGCATTAACCCTCGCCCTGAGCCACACGAACCGACGCACGCTCGCTTGGGCGGAGGAGCACGGCGGTGCCAACGCCGAAGACGCAGCGGCCGAGGGCAACGGCAACGGCAACGGCGGGGGTGCGAGCACATCTGCCAATCGATACTCAGCCTCAAACGAGGACGAGCGGTTGCAGAGTCGCATCTTAGTCATTTCTGTGAGCGGGTCTACTGATGCTGCGCACCAGTATATTCCTGTCATGAACAGCATATTCGCCTGCCAGCGCTTGAACATCCCCATCGATGTGTGCAAGCTCAGCGGTGATGCAGTCTTCTTGCAGCAGGCGTCTGATGCTACCAAGGGAGTTTATATGGCTCTTGCTGAGCCGCGAGGCCTGCTGCAGTATTTGATGATGGCATTTTTGCCAGATCAGCGCTCGCGCCGCCATTTGGTTCTTCCCACGCGGGTGGATGTCGATTTCCGGGCTGCTTGCTTTTGTCATCGCCGGGTGGTTGATGTTGGCTTCGTGTGCTCCATTTGTCTCAGTATCTTCTGCGAGCCGCCCCCTGGTAGTGACTGCATGACTTGTGGCACGCACCTAGATATCGGAGATAATGCTAAGCCTGCCCTGTTGCCAAGGAAAAAGAAGAAGAAGAAGCGTGTTAATGGGGCATCCGGGGCGGGGACGCCCATGTCAACGCCTACGCCGGGCCCTTGATATCTCTTCTGTGGAAGATCATATTGCTAGGGGGGAAACCCCTTCTCGTGGGACCTGAATCTATCAAGTGCGGGTTGGTATTACTCCTGGAACACACTTGGCTTGATGCTATGAGCAACACTACATGTAGCTGGTTTACAAGGAAATGATTTGGGACAACTCTCATTTTACTAGTGTGAAACGAGTAGGTGCACACGGGAAGGAGCGCCGGGGCCCTTTGAAAGATACTCTAATCACATTATCGGTGCCCGGTCTCAGAAAAGAAGACTGTCCAGAGACAGCAAGAAAGAGCCATTAAAGCAGTCGCTCGTCTTGCGATCCTGTCACCATGTAGGCGAATCATTGGTGCCGCAAGGTCAAGAAACACAACGGGGAATTGGGTATCGCAACGCAGAGAACGTAAAGGGGAGAGGGCGGACTGAAGCAGATACAGGTGGTTGAGGGCGAAAACCACCTCGCCCATTGATGAGGACCAACCGACCAGAAGTCAGCAGAGCAAAGAGGTTTCGCTACAACATAGTTGTAGTCTTCGTCCAGGGTGCATTGCAATCCTGATTAAATTATTCGTGTCAATACTCACAGCTTATATATTCAAATTGATGATGAACTTACAGCAATCTGGAAAACTGATTCGGCAACCGCCCTGGGCAATGGTTCCGCGGGAGCCTCGCGACATTAGACAAGACGGTTTGTTCGAATTGCTGGACATAGAGGCAATGGCCTGTAAAATATGTTTAGCAATAGGTCTTACACAGTGATAGTAATGAGAGACTCACGAAGGAGTCGGTGTTGTGAGCAAAGTAGAGTTCGATGCCTGAATTGTTTTTCTTCACGACGACCACTCCGAGGGCCCCAAAGAGAATGCTGTTACTCACAGCACTGTGTTCTAACAGACATAAGCAAACAAGTGTTAGTGTTGTAAAATTATAGCAGTGAAAGAAAAAGAAAACGCACCGTTAAACTCCCTTTTCATCCATGATTTGAGGGCATCTTCTTCCATCACCGGGGTAAAAACACCATTGTCGCCCATCTTCTGACTGTAGTACATCCTTTGCGCGCAGGTGCTCGCCGCCAGTGTTGAGGCGATGAGCTCCCCGGTCCCAGATGTAACGACTGCACATGTGGTTCCATCCGGATCAGTCAGGTCTCGCGGAATAACATGTGTGCCAATGCCAATGAGGGCTGCGGGTCCAATTCGACCTCGGTGCTTCATGCCAATGCCACCAGAAGAAGACCCTGCTGCAATATTTCCATACTTGTCAATGGCAATCGCGCCAACAGTGTCCGTGATCGTATCCTCGTCATCTTGTTCACTATCTGCAGAATCGGGGCTGCCATCGCGAGATGGTGATAAAGTTGAGACAGGCTGCACAGGTAGGTGTGAATTTGTGAGCTTGGCCTTTTTCTGAGTTTGATGCTCCAGCGATGCTCGCCGGCGCCCCTTCACATCTGCAAAAACGCTTGGATCAGGCAGAGTTCTAATTTCCTCATCCACTGCATGGATGGCAGTATGAGCTCCTGATTGAGAAGCACGCTCGAGACGTTCAAGACGAGTGTCAAGGGGGGTCATGGGCCGGCGAATCCAGGGATCAATTGCTTCGCCGCGGTGTTCATTTTCGTAATCCTTTACTTCTGCGGCCCATACCTCGTAACGTTCTAGGGCGACGGGCGAGATCAAAGCTTCCTCTGGAATGATCACCATGCCGTGCTCCCATGCAAAGTCCTTGGCACCTTCTCCGACCAAGAAGTTTGGGGGCACCCTTGACATGCCCATCTGTACATTGGACTTGTCATAAATCTTCCGAGCAAGCATGATCGGATTCTTGATGTCTAACGGTCCCACGCGTTAGACAAGACTTTCTGAGAACGAGACACAACAAACTTACTAGGCACAGCTCCGACCGCTCCGCTTAGCCCATTATGGTCGACAATCGAGGCATCGCCTTCGACCACCCCCTTTGCGTTCAGGTTGCTTCCAAACCCTGCATTTGTAATCGGGTTATCTTCAAGCACCATCAGGGCTGCTTCGACGGCGTCAACAGCGGTGCCACCACTCTTTAAGAATGCCATGGCCTTGAGCGCTGCTCTAATTCAATTCACTTGTTAGACTGTGTAACCATCAAATATATCAAAGACTGAGACTGAGACTGACATTTCACAGGCCTTCAAATGCTTGTGCTCATTCTCATGGCTGTGGAATCCCGCTCCAGCATGAATAAATATGGCACAAATGCCCTCGTTCCCGGGGGTTTGCGACATATTAAAAGGGTTGGGAAGTGCAATTTGGGATCTACCACAGGCTTGTGCACGATTGACCGAGGTATCAGGTCGGGGTCAAAAAAGGGATTTCGCGCATAAAATTTCGAATCTTGACGCAAGGAAAGCGTTGCCGATTGGGCCCGAGTATCAAAGATATATCGAATCAGATAGGTGGATAATACGCCGTTTGCCACGAGATCAGGCCAAAGTGAAGATATGGATGCTGCGCGTGAACTAGGAGATCTTGGACGCGTGTGCGAAGCGATGCACTTGCAGATTGTTGATCAAAATGCAGTAGCTCGTTGTGGGTTCTGCACTTCAAATGAGAAAGAGTGGCACCCTGGGCTTTCAGGCTAAAGAACCACTGAAACCAATGCTCTAATGCTATGGCCGAATTTGGGACGGGGAGTGAAGCGAGAGAAGACAAGAGCCTACGGCGAGACCATCCGTGTTGAGGTGAGAAAAGAATACACAGAACGAAAGACAGCACTTTACGCGCCCTCGCGCATCAGAAATGATAAAGTAGGAATAAGAAAAGACTGAGGAAGAATGAGAGTCTTAGGGATTGAAGATGTGTGAATGGACAGTAAGAAAATATTGCGAATTTATGTGAGTTCCCATAACACTGGTCGTTCTTTCCATTTTGGTCAAGTTTCACTTCTCAACCATAATTAGGTAAAATTGGCATCACCGAGGCAGCATACCTTCAATGGTTGCTTGAATTTGCTTTCTTATGTCGAAGAGGAGGATGTTTTGATACTTCCCGGCACATGATGTCTACTGGTTGACGTGTGACCCCTTAGGTAATCGGACCTCCGGGCACTGCATCTCCCCCCGCCTTGTCTGCCTGTCCTCTTAGTCTCTTGAAGTCAGGGCAATTTCGGCTACCAATTGAGATTCAGCCGATTCCCTCATTATTGCCTTGTTGTATACATCGCCTACACTTCTTTCAGCCCCTTACTACATTGTGATTGTGCCCAGGCCTAACCACCCGCCATGGCGTCCCAAACACCAGCCGTTGTCATGGACAAGTAAGTTCACAGCTGCAAGTATCAAAATAATATTCCATGCTGACTCTATACTTTCCTTTAGTGGAACTGGCTATTCCAAGCTTGGTATGTGCTGTCTGTAGTGGTTAGGGAGCTCGCGATCACAGATTAGGCTGACATGCTACCTCCACTATTCCAGGTTTCGCCGGTAACGACTCCCCCTCCTTTGTATTTCCGACCGCAATTGCAACCAAGGCTGGTGCTGGAAGTACTGGAAGCTCCGGGGGCCGGCCCCCAGTCGCAAACAAGCCCTCCTTCTTAGGTGCTGGCAGCGGTAGCTCCAACCTATCCGCGAAGCGTGGCACGGAGGACCTGGATTTCTTTATCGGTGACGAAGCGCTGGCTGCGGGCAGTGGCCCAGGATATGGTGTTAACTACCCCATCCGGCACGGACAGATCGAGAACTGGGACCACATGGAACGATTCTGGTCGAACTCGATCTTCAAATATCTGCGCGTGGAGCCCGAGGACCACTACTTCCTACTTACCGAACCTGTAAGGCGACTGCATATGCTGCCAGTAGGCTGGATTTAACACGATGAGACCTGACATTTCTGGATTATAGCCTCTCAACCCTCCCGAGAACCGCGAGAACACCGCCGAAATCATGTTCGAGTCCTTCAACTGCGCCGGTCTTTACATTGCTGTGCAAGCAGTGCTCGCTCTTGCTGCCTCGTGGACATCCTCGAAGGTGACGGACCGATCCCTCACTGGAACAGTCATTGACTCGGGTGACGGTGTTACCCACGTTATCCCTGTCGCCGAGGGCTACGTCATCGGGTCTTCTATCAAGAGTATCCCGATTGCCGGACGAGACATTACATATTTCGTGCAGAGCTTGCTACGTGACCGTGGAGAGCCCGACAGCAGCTTAAAGACAGCAGAGAAAGTGAAGGAAGAGTACTGTTACGTCAGCCCCGATATTGTCAAGGAGTTCGCACGTTACGACCGCGAGCCGGATCGCTTCCTGAAGCACACCGTCACTGCGCCGAACGGGCGGAGTATAAACATCGACATTGGATACGAACGTTTCCTCGCCCCGGAGATTTTCTTCAACCCCGAAATCTACTCGTCCGACTTCCTCACCCCGCTTCCCAATGTTGTTGACGGCGTCATCCAGTCCTCCCCCATTGACGTCCGGAGAGGTCTCTATAAAAACATTGTGCTCTCTGGTGGTTCTACTCTGTACAAGGACTTTGGCCGTCGTCTACAGCGTGACATTCGTCACTTGGTGGATGCTCGAATCCGTGCCTCCGAGGCTCGCAGCGGTGGCGCACGGAGTGGTGGTCTCGATGTCGCTGTTGTCACCCACAAGCGCCAGCGCCACGGTCCCTGGTTCGGAGGTAGTCTGCTGGGCCAGACTCCCGAGTTCCGGAGCTACTGCCACACTAAGGCGGAGTATGACGAGATAGGTCCCAGCATTGTGCGGCGGTTCGCGCTGCTTGGTGGCCCTGGAAGCTCGTAAGGTGAAAATGAGTAAACCTTATCATTAGATACTTGTCAATCGATGTAGCTCAGCCTTTTGTTCATAGTTTGTTTATCTCTTTTCTTTCTTTCTTTCTTTCTTCCTCCCTCCGGTGGTGCTCTCTATGTTCTTTTTACCCAAAACGGCTTGGCGCCAGTGTTCATCGGCATTTTCTACAAGTGAACTCGAAGGCAATTTACAACGTAGAGCGAATTGGCAGTATGTAGCCCGAATTTCTTGGAAAAAAATCGAGAATGAAAATGAAAATGTATTAAAAAGTGTACATATCCACTATTGCCATCATGCTTTTTGACATTTTCCTCCCAGAACGCCACACAGTATGCATCAGAAAGATATATAACCCATAAAGGCCAAAGACTATTACTTTTCAGACATCCCATCACTCAAACAGTCTCAGTCTGAGGGAAAGAAGTACGGTTCAAAATAGCCACACCCTCGACATGGCCGGTCTGAGGGAAGAAATCAAAGCCACGGACGCTCTCAATCTCATAGCGAACATTCTGCTTCTCATCACCCTGCACCATAACAGCAACATCACGAGCCTGGGTATGGACGTTACAGCTGACATAGACAACACGACGCGGCTTGAAATCAAGCATCTGGCGCAGGAAGTCTTCTGAACAACCCTTGCGAGGCGGGTCGATAACCAGCAATGTCTGATCTGATGGGTACGGAACGTCCTTGAAGAGAGTAGCGGCATCGGCAGCAGCGAAGCCTGTGTTTGGAAGATTATTTGCACGAGCATTCTCACGTGCCGAAACGATCGAATCGCCTCCAATATCGACACCAAGACTGGACTTGAACAATGGGGAGAGGGTAATTGTGAACAGGCCTGAGCCGGAATATGCGTCCAAGAGGTACTTGATGGGCTTTGCGTCTTGGTCGTTGCCTGCGGGAATGGCTTGCGAGCGGATGTACTCTGTGAAGCCGGACAAAATCGAGTTGTTGTTTTGGAAGAAAGCACCTGCCTTGTTGCTGAAAATATAGTCATCGACGTACTCGAAGGACGTGGCGTTGTTGTCTGTGACGCAACGCTTCTCTTCAATGTAGTTTTCGTGCTCGATGCGGATCACATCGCCCGTGTCTACGTTAGGAGTGGCAGCGATACCACCAACAGTGGGAGTCTCTCCCTCGGCGGTAGGCGCGGCGTCTTTGGGGATTCGTGCGGTAGACTCCCGCATCAGGAGAGTGGCACCTCGTTTGTAAGAACGGATGTTCTCTGCAACTCGTTTCCTCTCACTGGTGAGTCCGCGGCGCACAATGTCTGTTCCAAGGGGACAGTCTTCGATATCCATATCCAGTCGTCGGTTCTTGTATGTGAATCCAATCGGGGGAACCTGCGGTTCTTCGCCGTCCTGCTTAGAGCCTTTGCCGGCGCCACCTTGTGCGAAATGCGGCGTGAGTTTTGTGCGATACCCAAATTGCATTGGCGAAGCAAAGGTTTCTCCAATGGTGGGAACAAGCTCCGGGATCAACCCAGAGAAATTGGCATAGGCTTTCTCCACGATGCGCCGCTTGTGAGCAAGCTGGTCCTCGTAGGACATCATCTGAAGCTGACACCCAGAGCACTCCCCGAAGTATTTGCATCCAATCAGCGCATCGTTTCTCTGGGGACCCGGTTCGATCACCTTGACAAAATCGGTCAGACTGTATGACAATGACTCGAAATGCTTGACCAATTTGACCCGCACGGTGTCTCCGGGGACCGTGAACGGAACAACATAGACATATTTCCCATTCTCGGCGAGCGCTAGACCATCGCCTGTGGAGGAAAGCTCCACAATCTTGACATCTATCTCAGTAAACTTCTCGGGAAGGGACAGAGGCTCGCTGTCGCCGTCCTGCTCGGTCTCGTTGCGTTTGAGAAGTTGATTGATATCGCAAAGCAATACTTCATCATGCCCACTGCTCTTGTTGTTCTTGTCGACCTTCGCCTTCTTGCGCTTGCCGTCGAAGTGTTTCTTGGGACCGTTCTGCATTATTGCGGGGACTGGCGCATTCGTTGAACGGCGTTGATGATATAATTTGGAGGCTGGGCGCACTTGAAGAGCCGTTAGTGTCTGAGAAGACAAAGAAGAAGTCAAGCGCCTAACAGATGACCGTATTGCAAACATATAAGTTGGAAAGCGACAGCGAAATAATTTCTGGAACGAAAATCATCGAATGGGAAATTTATTAGAAACGCATCTAACGCGTCGTTGATTGGTTGGAGACTGACCGCCCGCAAGAAAGAAATTCATCCCGACGCTTCACCTCCGACTGGCCTCTTTTGCTTTTGCGTCCCCCAATTGTCTCCGCATTTCGCCTTTTTCTTTATTTTTAAAGCTCTTAACCGGCCTATTTTTGGCTGGGGAGCTCATCGCACCGTCATCATGAACGTCACACGGCCAGCACGATGCCTTTTATGCAGCTTCACCCGTGCTGCCGGCCCAAGCACGCGAGTTCCTCGACGCCAATTCCATCCT